TATATTTGAGGGAGGAAGGGGGCCAGTGTGTTAAATTGGGAGGAGGGCAGTGTATTAATTTGAAGCAGGGGGTCAGTTTATTCATTTTGAGGAGGGAGGCAGTGTATTAGAGTGTTGGGTGGGAGGGCAGTGTGTTAAATTGGGAGGAAGGCAATGTATTATATTTGAGGGAGGAAGGGGGCCAGTGTATTAAATTGAGAAAAGGGGCCAGTGTATTAGAGTGGTGGTTGGGGGGCAGTGTGTTAAATTGGGAGGAGGGCAGTGTATAAATTTGAAGCAGGGGGGGCAGTTTATTCATTTCGGAGAGGGAGGGGGCCCAGTGTATTAAATTGGGGAGGGTGGGGAGTGTATTACAGTGTAGTACTGAGTGTTAAATTGGTGAGGGGCAGTGTAATAATTTTGGGGAGGGAGGGGGCCAGTGTATTAAATTGGGGGAGATGTGGGGAAGTGTATTAGAGTGTGTTAAATTGGTGAGGGGGGCAGTGTATTAATTTGGGGGAAGGAGGAGGCAGTGTATTAGAGTGGTGATGGGGAGACATTGTATTAGAGTGGTGGGAGGGGGCAGTATGTTAAATTGGGGGAGGGCTTTGTGTTAGAGTGGTGGGAGGGGGTAGTGTGTTAAATTGGGGGTGGGGCAGTGTATTAAATGGGTGAAAGGAGGAGGGCAGTGTATTAAATTAGAGTGGTGGGAGTGTAGGCAGTGTATTCTATTAGAGTGGAGGTAGGAGGGGCAGTATATTAGATTAAGGGGCAGTGTATAAGAGTGGAGGGAGGGGACAGTGTATTGGATTTGGGGGCAATGTATTGGATTTGTGGGTAGTGTATTAGAATGGGGAGGGGCAGTATATTGAATTTGGGGGCAATGTATTGGATTTGGGGGCAATGTATTGGATTTGTGGACAGTATATTAGAATGTGGGAAGGGACAGTGTATTAGATTAGGTCTGCATGGTGCTGCTGAATGCTCCCCATGGAGATGCTTATTGGGCACGCAGCTTTTTGCCACACATGCCCAATAGCCTCCCAATGCTTTCCAAGTTTGATCTCAGCCAAAGTGAAGAACACAATAATAGGACTTCAAAATCAACAAGATAACATCACTGTCCACTCCTTAGATGGCTGCTAGAGCTGCTTCCTATCTCAGTGCTGCAGAGTAAGCAGCACTGACATTTAGTGTCTCCACCCTCTTCATGCAGAACTTTCTGCATTGATTCAATTCATCTATATGAGGAGATGCTGATTGGCCAGGGCTGTGTTTTACTTGTGCTGGCTCTGCTTCTGATCTGCCTCCTTGACAGTCTTAGCCAAACCTATGGGGAAGCACTAGAGGCAGACAGGGACAGAGCCAGCAGCTACAAACTTGAATACAAGTAAGAGTTTACTATATTTAGGGGGGGAGCTAGAGGGAGCTAGATGGTGGTTTTAGCACTATAGTGTCAGGAATACATGTTTGTGTTCCTGACCCTATAATGCTCCTTTTATATGTCAAGGTAGTTGGAATGAAACATTGGTTATATGCAAATGCACGTCTCCTTAAAATAAATTATCTCTTTTGTCTACTTTGAAACCCTACAAGTGTTAGGACGTCCAGTGTCAGTTAGGCAACATTTTTTACACTGTACTTTTCTAAAGAAACCTAGGTTTCTATTAAAACTGGTTTCATAGGTTTATATGAAAACTGAAAATTTAGTTTTTTTGCGGCCCACGTAAATTTAAACCTTGTTAATTTGGCCCGTGTAAGCCTTTGGGTTTGACATGCTTGGTGTAGGGGTTAGAGTTGGACAGACAAAAGTGGTGGTTTAACCACGTTGGATTAGTGAATAAGATTTATAGGTCAATATTAGCTGTTAGGAACACGCACATTTTTGCACCTGTTATGGAGCACATATCAGACAATACATACATACAACACCTCACACACACACACTTTAATCTTGTACATATATTTTACTAATATTAATTTTTTTCTGTTTTATTTCCCATCCTAATCATCCTTCCTATCTCATTAATTCAAATACTTTTCCCCCTCTCTTACCCCAGTTATGTTTCCTTCCTATTCCCCCTGCCTAGTTATTGCCTTAACTTTTAAAGCTATCTGCATTATGTGCATTCTTCACTTGAATGGTGCATACACTCACTTTAGTGTATAAAGATGTATTTCATTTTTGTTTGTGTTTTTTAGTGTTTATATATTTTCCCTGTATGCTGTTTGAGAGTTTTCGGCTAATACATTTTTTTTCTCTTTACACCTAGCTGAGGCACTCTCCACAATTCCCGTTATGTGAATAACTTTGAAAGTAAGGAACACAGCAATATCTGCTAAATAAATGTGAATGGTGTACTGTTCACATTTACCATAGCACCACCTTGTGATATGTGTATTTTTATGCAATATGAAAAAAAATCACTATTTCATAAAGTACAATGAAGCGAAGAATGAGTGTGCACACAAGGAATGTGGCTTGCCCCTATAGCCCAATCACTTTCCGTTCCGTGTTCCTGGAGCACCATCCAACAAGGGGAACATATTTTTTACTTTTTATGTTATAAAGTATTCAGAAAGCTATTTTGTTTCGAAATCTTAAGAAAGTGAAAAGTGTTTCTTACTAATGGTAAAAATATTATATCTTCCAGAGAATTGTTTACATTCCACCTACATATAGTTTGTGGACTTCTTGACCCGTTTTTAGGTCAAAGTCATAATTTCTCCCCTTCGTCATGTTCCTGAAAATCCGAAGAATGGGGGGTAAAATGTTAAATATGAAAATATTCAAAAATAAACAACTGAAAAAAAACCTAATGGATATATAATGTCTAAATATGAAGGTGAAAGCAGAGAAGAACAGTTTTGTTGGCTTAGCCTGGTCAAGTCTGATTTATGCTTCAGAATATATTGACTCACTAGTCTTAATGAATGTTCCAGGAAAAGTCACAATATGGCCAGTTCATCCAGAGCCACTTCTGGGACAAAGATAATCCCATAGTATTTTATGTTAAGTAGTAGATTATACAAAAAATTTGGAACATCTAGTAATGCTTGTGACTTTTCCATTTCCTTCCAATAATTTTATTATGTAGTCCTCATAAAGATTATGCTCTGTTGTACTTGTTTCTATGTCTAGTGGAATGGCCTAAATGTAAAATCAATCAGGCGAAAAGAATAAAGATAAGATCAAGATTTTGGTTTTGTCTGTATTTTGCAGAAGTAAATTTCATCAGAATTGCATTAACCCCTTAAAGACACATGACATGTGTGACATGTCATGATTCCCTTTTATTACAGAAGTTTTGTCCTTAAGGGGTTAAAGTGGCTCTTCTCTTCCTCTTTCAGAATCTGTTCTTCTTTTCTTAATTTCTGATCTATTTCTGTTTAAAGCATAAGACAACACAGGGATTACATTGTCTTTTATTTGTTACCTAGACTTGACAAAGGGTGGAACTTAAGGCATTAGATAAACTCAACTTCCTTTGTCAAGATAGTAGAGGTTCCCTTAAAGGGACACTGTATGCACTGCATCAGCTTCATCTCATAAAATTGGTTATAGTATCTGAAGTCCCCAAGTTTCACAATTGCATTCAGCATTAACCCCTTAAGGACCAAACTTCTGGAATAAAAGGGAATCATGACATGTCACACGTCATGTGTCCTTAAGGGGTTAAAAAAATTTCATGTTTTAATGCTAAACAAGAGTCCCCGGCAGTCCATCCCCTCTGTGCTGCTTTGGCTAATGAAGAATTATTAGTCTGAGCAGCAATGGGCAGCTGTGATTGATTGAAAGTGTCAGCTGACTGTTTTTAGCCTATCAGAGCTCCAACTGACAGTATGAAGGTTAAGACAACAAGGAAGTTAGTAATTTTGCCTTAACCACACCTTTCAGAATGGGCCGGACTATAAGTGACCAGGGACCCTTATTTAGCATTAAAACTGCTCTAACATGGTTTAACACTGAATGGAGGGACAGTGCTTTGGACCAGACACCATTACCAATTCAAAGAGATAAAATGGTTATAACATAACCGATTCAAAGAGATAGAATGGTTATAGTGCGGACAGCGTCCCTTTAAGCTCCGCCCTTTTTTAAGATTGCCACGTGTAAAGAAAACATCTAAGGCAAAATAGTCTCTACTTTGTCTTATGTTTTAAAAAGAAATAGATCAGAAATGTAGTAAAGAACAGATTCTTAAAGAGGAAGAGAAGAGGAAATAACAGGAGAAAGTAAGTTTGAGGTGACAGAGCCACTTTAAGTGTGTGTGAAATTAATGTAATTTGCAGAGAGGATGACTGACTACTCATTGATATCAGCAATCACACCTCATGCAAATAAATATTTTTCCCTCCATTTTACGCGTGGTTAGACAGAGTGTTACAACTGGACTGGGGCTATATTCCTATAATTCTTCCCCTGACTTTTGCGGAAAAAGATAATATTTTATATGACAGCAAATGAATTCATAAACCCCATAACCCACAGCTTATAGTTCTGGTAAATGTCCCGTTTTTAGTGTTTGCGAATCTGTAACATTATAGGAGTGCAGTGAATATTCAACTCCCTGTTCCCTATATATGCTTGGTTTTCTATATGTGCTTGGGATTCTCTTCTTTGGATTCCATCTCTGTTATTTTCAACCAATTTGTTCTCTTATATACTAGAAAATCTATAAACCCTGTCTCCAATACTGAATTCTCTTTTCTGAAATTAAATATTAGGAGACCTTCCGTAAGGTCCTTACAAGTGCCAAAGTGGGCAGTACTTAGGGTACCCAAACCTTATCAGTTCATTAAAAACAATTCTTCACGTTCATCCCCAGGACCTTTACTTTTCATAAATATTCCTTATACCTACCCCTCTTATCCAATCACTCACTAGCCCTATACATCATAATAGCATTCCTAGAAATATAGTCCCTTATATAGCTCACATATTTATTGCTCAATTATTGACCCAAGGAGGGAATTGACTGTGACCATTTTACCGTTAGGAGACAATAACAAACCAAACATCTGTTCTGGACACTTTATTATGATTGTATTCTTTCCATGTGTAAAGTACAGCAATTTTGCTGCAATAAACTTAGTCTATGATAAATGGATCCTTAATTTACATACATGTATATATATGTACAGAGCGCATATAAATATTAGAAAAATACAAATTAGCACACAACACATTAGATCATATTGATCTAATCATCTTGAGTCATTTAAAAAAAATAAAAATAATAATACACGTCTTTGTAAGTTAATTAGTACCGGTATTGCGACATTAGCTCTTGCACACAGTTGTCTGCTGAGTTTTTTTTGCCAGAAAATGTAAATTGGAAAATATTATCTTGTGCTTTAAATCGTTGACAATAAAATAATCTTGATGCACAGCAAAAACATCTTGAAATATAATCCTTTGTATTTTTATAATATATTGGTGTTTAAATCCCCAAAAGTGGTTACATTGGGAAAACATGCACAGATCGAACATAGAAGGAAACAAATACATAATCTAATATGTTCATGAAAAAATGCAAAACAGAATTTATATAGTGATAAGAACACATTTGTGTGAATTCACAACTATTTAAAAAAAATCATACATACAATTATTTACATAACTGGAGAACAATCATACATTATATTTAATATACAGTACATATTAAACCTGTGCACTATAAATGTGTAACTATATACATACAAATATTATGTGTGCGTGTGTATATACATGCTTGATCATATAGCCCAGTTCCATTTAATTACATCTTCCATCCACACAAGGTATGATTGTCAAAATAATATGTCGATATTAATTAGTTGTATTATTCGCACTGTTCTATCGTTCTAGCAATAAATATAGGTGGTGTGGCAACCACTTTCTTATTTACCAGGAGGACATGTATACAAAATTGCCTTAGAAGGAAAGAGCCTAGTTTAACAATTAGGACATGAATGATCTCTCCCTTTTATCATATTCTGGATTTTGTCAGTTGAAACTTAATCAGATACCTGTTTATATCATTGGTCATTTAGACTGCAGTGTTCCAATGCTATCAAGAAAAGTTAATCTCTTAAGAAGATGATTCATGGATAGTAAAAGGAATATTTCTGGAACATATTAACTACTTGAACATGTCTTCCAAGCAGTTCTTTTTAGCTATTTGTAATTAATGGAATGAAACATTCATTTGGGAAATAGGCAACCTACTTCAAAATCTGTCTCTAAAGGCATGTATTTTGGAATATATTGTAGAGACAACAATAAATCATCCAGTAATCAATCTTTATATTGTGAGAAAACAACATTTTCTTAAATAATCTATTTCAACATTGCTGTTCGGTAAGATGTTTGGGCCATTATTAGATTATTTCTCTTTTTCTACAAAAATTATAAAGAAGATTACAAAGGCCAAGAGTGAACCTGCCATCTGGTAAATGTGAAGGTCAGTTATACCAAGGACTAGACTACCTTCGGCATTCCAGAAGTTGTGGACTACATCCCTCATAAAGCTTTGCCAGCATAATGGCTGTAAGAGTATTATGGGATATGTAGTCCAAAACATCTGGAGTACCAAAGGTTTCCTAGCCTTGCTCTATATAGATATACCTGGAGCCGGAGAATTACATAAATCTGGTGCTCAGTAGAAGGGACAGGAAATATAAGTGCGAATGTGTTATAGAAACATCATAAAAATATTCTGAACTATTTAAAAAAAATGCTAATACCAAATATAGAAACAGAATAGATATTTCCTTTTAGATTAAGGCCATATTACAAAAGAAAAAAACAAAAAACACAAAAAAAACCTCAGTATCACTTTAAACATATGCCCCTTTTAAATCAGTGTAATTACTAACTGAAGAGGCACAGTGAGTAATATAACCACCTAAGCTCACTGCCGTTACTAATAGACTTTGGGCGCCAACATGGCTGAGGGTTAATGACTGACAATCTCTGGTGTAATTAGCCCAGCAGTGTCAGTCTATCAGTGCTGTACAGAAAGGATGAAAAAAAATTAAATTTCAAGTGTCAATTTACAATTGAGTGGGGAAGCAGTATCTAAGTGCCATGGAGAGAAGAGTGTATCCGAAAAGGTTTGACAGCACAGTTGCCAAGGTCAACATAGCTAGACATAGGATATAAAATATATTAATTCATCACACCTGGACAGGTGGTAAAGGAGAGTAACGCATACATGTATTTGTATAGATACATCTGGCATACTAAATCGGCGAAAAATGCTTTAATATGATCCGTTGGACTTTTAAAAGTTAGCCTTGGGTCCATGCCACTCTCTTCAGCAAATAGTGAGTGGTCATGAAACATAACAATGATATATATTGTCTTTGTTGTGTTTATAAACCAGGACACAATACCCTTCCAAAGTTTTAAATAATCACAATTATGTGTAAATTGCTACAGACTACCTGGTCAGGTCTAATTGCCAATGTATGGGGTAAAAAAACTCTTGGTGAAAATTCTCAACAACAGTAACGTTCTCATAATTGTACTTAATGAGTCGAAACCTCATAATTTATAAACAGTGACTATTAGTGTTTTTTGATACTTGCAGTCATACAAATTGTTAAAGGGACACTATAGTCACCAGAACAACTACAGCTTATTGATTTTGTTCTGGTGAGTAGAGTCATTACCTTTAGGCGTTTTGCTGTAAACACTGTCTTTTCAGAGAAAATGCAGTGTTTACATTACAGCCTAGTGATAACTTCACTGGCCACTCCTCTGATGGCTGTTAGAGATCCTTCGTGGGTCATGGCTGCCTAAAATGCATCCAAACATTCAGTATCTCCTCCCTCTGCATGCAGACACTGAACTTTCCTCATAGAGATACACTGATTCAATTCATCTCTATGAGGAGATGCTGATTGGCCAAGGCTGTGTTTGAATCATGCTGGCTCTGCCTCTTTGTCAGTCGCAGACAATCCTATGGGGAAGCATTGTGATTGGATCAGGCTACCACTTCTGATGATGTCAGCAGACTGCTTGTTTTTCTGAGGCAAACAGCATGCAGATCTACAGCTTCAGGCTTTAATACAGTAAGATTTTGCTATATTTATGGAGGCATGAGGGGACCAGGGGGGCTAGATGGTGGTGTTAAACACTATAGGGTCAGGAATACATGTCTGTGTTCCTGACTCTATAGTGATCATTTAGCCCCTTAAGGACCAAACTTCTCGAATAAAAGGGAATCATGACATGTCACACATGTCATGTGTCCTTAAGGGGTTAAAATGAATTAAATTAGCCATAATTTTTTGTGGATGACAAATTTATATTTAGGCAGGTATATATTTCATATATACACTGCACTGTGGTGAAATCTCAAGCAAATGTCTTATTATATAAATATCTTGAGATATATTCATCCAGAAGTAATTTACTCCTTTGGAATTAAAACATTCTTGAATGATATGAACATCCGGCAACAAAGTGTAAAAAATGCAAAGTAGGAGTTGAGGGAGGCAGCCAACAAGTCATTTGGGGATGGTACGGCTATGCCCGCAGCCAGTTTCATCCTCCGTACATGTAGTTATTACTCATTACTACTGTGCTAATCGTGACTGTAAAGTCAAATACCTTTTCATGCTAACATTTGCTATTATTTTACCTAGCACACATAGGAGATATTGTATGCTACATAATGTGACACCAAGTCATCATGAACTTAAAAAAATTTAATGACAGTGTCTTTCCAAAGCTCTAAGATGATTTATTTACTTATAGAAATAGGGTGAAGGGAGTACACAGATGATAGAAAAAAACAAGTTTTAATTTAATTTCAGTTACCAAGGAGATTCAATTTATTTTTGGTGGGAGTTACATTAAAATTGGTTTCAGATATGTATTCAACTGTTTTGATATGAAAATGATAATTTATTAGAGTGCTTCAGTCATGTCAGAATAACCTGGTCTTGAATTGGATTTGTTTGATATTTCTGTATTTTTGTTGTTAGTCTGTTTACAAATGCAATCAGAACCAGGTGTTCAGAGACTGGAGGGCATATTCACTATAAGATAGATGATGGACAACTGATAACGGTACTGCACATTTTAATCCAATCTGACAAAATTCTCTAATTCGTCTACAAGTACAACTCATCAATTCTGTGTTAATATTGTCATCTGCATTCTGAGAGTTACATCTGTCCACATTTTTCTAAAGATTCAGCTTTTTTGCTGAAGTTCAAAATATATTGTTTGGTTAAAATAAGTAATCAGTTTCTCATTGAAACCCTGGAAATCATTTGTAACTTGTAGACTTGTAATTAAAATTCGTCTGAATTTGGAACGATCAAATGTTCTTCTTAATTCCCAAATCACAAATTAAACTTTACCTTAATTTCAAATAAACACAATTGCGCGACAGACTAGCATTTCAGCCAATCAGAATTTTAGTTTGCTGTGGCTACTGATAGCAGCCATTGCCACCGAGGATGAATCAAAAATTTCAAGCTCAGAGCTTTTTTATTGTTAAAGGGACACTATAAATGCCTTTTTCCCTTTATTTTAGGGTGTTTTCAGCAATATTCGGTTCCTTTTTTTTGCCCAAAATTCTTCTTAACCTAAAAAGTTTAAAACATTTAGAAGAACCAACGGGTTTTGCCATGTGCAAGTCTACTTGTAACTTACATTAATTCTTTTTTTCATGCATTGCTCTGTTTTCTTTAAACCTATATTAAAATTCTAACAAATACTATCACAATTTAGCACCAGAACACACGTTGCAAAGGAGGGGAAGAAGTAGAAATATTGATCAATTTCTCCTCTACTCAGTTAGGGTTATTTTTGAAAGTGAAAATTCCAAAGACAATTTCAAATTTCAGGCCAAAGTACCTCAACTTCTTGATGCCTACCTGACATTATTTCAATTCAGCTATTTTGGCCTTAAATTTGAAATTAATTCTAAATTCAATTTAAATTCTGAATTTAGTGAATAACCCTGAGAGTGTTTCCTCTGTGCTATCTGCCAGAGGACAGAGCTTATAACAATGACTGACAGGGAATGGAGATAGAACAGCCAAGCCATGGAATAAAGTGGTGTGGATTTTGACAATTATTTTATTTTCCATGTTTCCCAAAAATATGGCCTCGATTTAACATTTTGTATAAGCTTTTAAAAAAATGTAATATTGTTTCTGTTAAAGTTTAAAATAATCTTTTTTTTCTGAAAATATTAAAAATATATCATATATAAAAAACATTACATCAATATATAAAAATTATCAAAATATTAAAATATTTTTTCAAAGTATTAAATCATTTTAAAAGTTTTCCACAAATATTAAATTACTTTAAAACATCAGTATTAAATCGAGGCCGTTATTAGAAATAATGAAAAGTGACATTTCCTTTTTAAAATTGGTGTGTTGATGACAATCATTTTCACAGTTTCATATTTGTACCAATATTTTCGCTTATTGTATTTTTTTAAATTTATCCACATATATTAAAATATATAAAGTATCCCTCACACGCCATTATTGAAACTTAGTATCTACATTAAAATTCTGACAAAGTTAAAACATGTCCAAGAAATAAAAATACAAAAAGCATTTATTTATTTCTGCCTTTCATCAGATGCTGGTAATCCATATAAATTCTAGGGCTATTTTTTAATACTAGAACCTAAAAACCAGAACATAAATAAATTGTACTTATATTTATTGCACACTTTACACATTTAGGAACAACTGGAAAACACTTGGTATTTTGTGTGCATACTTGTTTTTAATGCATTTAAAGGAACCCTATAGGGTCAGGAACACAAACATGTATTTCTGACCCTATAGTGTTAAAACCACCATCTAGCCCTCTGATCCCCCTTGCCTCCCTAAATTTAGTAAAATCTTACTTGTAATATAATCTGCAGCTGTTGCCACTGTCCCTGATCTGCCTGCATGCCTGACATCATCAGAAGTGATTCTGTGAGCCAATCACAATGCTTTCCCATAGGATTGGCTGAGACTGTCAAAGAGGCAAATCAGAGGCAGATCCAACACAAGTCAAACATAACCCTGGCCAATCAGCATCTTCTCATAGAGATACATTGAATCAATGCATCTCTATGAGGAAAGTTCAGTGTCTGCATGCAGAGGGTGAAGACACTGAATGTCAGTCACAATGTGGAGCACTGCCCCAGGAAGCACCTCTAGCAGCCAGAGGTGTGGCCAGTGGAGGTATCACGAGGCTGTAATGTAAACACTGAATTTTATCCAAAAATACAGTGTTTATTGTAAAAAGCCTGGAGGCACTTATTCTACTCACCAAAACAGATACAATAAGCTGTAGTAGTTTTGGTGACTGTAGTGTCCCTTTAATATTTTTTTTCCCAAATTAGCAAATATTGTAGGAATTATTTTTATTGGGTTCACATATAATTAATTACCAGCTATTGGATGTTCAAGCATATGAAACATTCCACAATAGATTCTTCTTTTTAATAGGTCTTTGTTTTACTCCTTGTTATAAAAAATGTATTGTTGTGCACTAGATAAATGGCGTTGTTTTGTCAATACTCTATATAAAAGAGAGAGTTTTATCTGAGCATGTCTGGATTTGTGCAACTAAAATAGGAAAAGCAGTGTGTCGCACATTGTTTGATGCATTCTGCAGGTTGATCTCTCGTAATTTAAAATATCTTCTGTTTCCATATCACTGGAATGTTACACCCCCCATCCTGCAGGAGGTATCATTATCCCAGTGTGTCCACTTAGCTGTGTTTGCGCTCAAGGTAAGTGACACAGTCTGCATAAGAACCATTTACATTACTTCTTTAGTAAAAATGTTGAAGATCAGGGGAAAATATAGCAAAAATACATTGTGCAGGAAACTGAAAAAGCTCAGCTATGTGACAATGGAAAAGTTAGAGCACTTAACAGGGTGAAAAAAGAAAAATCAATTTCAAGTTGAAGATGACAGGTAAATAGGTTATGTTTAGTTTTGAGCTCTAAAGGCATTGTCAGACGGGACCAAGACTGTAATAGACGTTAAAATATTTCTCGATGTTGGAACTGCTTTCACACTATTGTGGTGTGTTTGACCTTCTTCCTCTTTTAATATTAACTTTGACCTCAATTTAATATTTTTGGCTAAACTTTTCAAATAATTTATTTCAGTTTATTCAAATATCAAATATATATATTACGTATAAAAAAATGTCAATGTAGAAAAAAAATCTAAATATTAAAATACTTTTCATAATATTTCATCAATGTAAAAGGTGATCCAAAAAAATGTAGTTATTTGAAAAGCTTAACCAAAAATATTAAATTGAGCCCTTATATATAAGTTATCAAACTCATGTCATCAGACAGGGATTGGCAGGTGATTATGATAATGGAATACCTGCCAACTGTTATGATGTGGTCATGGCAGGCCTGACAATGGACCTTATAGAGGCTTCCCCAACATTTTAAAACGTGAGTGTATATGGATACAGAGCATGTACACATGTGTGGGATTATAGTGTGCAGAATACACTGCAATAATGTAAAAAAACTGCTACAATACATAAACTGATCTGTGGAGTGACATCATTGGACAGATATAACCCCAAAACTTTACAGTTTGCGCAACACTAAGGGGTGGCTAGAGTTAAAAAATTACTTAGAGGGCGTATTTCTTGTAAGTTCAATGATTCATATCATACAATTTCAGACCATATTAAATTAATAAACACATAAACATAGTATAGTACTGAGAATATAGAGTTCTAAAGCACATTACTGAGCATCGAAAAGACTATGCTGACAACATCCGGTGTGTTTTTTAAAAATACCCAAATATACAACACATTATATGAGGTATGCATAACCTTTGCGCATTATCTTAAATGGTGTTGGCATATTAGTCCTAGAACTCTCTGCCACCCAGCAGCAAAAGAATTAATAGGATTATAGTGCAACATGTGCAAGAGGGCCAAGGTTGGACACCGCTGCACTAAATCATCACAGAAAGGAAACCAAGTGGACATCCATCAGAGCCAGATCTCATACCAAGTCATATGTCCATTCAGCCTATTTTTATTTCAAAAAACATGTTGCTGATGTTGCTTCTGCTTATGAATAAAAAAAAAAATTCTTCCCATTCTGTGTATAGAATTGTGTATATAAGTTGTTATGGTCATTTCATCTGTATTATAAGAAGAGGAACGGAGGACCTGAACTATTATGTTGACCTTTTAATAAGGGTAACAAGATCGATACTTTGATATTTTGCCAAGATGGGCCCAATAATAACAAAATTAAGTTTAAGACATGTATAGGCTCTTAATAATAGAATGCTACACTTGGTGTATCACTGGATTGAAAAGCTTTGCTCCATTAGCCATTGGAGCTTAGTGCATAATATATAAAATAAACACAAATATTCTTACTACACTACACGGTTATATTGTCCTATAAATGAGATCCATCTACATGTCTCGTGTGCTATCCTGATTAGACTATGTCCTTCATAACAAGCCTCATGTTTACACCTGAGCAATGAATGCCAACGTTTATATCCTCGTACATCAATCACAGGCTTACAAGAGGCGAGCCAGCAGCTGCACTGGGGTAAACGGATCACTACAATTCAGCGAGCTGGCTTGATCACCATATCTGTGTCAGACAGAATTGTTGCTTTTGTAACCATGGATACCATGAAGATACAGCTCTCCTTTAACTTCATTAAAGGTAGACAACGTAATTTTCTGGAACCAATCCAGTTTTGCCTTCAAAAGTTGCTTTCAGCCAGCCGGGTTCCACCGATCGGTACACTGCATAAAACAGAACATTTAAAAATCCATATTTTTTTTTTTTTTTTAAGTCAAAAGAGTAAAGGCAAATATACAACAATGGGTACATTTACAATGCAACCAAAACAATGAGCAGAGAGGGGTGCACAGGTGTGAACGGGAAAGAGTTATGTCAGAGAATGATGGCAAAGTCGGCAGTAGGAAACTGCCCTTTGAGCTGCTAGCTATGGAAGCTTGGCAAGGTGGATAGGGGCTGCAGCCTCAAAACTTCTTCTGAAGGTTATAGCAGAATTGGAATGTCTACACAAAAGGCAGGTTTTCGGTGTTTGCTACATTGGCAGAACGCAGAATGTAGAGAGGTCCCTGGTGCAAGAAGGTAGATCCCGTGTTGTTCATCTCCCATTACTCTTTGCCTGCTTCAGATGTACATTTGGATGGATTTGCATTTGCCTTTCTTTGCATGGATATGTGTGTGAGAACTGAGCAGAGGAACAGTTACTTTTGGAGTGTTTTTGTTTTCTGCACTCATTTTGTATTCCAGTGCCTTCTAATTAGCACTTTTGTGTTGTTTGTGCTGTTTTTTGAGCACTGTCGGTGTTCGTGCATTTGAATGTAAGCATGGTTTTGTATGGAGTATTTGTGCGTGATTGTAGGGCTGTATTGGTATTTAGTGCTGGCATTTCAATACCGTTTTGTGTTTGTATGTACTGTTGCCATTTGAAAGCAGTGGTGTAATTGTGTGTAGTGTTTGCATTTGAATGTAATGGTGTGCTTGTGTGTAGTTTTGGTGTTTAAATGCTGGGATGTATGCACATATACACATACACGGTCACACGCACACTGAGAAACAGATACACACACATATACACTTATATGCTGGCATACACATTCATGCAGGTCATAATATAAATATTTTTAACTACCCTCGTGTTCCCTTATCTTATGGGTGCAGTAGGGTGCTGGGGATCCACTGGGATCTGAATGCTGACTGAAGCTGCTGAGGCTATCCTTCAAGGCTCTCTCAATCTGCTCCTCCCTTTTCCTCTCTCTTCTCTGTCTCTTTGCAGTAATCTAGTGTGAAGAGAGAAAGTGACTTGTACTCACTTCCTCCCAGCACTGTGAGCAAAACTGCTGGTCTGCTAGATAAAAATACTCACTGATAAACATGCACACACTGCTAGGCTCACACACTGATGGACAAACATACACCAGCAGTGCTCTTTGAGCAGTTCTAGGAAGTGAATAGTAAGTAAAGTGGAAAGGACGATAAAATGTCTAGACAATCCTCACCATAAATAAGAACTCAAAGACAAGATAAAACATATGGACTTTTAGGTGACTAGAACAATTAACTGGGTTATTCACTAAATGGGAATTTAAAGTGATTTTCATAATTTAGGCCACAATACCCAATTTATAAATATTATTAAAGTCAAATCTGAGTTCAGACTGGTATTTAGTGAAGAAGGTGAACAGCACTGAATTAACACATTAAATACGTAAACATAGGATAGACTTCCAATGTATGTATCTTGAAAAAAAGAAAAACAGGGACAAATAACGGTGCAGCAAAATAAACAAAATTGAAATATAAATAATAAATGCCAATGGAACAAGCACACTTTTTAGAGCTATACAAGCTCTATTTATTAGGCCTCGGCAGTATAATCCCCATCTAAGGATATCCCAAGGGAAGTCAGCAGGACTTGATTCCAGGTGGATGATATTTACCATATATAGAAAGAAATAAAAAGAGAAGATCCAATGGTATGGCATGTAAAAATAACAATAGCTGTAGAAGGATAATATCCTACTTACTTAACCTAGAGCAAGAACCTGCTCTAGTGTGTAGAACGTTAGATGGAACAATCCCTATCTGAGGATATGTATGGAACCGGATCAGCAACAGGAATAGGATGTAAGGTAAGTACTCAAAAGACTGCATATATATATTAAAAAAAAGTATTGTATTGGGTAAAACAAAATATGATAAAATATAAGTAAGATATTAAGTATAAAAGTCCTCTATAACAAAGAGTAAGTCCTCACTTGTCCTCACTTGACGCGTTTCTCCAAAGCTTTTTAAAACGGGGATGTTAGTAGATCGGGCTTCAGCTATTTGTATCATCCTGGGTCCTTGTTATAAAATAGTTGTTTGGGTTTGCGGGAGAGTGTGGTTATGAGGGTATTGAAGTCATTTACTTTTGCAGAGGAAAGAGCCAGAGTGTAGGAGCGCAGCATACATTTACAGTGGAGGATGTCAGGTGCAGAGTGAGACTTTCTCCAACAGCGTTCAGCAATTCTTGAACATTTTTGGAGATATCGGGTCAGCTTTGTGTGCCAGGATTGTAATTGGGGACGCTTGCTGAGCTTAAATGTAGGAGGTGCCATGATGAGAGGAGAGAGTGGAGATGTAGAGTGAGGTTGCAGAGTTAGGGCAAGTGAGATTTGAGATCATCCTGTTCCTGCTGCTGATCCGGTTCCATACTGTCAAATCATGCCTTGTTCTGCGGATCAGTCTGGTGATGGCTTCTGGTATCCAGTACTCTTTTTACAATCCTTGTTTAGTTTTTCTTGGTTTTTTGGTTTTCTATTCTATGTCTGGTTTTCTTTATGCTGGGTTTTCTGGGTTCATTCCTGTATTCCGTCCCTGGATTTCCCAGTCTCTTGGATTGAATAGAAAACCAGAAAAACCAAGAAAAACTAAACAAGAATTGTAAAAAGAGTACTAGATACCAGAAGCCATCACCAGACTGATCCGCAGAACAAGGCATGATGTGACACATACATATCCTCATGTAGGGATTGTTTCACCTAAACTTCTACACACTGGAGCAGGTTCTTGCTCTAGGTTAAGTAAGTAGGATAGTATCCTTTTACAGCTATTGTTATTTTTACATACCATACCATTGGATCTTCTCTTTATTTTTTCTTTCAAAACATGGTAAATACCATCCATCTGGAATAAAGCCCTGCTGACTTCCCTTGGGATATCCTTAGACATGGATTACACCATCCAGGCCTACTAAATAGGGTTTATATAGCTCTAAAAAGTGTGAGTGTTCCATTGGCATTTATCATTTAGATTTCACTATTGTTTATTTTGCTGCACCATTATTTCTCCCTGTTTCTCTTTTTTCATGAAACATACATTGAAAGTCTCCCCTAAGTCTATGTATGTAATTTGTTAATTCAGCACTGTTCACATCTTTGTTGGTTTTGTAGCATATATTATACAAGGGTGGGGGAACTCCTTGTTAGTGAACTGCAGCTACTGCATTAGATAGAGAGTGCTTATTTATATAATGCTTTGTGCTTGGTAGTTTGTGAAGTTTACTTTGAATTCCTATCAATTCTCATTTCAGTGACGAACCATGCCAGTCATATGAAGGAGAAATATCCTGGAAAAACAAATATTTTACCAGGAACAAATATTCAGAGAATAATGAGTGACAATTAGTGAGATAAAACTGAAATGCCAATGCCCCTGGAAAGGCCTAAGAACAAGGAAATATAAACAGCCCTATTACTCTTCCAACTTATAAACCGCTCTGTATGATGTGCAATGACTCATGTTTTTGAGTAAGTCAATTGGAATCTTACCATTACTAAATATCGCCCCCTGGGGGAAGGAAAGTTCATGGCTGTGCTCTGCCTTACAGGAATACATTGCTTTAGCTTGTCTGAAATAATAATAATAATAAAAAAAATGATTACTGTAATGCTATTATTATTGAAACACAAATGATTATATTATTATTATTTTATTATTTATATAGCGCCAGCAAATTCCGTAGCGTTGTACAATGGGTGCATCAACACGTGCTCTAACCTCCGCATTTATAACAGAAACGTCAGCCTTTTCCCAGCAAAACTGGGTTTAATAACTAAATAAAGCTCTGGACAACTGGTTTGCAAAATTTAGGCCAACAGAAAGTAACGTTGGAAAAGGTTAGAGTTCACCTATATTTTGCGCACTAATTTACCACAACTCACTGTGAAAAAACTAGTGTCTTTAATTAGGGAAGTAGTGAAAGGAAACAGGCTGCTAAGCCAGAATTCTCACATACGGGCAACTGGTCAACGGGAAAACAAACAACTTTAAAAAAACGAATCTTGAAAAGTACATGATGTTTTATCAAAATTCCAAGAGACGTTTAAACATAGTTTAGTTTTTTTTCCTAATGCGGCTGTTTTGGAACTTACTTTGTTGTTTAGTGATTACATACCTTGATATTTGAATGTGTGCACATACAAAGCATGCTTTACTTTATTTAACGAACGAGGCAAAAAAAAATCTAGATTTGAGAAGAACCTTTTTTCCAAGTGTCAAGCATTTACACAGTCACAATAAATGGCACTCACCGGATTATTCTAGTGCTGGATGTATGGGCTCCTGTCCCCAAAACCCAGCATAAATTCAAAACAAACGTGCTTCGTACTGAAGGTTCAGCAATGAATTTGATCAAACCATGCCGGAATATTTCGGTACTGTAGTACCTTTGTCAGTGCTTTGGTAAGCATTTATAATATTTTAGAATCAATCCAAAGTAGAAATACCAGAGAAATATCCATAACTGCTTAAAACGTAGCTCAGTTGGAGAATTTGTCCAGTTCAGCTATTTTGAAAAATATGTGATTTTCCACAATCTTAATTAAGTAAATAGCTGCAAAAATAACCTCATGCAAGTGATGGCTATCATAGCTACTGTATTTTAGGGTGTATAAGCTCAGTTGGAATTATGATTTGATTACTCCTCTGACTTAAAAATTATAATTAATTGGTAAATTCCAGACAGCTCTTGCTATCAAAAATGCCATTTTACTTTAATGGTATACAGTAAAAATTCATAATGGAAATAAACAATTATCAATGCGTGATTAGATATTTACAGCACTTGAAAATTCTTTCCCATGACTTTTGACTTGACTGCTGTCATGAAGATTTGTTTAGTTTTTTTTTTAGTTGTTTTTAGTTTTTCATTGGGAGTGTCATTTCCTGTTTCCTAACTATTTAAAATTGTAATTCTTTTTTTTTTTTTTACCTAACAAGTCTTTACCAAAATTGTATACTTTATAAAGGAACTGTCACCAACAAAACTATCAACAGAATGTCATGTATTTATCTGAAGTGCCTATTAATCCAGTTGACCTGAAAACTGGCTGTACATAGTGTAAAGTGTCAAAGTAAGCCATCCCTGGCTAACAGTTTGCGTTTGAGTTTATTAGTCAGTGTGTTATATGTACCCATGAGATCTAAGGGACATATTATTGTCAAAAAGCTGTACTCAATCAGATATCTAGGAATAACTAAAAGATGTGTTGTTGTTGTTGTTTTTTCCCATGGAAAATGTTGTATGTTCAAGCTTAATAATAAATTCCTTCATCATGAGGACAGAGTATATTTCTACCATGGAAATCTATAAACTCACAATCGATACTTTTTTTGTCTTGGTGTTCCAACATAAATAATAGTTGTTTGGCATGAAGAAGGTTAATAGGGCTGGATGAAAAGTAAAGATGCTTTGCTAGGAGGTAAGTCCTGTTAAACTTACCGTCCGGGGATAGATTGCTTCAGTGACCCTGCATTTTCAAAGAGCTGGGCTTTAGCAGCTACCCTGATAGAGAAAAAAACCCCACAAAATAAATAAATATTTTATATGAACACAGACAAAGACAGATATAAACAGACAGTTAGGTAGACATTGCATGTATGTGTCTATATCACACTGTGGCCCTCAATACGTTTTACGTGGGCACCTCCCAGTCTGAAAACCCCAAATGTTGTTTTATACCACCCACCCTATTTCTGCATTATACTCATTCCCAAAACAAGTGAATAGACTAAATTGCCCAATTTGTGGTTTTTCACATACATTTGTAATAATACAGATGCTAATAATAATAATCATGTTATACTTGGCAATAAACAATTGACCGCATTATAGTCATGCAATGGTTAAATAGGCTTCAGACCTTTAAATATTTCCCCCAATGCCAGTGGTGCAAAGAGTCTTTGGGTGTCTCCCCAATTTGCCCAGTTTGTGTCAAATTATTTTGGAAGGGTTAAAAAAACTGACTTCTTAGTGCACCTAAGCCTGGCCCCTCTGCTGAAAAGCATTATGTGTCTGGAGCCTGTCACATTAGAAAGCGGCACTTTGATAACTAGGGAGGTGTGTCTCAATTATAAATCAGATAGTCAGAAAGACAAAGAGGTTTCATGTAAAAATACAGGAGTTTGTTTGCTGTACTTGAATAAACCCCCCTACAAATGAATGCATAGTCTTTCTCACACCACTCGAACAAACAAACAAGGTTATTTAATATGTTTTTCCAGAAGAAAATGGAAAAACTATTCTACAATTTTTTTCAGCTTGGATTTGTAGTCCAGTTTGCAACTTTCTGTTCAATTCCTGGCATTTCTCAGTTTTGTGAATAATTTAGAGCTGGAATTGTGAATTTAGCCCTATGATTCGGTGATACAGCTAACTAATACTGTTACACGATTACCAGACTGGTTACAGCTAAGTAATCACCAGTTCTATTAGAAAGTCTTTTCTTCTTCACTCTTCTAGAAAAATTCACAAAATTTTTGCACAGACTGAGAATAATTCACTTTTACAGACATATTTCATTCATAATAAAACACAGTATAGGGGGGTATATAAGAAATATTAAATAAATTGTAATAAGAATTCGCAACTTCACTGGAAATTGCAGAAACTCAAGCTACTTCCTGCGTTTGTGAGTCTTCCTTCTATAGTTTCTGCAGTAGACCCTGTTCAGTCTATTTTTTGTTGGCAATGCTATATTTTGTAAAAATGTACAGTTTTTAATCTTTTTTTCTTCTTCAATGAATCAACTAAAATATGACACATTCTTAGTTTAAGCCTTACAAGTAAACTAGAACTTTCGCCTAACAATGAATAAAACTAGTTTGCAATTCTCACACTGATCCAGGTCTCTGGTAGCCATTACTGGAACCCGTATCCAGCCTTTGCCGTCTCATAACTTTGGGAGGTAAATCAGGAAAAACCTTTGAAACGTCTTTCATGTCCATAGGCGTTAAGCTTTGAGTCGATGTGCTCCGACTTTTAATGCCTATGGTAAACAGGAAGAAGAAAGTTAAGACAGTTTAGTAAGGTAGCTTTACGTGTCTTATTTTTTTAAACATATGCATAGTTTTTTTTTAGCTTTTTTTAAATCTAGTCTTTATCCTGTGTAATTAGGGCTTTATACACATGAGATAGTTCCTTAATGTGTTGTGGATAACTATTGATACTGTGATCTAAGCAAGAAGCAATGAATAAAAAAACATCATTTTTGTTACGATGAAAAGACCGTCATTATGATACTAACAAATGAATGAACCTATATTTACTTCTAGCTCTACAGAAACTCCATTAGGCTTTATTATACATTTACAATAGATTTGTATTATTTGTATTATTATCTACTTACATGTATAAACTAATTTGTTATAGTAACTCACAGGCTTCATTTTCCTTAGATCTTTGAATTTTACTTGAAACGTATTTTACACAGTGACATTAAGACATTTCAATTGTCAATGTACCCTAGGCAGTGTCGTTAAACCCAGACAAAACAAAACTACAGCTGGGTGTAGTGGTTATGGTGCCTATAGTCTGTGGCTGCTCTCCAGATTTAGAGCACCGGGAAACCTTCCCTACTCAGCCGCCCTCTCAATGTGGGCATTACAAGTGTCAGTCGTGGACGCGTGTGACTGTATCTTTAGCCCTCAAGTTGTTATTGATCATAAATCCTATATCATATAGCATGAAAATGGTAAGAAATAATGAGAAATAGTTTCACATGCTGGGTGGATTTTGTAAATAGAACAACGCAATATGTGTTTTTTTTTTCTTTGTGCATGCTTTGAAATCATGCAAACACAGAACTGTTTATTTTCTGCTGATTTGGTAATAAACAGTCTATCCTTTCATGTGTCTCACAACTTAAAAGTCTTAAATTAATACAACTCAGGCAAAATACTAATGTGAATAATATGACAAAACTGTAACTCAGTATACACGTATTATTTCAAGCCAGGGTTTGGTATTGTAAAGGTAATTAGGATAACTTTTCTTTTCATGCAAATCAGATTATTATTATATTTTTATATATATATATATATATATATATATATATTTTTTTTTTTTATTCAGAATGTAATATATTGTCTAATGCACTGATAGCATATTGTCTGCTTAGAGGGCACCACATGCATTATTTTAATGTTGTTCCTTTTATTCCCACTTCTGCAGACTTTACGGCTATGCCATTTTCATATCAATTGAAATCTACAAAATGTGATGTGCTGTCATCATACCTTCAAATGATAGATGAGGCATCCCAAAATGCTTAGCCTACAGGATGCCTCATCTATTATTTGAAGGTATGATGACTGTGCATCACAATTTGTTTGACATTCTTAATGTTACGTTTGTTAACACATACATTCAGCAGAACACCTTTGATATATTAAAAAAAAAAAATCTTCAACTAGTATTTTTTTTGGTTCACATAAAGCCAATAGTTTTTACCTTCTGGAGAAGATAAAGAACGAAGGGAAGTTGCAGAGGAACGTTTCAAACCAGAGAATTCAAAATGGCCTTTCTTAGTCAAGTCAATCGGAGGAGATGAGTTTCCCGGGCTAGTGACAGATGATACGCTCTGACAATCAGACTCTACATCTGTTTTTGAAGCATCTTCTTTTGAACTTGACTCAGGGCTGGTAGTCCAAAGGCTGGAGCTTTTCTGGCCATTAGAAGAAGGTGTAGAAGTCACCCAAGGAATCCCCCCTCCTTTCTTTTCTCTTTGAGGCGATGACACTGATTTTGAAGTACTATTTTGTTCTGAAGAGTGCGAAGAAAGTGATTCAATGCTTCCCATTGGGGTACTAGTTGGGCTACTACTATAAGAGTCACCTAAAAAAGAACATACATGTTGATTATTTTATTACATATTCCATCATGTAAGATCACATGGTTTTCATTAGGTTGCTCCTCTCATGGTTTTATCTAAAAAATATTCTCATGCTTGATGCCAAATCAAGGAAGCTAAACAAGCAGTTGCAAAACAGGACTATAATTGACATAAAATGTGAATTTTATGGTTTAGTGAAAGTCTGAAAAAATCTTTCACATGCTAAGAAAGTTCCTAGGAATAAAAAAAATAATACTTGGAAATCTGATACAAGATAAAATTTAATAAATAATAAATAAACCATAAACGTCATTTAAAAAAACAAAACATACTATCTGGATCTGCAAGGCATGGTGTTAATCTTCCTTTAGGTTTCCTGGATCCAGATGAAAGACAGATTGCTCTAGTCCTTCTAGAACTTGTCCGCGACTGAGCCTGCGGAAGAGGCACATTCGGATCTGGAGCAGTATGGAAAATCTATATACAAAAACAAAACATGTACAAGTTGTTTGAATTGCATATACCTTTTGTGATCCATATTAAGAAGATATTTTAATTACAAAATAAACATATTGTAAAGATTTAAAAGTAAAGCCATATCCTTCCCCTTCAAGTGCTGAAAACTAGTTGCATAACAAATATTTGGTATATTTGTATTCTTCTACCAACTTCCACTATTCCTAGCATTTGATGTACACTATTTCTAAAGTTTGAAAACAAAATATCCTACTGCCTAAAGGAACAAGGTGAGGAAGGACATGGAGCCTGCTTGGGCTGTATGATTGCATGTTAACAAGTATCAACGTACATTACATTTTGGGGGGTAAATTTGGGGAGATAAATACTAATGTCCTTAGTCTGCTCAGTAAATCCAAAGTTTGCCAGTTTGCAGTCAACAATGAACGTTCACATCTCTGAAAAATAGATCTCTACATCTACACTGAAATCTATCAATTCAGCGAGCACAATAAAATGTACTTGAACTTGACTGACAAGAAAGTGTAGGAGAACCCACGTTCAGATGGTTATACTTCTCACTGCCTCAGCAAGCTTGGGACATGCAACATTGATTTACAGGACCACTATAGTGCCAGGAAAACAAACTTGTTTTCCTGACACTATATAATCCTTAGGTGCCCCCCACCCTCAGGGCCCCCCTCCGGCTGGGCTGAAGGGGTTAAAACCACTCCAGCCACTTATCTTAATCCAACGCCGAGCTCCCTCGGTGCTGGTGACCATTCGTCCACCTCCAACGTCATCTCCGAATGGAGCCAAACGTGCAAGAGCCACATGCATTCAAACCGTCCATAGGAAAGCATTACTGAATGATTTCCTATGGACATTCTGCATGCTCAATGCAATTTTCGCATCGAGCGCCGCAGAAGCGCCTCTAGCGGCTGTCAGGAAGACAACCACTAGAGGCTGGATTAACCCTGCAATGTAAACATAGTAGTTTCTCTGAAACTGCTATGTTTACAACTGCAGGGTTAAAACCCAGACCACTTCATTGAGCTCCATAGTGGTCCTTTAATGTTTACTCCTAGAAAGATAGCCCTGCACTTTCTGCCTGCCATTGAAATCCAGATTGGACATCAAGTGATATTGGTAAATGGAAGTGTAACTACCATATAAAGTTGGAGTGATTATTTTGCTTAAAATGCCCTAGTACGGGTAAAAAATGGCAACTAATGCATCAAACCCTGTATTTCTATTTTTCCATAGCACTCTTGATGACCCCGGGCAAACGGTAGCCGTGAGAAACGTGCATCGAGTGCAGACTGACGTGGCCTTTTGATCTAGAAGGCTTTTCCACTTAGTCTCTACTTTAATAACAGATAACTTGTTAACTCTGGTCCATTAGGGAATTACTTCACTTGATTACCCTAAGATATTGGAATTGGAATATATATATATATATATATATATATATTTTAATTTTTTTTACTTTATTGTTCATTCTAGTAGGTAGGAAGTTTTCCAACTTAGTAATTTCTGTATTTTGTTTTTTTTAAACTGTTGCTTAAAACATAGAGGGAACAAGTGCTGGCTGCCAAATATGTAGGGACATATAGTTTGGCAATATTTTAGACTATATTAGGGACCAACCGGCTCTTGCACCCTCCCTGCTTGCCTGGAATTGATTTAACTATAATCAGTACTAGATTCCCCCCGCCCCCCCTTCTAACTCTTAGAATCTCTCTAACCCCTTTTTTGCTCTAATTCACATGGGGTTCACCAGATAACTATTTGCTCTGATTTATATCCTGTCACCAGACAGTAAATTTCACTCATATCAGCATAAGAGCATTCAGCAGTGAGAAAATTGCAACATTGGCGCAACGTCACTAATTGTTGCAATATCTCCCTAAGAGATACTTTTGCGTAACTCTTTATTTATTTGTTATATTTCCTTTATGTTTGACCAACGCACTGCCTTGGAACTCACACTCCATGACTTCTAGAATTCCAGTAACAGGGATTTCTATATTATTTTAAAACGTTATTTTTTACCATTACATCACTAAGACTTTTGATCATTCACTACAAACTATCTTTTTCTCTTTCTATTTATCCACGAAGAAAAGAAAAATTGCACACATAAACAGAATATCAGATTCCGTTAACATCTGTTCTATAAAATGGTTCATTAATAGATTAATGTGAACCGATGCATTGTTTATTAGTCAAGACGTACACAGTGTATGATTCTGTAACACGTACGTACACATTATTAAATCAAGGTCTCTCTAATCCTTGAAATCTGCTTCTCACATTAAGACAGAACGAAATCCATAGCAATAATATCAGACAGAGAACGAGAAGAAAGAGAAAGTAATTTTTTTCTAAAAAATACTCTAATCTAGGTAATACATTCAAACCTGCCTGTTACGCTTCTGCAATTTACTATTTTACGGTGAAATAGAACTAAATTGTGAAAAGGCAATTTAATAATAATCATCACCATTATCATAATGATCATAATAATAGTATATACCTTTTCATAATGCTCTATTAAAATTTCAACAACTATATTTTGAAACTTGATGTTCATCATGGCTGCCACTGTTTCTTCCTGCGCTCTCATGAGAGTCGGCCCAAAGATGACTCCAAGATTAGAAATGGTCATTAGATTTTGTTGGCTGTGCAATGATACCCTGCAAGATAAGAGAAAGGCATATTCAAAGTTTATGAGAACCACTTTGGTATTTGGAATATTAAAATTATAAGAGGGCCCCCAAACTCCCTACTTCCCTCCCCTGGAAGGCAGACCAAGCTCGTGGGCATGCAACCTACAACCCCTACCCTTCCACTTTGACTGACCCTCATTAAGCTGGCATCTATCTCCTCTCTATCTTCTCACTCTCCTAGTAGTATATAACCCACCGCAGTCAGGGGTTAAACTAAAACGCACCACATCCTATCCCACACAAGTTAAGGGACAAAATCGATTAACAACCTCTCAAGCACATCTCCCAAACGAACTCCCCTACCTAACGTGACTACCACCACAAAGCTAAAGCTTCATGCGAACACAACCGCTCTTACTCAGGAGCCAGGGTCCCAATAGCCACCATCTGTCCGTGGTCAGAGTCAGCCTGAACGCCCCAGAAGGAGCACTGACTAATAGACGACAACACACCCCTCCTTGGGGAAAGGCGAAAAAGCCCAATAGACCCTGAGAAGAGTATATCGATGGATACTGTAACAGTATCCCATCACTTGTAGCTCCAGACTGTTATGATCTTATGTTACTCTGTATTTCTATATATCTGTACCTATGTATCTCACTGTACTTGCTACAAATGAAAACATATAAATAAAGAATCTGAAAAAAATAAAAATAAATAATATTTATAATTATAAGAAAGTGATGGTTTTGTCAAGAGACACTTTGCATGAAAGACTCCTGTAGCTAAAAACACCAGGTTTACTGTGCACTACACGAATGCAAGGAAAAGTGATCTTCTGCAGCAAAGGAAACTTCGCTCAACCCGAACTGCACTCCCACTCCAGTACACAAAAATGAAAACAAATAGCCTCAGATCTTAACGAGATAGCAGGAATTTGGTTGGTGACTATATGTTAACGTGGGAGAGAATGTGGCTGGTTGCAATGTGTTAAGGTCTGAGACAATATGGTTGAGGATAATATGTTAAGAGGGAAGAAAATATGGCTGGTGGGAATAAGTTAAGGCGGGAGACAATGTGTCTGGTGGGAATAGATTAAGGTTGAAGAGAATATGGCGAGTGGCATAAAACAATATTTACCTCACAAGGTGTTTGATTAAGATGTCCAACATTTCTCTGTTTTTTTCTGGTAACTTATGAACGAGGGCATGAACTGCTTGAACTCTATAGTTCTGGTCATCTGACTCTGCATGATAATACAATAAATTAGAACATCTAAACATTACCAAAAAACTTTCAAGGAAATATATAATCATACATATTTTTATTAATGATAAAACATTACATGTAATATAGCCTCTGCTATTTTGTAATTCATACATAAAAGTAAATACCCCTTCTCAGTGCATCACTTGGCTTATCCCTTATCTGAGGAGTGGCCATTTTCAATCATCTTTAAAAGCATAAGAACTGCTTCAGAATAAATGAGATTTAAAGGCATACTCTAAGCACTAAAACAAATTCAGCTCAATTAAGTGGTTTAGGTGTATAGACCATGCCTCTGCAGTTACGCTGATCAATTCTTTAGAAGTTTCGGAGTTAAATGTCTTTGTTAATGCAGCCTTAGCCATACATCCCCCAGTTGAGATTTACACAGCCTCCCAAAATACATCCTTATAAAATTCCTACATCTAGACAACAATTTACTTGGAAAACAGAAACATTAGAAAAGAAAAAAAAAATCAGATAAATAGAAAAAGGTAGATTTATAAAGAAAAAATAGGTGATATTCTGGGTCAAAGTGCTAAATAAGAAATAATTGCCGTGGAAACAAATAAAGGTTTCTCAACATTTAGCAATCTGCACCCAGAAAAAAAACTATTTTGTTTTTATAAATATCCCCTAATCACTCAAATGTAGGAGATCTTTAGTATGCTAATAAATAAAATAAAATAAAATGAAGATTTCTCTTAGAACAAAGCTGTATTCTGATTCCCTTATAACAACAAGTAGCCAATTAGAACACAGATACAATTAAAATGGTGAACGGTGAAATGTGTGGATGATAATAAACATTCCGTCTGCTATAATTGCAGGCTGTCAGCAATAAAAGTAAAAATAGTCATATTCCCAAACACTCCTTTAATAAACTGTTTCACATAAAGTAAGCTACATGCCCTTAATGGGCAAAAATTCATCCTCTAGACCAGGGCCCTTCAGATGTTGCTGAACTACAACTCCCATGATTCTCTGGCTATCTATTTAATTTAGAAAAAAGCTATTGCTTTCCCATAAAACAAAGTACAGAGTGTGAATGAGAGATGGAATAGGAGTCTATGTAAAATATACAGTCACAGAGGCCTATGAAAGGACCAGGAATGGCTGACACATCTCAGACATTTATTTTCTTCAGTAAAACACCACTGGATACGGATCAGCACTTAGGCCTCCATTTAATACTATTGGATATACTTTTCAAATGATTTATTATCGTCAACTCAACTTTTAAAAGTATTTCATTTTACAAAAGACACACTGCCTGGCCAAAAAAATAGTCGCCACCAAAAAAAAAAAAGGTCACACACTCTAAGATTTTGTTGGACCGCCTTTAGCTTTGATTACGGCACGCATTCGCTGTGGTATTGTTTCAATAAGCTTCTGCAATGTCACAAGATTTATTTCCGTCCAGTGTTGCATTCATTTTTCACCATGATCTTGTATTGATGATCGGAGAGTCGGACTATAGCGCAAAGCCTTCTCCAGCACATCCCAAATATTCTCAATGGGGTTAAGGTCTGGACTCTGTGGTGGCCAATCCATGTGTGAAAATGTTGTCTCATGCTCCCTGAACCACGCTTTCAGAATTTGAGCCAGATGAATCCTGGTATTGTCATCTTGGAATATGCCAGTGCCATCAGGAAAGAAAAAATCCATTGATGGACATAACCTGGTCATACATTATATTCAGGGAGTCAGCTGACCTCATTCTTTGGGCACATAATGTTGCTAAACCTAGACCTGACCAACTGCAGCAACCCCAGATCATAGCACTGCCCCCACAGGCTTGTACAGTAGGCACTAGGCATGATGGGTGCATCACTTCATCTGTCTTTCTTCTTACCTTGATGCGCCCATCACTGGTGGTTCCTCACTATCCTTCCAGTTTTTAATAATGCAATAATGCATAATGGACAGTTCTTAAAGGACCACTATAGGCACCCAAACCACTTCAGCTCAATGAAGTGGTCTGGGTGCCAGGTCCCTCTAGTGTTAACCCTGCAGCTGAAAACATAGCAGTTTCAGAGAAACTGCTATATTTCTCTGAGGGTTAATCCAGCCTCTAGTGGCTGTCTCACAGTGAGAAGACGCTGGACGTCCATAGGAAAGCATTGAATAATGCTTTCCTATGGGCGGTTTGAATGCATGCGCGGCTCTTTTGCGCATGCACATTCGGTCCGACGTCGGCAGAGGGAGTAGAGTTCCCAGCGTCGAGGGATCACGGAAAGGTAAGTGGCTGAAGGGTTTTTACCCCATTCATCCCAGTGGGAGTGGGACCCTGAGGGTGGGGGGGGGGACTATTAACGAGTTTTTTTTCCTGGCACTATAATGGTCCTTTAACCCAATTTTAGTCGTTTTTGCAATCTCCTTAGATGTTTTCTGTGCTTGATGCATGCCAATGATTTGACCCTTCTCAAACAGACTAACATCTCTTCCACAACCACGGGATGTGTCTTTCGACATGGTTGTTTAAGAAATGAGAAGTTACTCATTGCATCAGTTAGGGTTAAATAACTTGTTGCCTGCTGAAAGATAATCACCCATGCAGAAACTATGGAATAGGAGGCCCTTACCTATTTGCTTAGTTAAATTCAGGTGGCGACTTTTTTTATGGCCAGGCGGTGTATTAACATTTCATAATATTTTAATATATTGATATATTTTTAGATATGATATTTATATATTTTAATAGTTTGAAAAAAATAATTTCAAAACATTAACCAAAAATTTGAAATCCCTTAAAAAGCTTATCCAACAGAATTAAAGGAACACAAAAGCATTAGAAATACAAACCTGTATTCCTCTCGCTTTAGTGCCTCTGTCCGTAGTTATACAGGTTATCCCCAGCATGCCATAAAAATTTTTGAAAAAAGCTTTTCCCTCTGTGCTGCATACCTCTCCTCCTCCCCCTGTGATGTCACATGGGAGACCTTGCCTCCTCTGCAATGGTCCTATCCAACGCTTCCCATAAATGAGCATGATGACATGAAGCGCATGCACAATGAGCACTGTGCATGCATTCTAGCTCTCCCATAGAAAAGCATTGATTCAATGCTTTCCTATGGGGCTGCAAAGTGACATGTACTGAGTTTTTCTAAGTCTTTGCAGTTGAAGTGCCTCCAGTGACTGTCATTGTAAAATCCTCTGAAGGTGTGTTTAACCCTTCAAAGTAAACATTGCCGTTTCTGCAAAACAATATTGAGATGAATTGGCCTGTGACTTTAGTGGTCAGTTAAATTGAGGCCTTTGTGATTTATAGCAAAATAGGTGAATTCAGAGGTCAGAAATGTATTTATATACTTTTAGCTTAATTATCTGTATAATGCAGGAAAAAATATGTATGTTAAATCCACGTTGGAGTGTCCCTTTAACTAGATATACTCTTGGTTTTTTTAACACCATTAGTTTAAACCTTGTAAATTCAAGAACAGGGCTGTATATGGAATAATACGTTAAATATATCTCCAGTATAAAAGAGCATAAAAATATGAAGAACAGTCAAACATCATTTATGTAGTGAAACGTTGCAATTTATTTCTGTGCAGGAGATATACTCACTGACTGCAAGTATCAAATCTTTGTGCAATTTATAGGTCATCAGGGGTTCCGTGAGACATCTGAAACAGATCAAAACAAGTCAAGCATTTCTTGAAGGATGGGACTTCGTCTTGGAGAAAAAAATGTGAGGAACTCTGGCAGTAGTTTCAGGATCCCAAAGAAAGTAAAAAAAGGAAACAAAATAATCTGACCCTGGCGACGGCGTATTAGCACACCGAAATGCGCGTTGGGCGTTTCATTTTTTATTTTATTTATTAAGCACTTTTGGGTAACACTATGCACATTTAGTCTGTACGTTCTGAGGGTTATTGGTGCAAGTAGGCACACACTAGCCTTGTGTGGTGCTGAGGTATATAGGGACAGTGGGAGATTCTTCCGTGGATGGGGGTCCTTAGGATACCCACATAATTATCAGCCACTTCCTTTATCTCTTTTTTGGCTTGAGCATATAATAGAGGGGAGGTATGGATGAGGTAATTTGTACCTTTATATAATATATCGAGTCAGCTGTCCAGTGATTAGGGTGCTACCCTTTTTTTATTTGTCTTTTTCCCCCCTGTTTTCACTTTAAGGGATGTGTTCGACTAGGTTTTCTTATAAACTGACTTCCTGAGTAAACGATCACCTATTATCTACCTTTTTCTCTAATCATTATTTATGCACCCACCTGCCCAGAGGTGGATACCACCCACCTCTTAATCGCTATTATTATTGATGTCCTCACACTATGTGGAGTTATCTGTTTTTTCTCTCTTTGTATCTAACAGCTATGTATTAGTTGCCAATAAAGCTAAGGTTTCTGTTTTGCTACTTATCTGTTAGACTGTGCTTCTTGCCTATTGGTGAGTGCGACTGGGATTCAGTCTCTTTTAATAAATACAGGGAACGTTTACAATTTATGTGAAAGTTCCAGTGCATGTGAAAGTCAATTGAATGAATGTTTCAGTTTTCCGGAACATAGTGAAGTAGTCTTCCTTTTAATACTCTTTACTTTCTAGTAACAAAGGACAGTATAAAGAAACAGTCAAGTGAAGAGCAAAATAATTTACCCCTTGGGCAATACAAACAGAAAAAATATATTTATTTAAAAAAAAAGTGATGTGTATGTTTGAATATGTTTGTGAATAGGTGTGTGTGTGTGTGTATGCGATTGTCTTCAATTCTACAGCGACACAAGAGCTGAAATGGTGGGGTACAGACACACCAGCTGCTGCGGTATGAAAATTATAAAATATATATATATATATATATATATATTGTACTTACTGAGAAATTCCTGGCAGAACCTACTTGGGTAACAATAACAGAGGTTTCGATAAGAAATGACAGTCATACCTGAGGTAGTTTTTTAGTGCACTTGTTATAGTTTTATTGTCCCAGAGTTCCAAATCGATATCCATATCAGGGGGTGCTTTAGGTGCTAAACAAAAACGATATATAATTTAAATCATAGTATTAGTAACCATATGTTTCACAGTTTAAATCTGCAATACAATTTTTGGATTGTCATCACAAAATAGTTTCTTTCTTAACTGAAACCCGTTTAATTAGTGATACACTGTAATATTCCTTTATTGTCCTTGTTTAGTGACAGAGTCAATGCACGGTCACTAAACAGTCAACCCAAATATGTAATATGTCACAATGAGCAATAAGGGAATCTAAAAAATGTAAACTCCTTAGAGAAAGTGTTTAGGAAGGCTGTGTAAGTCACATGCAGGGAGGTGTGACTAGGGCTGCATAAACAAAGTGATTTATCTCTTAAATGGCAGAGGATTGAGCAGTGAGAATGCAGGGACATGATCTATACACTAAAGTTTGCACCATTAAAGGGTTACTCCAATCACCATGACCACTTCATGACCTTTGCATCATAACCTCTTTATGGTGCCTAGAATCTGTATCTCTTAACACTACGCATACAGAGATTAACCACTTAGCTTCCAGAGGTGTAACTCCATCTCAGGCAAAGTCATTGGCCAGCCCTGTTCTGGGCTGGCTATGTTCAAATTTGTGCATGATTGGCATCTGATGGCACCAGAGAAAAAATAACGCCCCTATAATCCCCTCAGTCTACCCTCTCTCTCCGGCCAGAGGCAGTGACGCCAAGCAAGGAGGCACGGGCTGCAGGGAGAACTTGGACTCAGAGATGTAACAGAGCTGAGTTATAGTGTTTATTTATATGACATGGGGGCAGGAGAGTTTGGAGGGTTAGTCTAACCAAAACCAGTGTTTTATGAAATCACTGTATTTTGGTGGGAGTAACTTTTTAATCAAACATTGTTTTGGTGTCCCTTTAAAAATGATTATTCATTTTTTTCTACCAAAATGTAATTTTATATAAAGATCTATTTATTCCATAATCAATAGTTACTTTTTCAGTCCAGTAAAATTAGCATTTGAATGCACCTTTTAATTTGCTTATAACTCTTTAGTGTGCTGAAAATGTCACTTTTCAACGGTGAAAATTCAAACCCATATGTTTATCTCAACAAATTAATAAAAAAAATTAAAAATAAATCAACAGTTCATAAAACTATGCTTGTTCTATCAGACTCATATGTATCTTATTTAACAAAGAGCAGGTGTGACATCCAGGAATTCCCCACAGGTAAGAATTGCAATTCAATTCACACATTCATAATCCAGGTATGTATAGCGTGGGGGGATTGAGTTACATTAATTAAAGAGGCACACCGGTGTCTACGTGTAAAATGTTACTATTGATAGAGATTAAAATAATTAACCCTTTATTGCCGAACACTTACAAAATACAGTATTCATCAGCTTCTGGACTTTGGAATTAACGCCTCCAATTCTGTAGAGTCCCAAAATAGTAATACCTATAAATAGAGATTATAGTATGTCAGCTTTCGTTGAGCTCATTTAAAAACAGATATGTTAACTACTGCATGTACACACCAGAATAGAACAGATTTATATATATATATATATATATATATATATATATATATATATATATATAGTATGGCTGTACTTAATAAATGAAAAAATTTAGATGGTATACAGTGTATACAGGTAGATTGCTGGATCCTTCACACAGATATAGAATAAAGCTTCAATCTGTGCAGCTTCATTCCACATGTAAACACTGAGAAGACTCACAGGGGAACATACAAAAACAATTTAACATAAACCGTCATCTGTATCCAAGAATGCTACTGTCATCTCTGTCAAAGACCACCTATTAACCCTTTACAATATATCAGGGACCAGCAACCTATGGCACTCGATTTGCCTGCAATTGCAGCTCCTGCCCTTGACCTGTAAATAGCCAGCCAGCCCCTCAGGACCCCAGGAAAGCAACCCACACTAGTAGATATAAACAGATATACCACACTACTAGATATACACAGAGCTGCAGAATAAGCCTCCCCTCATGACACTAGAAGAATATGGCAACATACACACCAAGGGACTTTGAGATCTTGTTTTGGCACAGTACTACTGAAAGGTTGCCTACCCCTGCCGTGAACCGTCATACAGGTTGTTCAACATATATTAAAAAGCGGGGGTTTACCTCGTGTCTCCACAGAATCAATACACTTTTTCACAAAGTTGAACCCTGCTTCATTTAAGAACACTGAAATGACATAAAACAAACAGAGTAAAATGGTATGGTTTTTATGTTTCAAACACAATTTCACGATCTCAAAATGTGCTACCCTCGGGCAACATTAAAAAGAATTTTGTGTATCAACAACAATTACTTGGGATTTATAAGTTGTGATGCAATTCCAAGATGGCCGCCTTCACAATGTAATGCTGAAAGGTCTGTGGTGAATTGGTAACTCTACTACAGCTTGCTTGGATGACAACAATAGTAATATATTAGCATTTTTAAATAAATGTAACCACAGTAAAACCAGAGTGTACTTACAGCACTAGGCCTTTCTGGAATTACACACAATCAGAAATAATTATATGCACATATACAGCATGTGCAACCTTTATATTATGTACTTGCAGATGCAATGCATACAAACTGGGGGTATTCTATAAATATGTACATGACAGGGTCCTTCAGCCATATGCATTGACCTTGAGTCAGGCAGTGTTTTAAATTCAACAGTTGGTCTCCGTGGTAATAAACCACTAAATAAGAGAGTCTTCATAGAAAGTCCAAGAGAATATATACTCTTGGTCTCTGTGGTCTTACCAGCTTCTGTACAGGAAGTGAAGTAGGAAATACCATAGAGACTAACCGTGGAGTTTCAAACACTGTGTGACCCAAGGTGAATGTTTACGGCTCAAGGATCCTGTTATATACAAAATGCAGGGTTTTTTCTTTACATTTTTTACCTATACATCTTTAAAAAAAAAATCTATTTCCTTTCAAAACTTTATAAAATGATTATTATATTATAAAATTGTTGTGACGTGATAGTTGTCCTTTAAATTTATTCAGAATACATTTTTGATGGCAGGCAATTAACTTACTTTCTTCTTTTTTGCTGATTATTGCTGGAAGGGTATATATCTGCAAAAGGAAATAGGTTGACATGGTAAGTAGTTTTCCGAAATTGACGTATCGCAGTTAAATTAACTAGGATCTTGCTTGTGGTGTGACAAGGGCCATTCTTTTAAAATGTTCTTTTTATTTTTATAAAAATAATGTTTATACAATATAATAATAAACATGTTGATAATATCAGAAGCTAATTATTTATTTTTATTTATTTATAAAATATTTTACCAGGAAAGATACTTTGAGATTTCTCTCGTTTTCAAGTATGTCCTGGGTCCACAAATCATTGCATTGTTACATTAAGGTACAATAAAATACAAAAACAATATTAATACACAATAAATACAAAATGTAACATCGAACAGGTAGGAAATATATAATCAACCATGACACGTGCATTCTGTTTTGAGGTATGTAGAGAGGGATCTATTAAAGGACTTTAGGCTTAGGGAAGATTTTAAATTGTGCGGGAGGTCGTTCCACAATTGCGGTGCTCTGTAGGAGAAGGAGGATCGGGACGTTTTCTTTTTGTATTGAGGTAGACTAAGTAAAGTGTGGGTACTGGATTGGAGCTTATAGAAAGTGGGAACAGCCGGGGAAAGCATTTTGTTCAGGTAGGGTGGGAGTTTCCCAGAAAAGCTCTTAAACACAAGGCTGAAAAGATAAAGGGTGCGTCTGGATTCCAGCAATAGCCAGTTTAGTTCTTTTAGCATGTCACAATGGTGGGTCCTGTAATTACATTGTAGCACAAATCGGCAGAACGAGTTATACAATGTATTCAGTTTATTAATGTGGGATTGCGATGCAGGTGCATATACGACATCCCCATAATCAATGATTGGCATCAGCATTTGCTGTACAATCTTTTCCTTTACTGTAGGGCTCAGGCAGGATTTGTTTCTGTACAGGGCACCTAGTTTTGGATAAAGTTTAGAATACATATTTACAATAATCTGGTCAAGTAGGCATTATGTTGTTAAACTATATTTTTGTCAGATATTTCATTCTTGGTCAAAAGATGATTTTATTTTTTTCCAAATAAGTAGTAAAACATACTGTAGTCATTAGTCACAAAACAGTTACTGCTTAAAATTAAAACAAACTAAACCAATAATTAACATAGCCAAGCTACTCTTAGGCCTAATTTTTTCTGATTTCAGTTTTCATTTCACACAATTTACTCTTCAGTGAATAAACCACTAAATAAAATAGGTTTTATAGAATGCCCAAGAGTATTATATATCAACAGTTTATATTCCCAGCTTGTGTGCAGGCAGTGAAGCAGAGAATGCCATAGAGACTAACTGTTGATTTTCAAACACTTTCCGACCCAAGATGTATGTATATGGCTAAAGGATCCTGTCATTTACATATACATCATTAAAAAAAATAATAATAATCTATTAACTTTTTATACTTGATGCAATGATTATTACATTAAAGGGATACTATAGACACCAAAACAACTTTAGCTTAATGAATTAGTTTTGTTTCAAGTCTCAATTCACTGCCTTTTATGAGTTAATCACTATTTTTTTAATGTTTATACAGCCCTAATACACAGCCTGCATAAAAAAATAGTTTCATTGTTAATCAGATTTTAACTTACTTTAGAAGTTATCTCCTGCTCTGTAAATTACTCTGTAATCACACATAGAAGGCTCCTGCAAGGTCTATCAAGCTATTAACAGTGCAGGAAATAGGAAAATCGAAATTAAACAGAATTTGCAGTAAAGGAAGTGTAAATATTAGATCTCACTTTACAGGAAGTGTTTAAGAAGGCTGCATACGTTACTTGCAGGGAGGTGTGACTAGGTCTGCGTAAACAAAGTTGTTTAACTCCTAAATGGCAGAGAACTGAGCAGTGAGACTGCAGAGGCATGATCTACACACTAAAACAACTTTATTAAGCTAAAGTTGATTTGGTGACTATAGTATCTCTTTTTAAAATTATTTTTGAGATGATAGTTGTCAATAGCTCCCATTGTACAGCGCTGTAGAATTTGTTGGCGCTTTATAAATAATAATGACAACAACAGCTGGTCTTTTTGTGCAAAATAGTCCCAACTGTACTAAGTGTCAACATATTCTTCTGTGATTTTCTTAAGAATACTGTATTAAGTGTGGGCAATTTATATTAGGTGTCAAAAGCATTAATCAGATGCAGAATAGACACACATGCTCATACAGTATAGCAGGGAAAGCTGCAAAGGTTAACGTAAAGATTCCTTACTGGTTCTTTCCCGTCCATCGCCTCCAGCCATTGCTTTCGATTTACCTCAGACAAAGCTTGAAGTGTAATAATGCCTTGCCTGCAAAACAAGAAGAAAAATCTGCGTTACATTTCATAATAAATTTCACAATATCACATGCGTGTAAAATTATGTTACCCAATTTGCTGGACAATATATGTCAAAATGGCACATTGAGCTGAAGAATACATGTCAATATGGCACGTATATTTTTCAGCAAAATGGGTAACAGAATTTTACACGCATGTGATATTGTAAAATATGGTAAGAAATTGAACATCTTAACAGTGGTGACTAGAATTTGTGGGAACATGACAAACATTTTTGCAATATGGGGGACAAATTAGAATCTGATTTTTTTTTATAAGTTGACTATTTTAGCGTAACTGATTTAACTGCTATTCTATATTTAGTGAATTAAAAAGTTAATATTTTATTCTAGGAGTGCAATAATTTAATTGTACGTGCATTACATAGAGTCCACAATACAATTAATTAATTTGCGCTAATTTGTATGTATGATATAACACAACATGGAGTTCTATCCCCCTACATTGTCCCAGAAAGAGTAAATATGAGGTCATAAATGCAGCAATATGTCATATACCCTCATATTACATAACAAAGGTTTGTACACGAAGATAAATATGTATTTGGAAATTACATACAGCATACTAAATCACCTACACTACACATGTATACACAATATTGCTATTACATACCAGCAGTCCCACTTTCTACTGAGATAGCACTGCTACACAGTAACCAAATGTAAAAAAAATAGATGCTGAGTTGCAATATGTCACCATCAGTAGAGCATACTGTAAGGAAAGTAACTATTTGTATGCAAATTGATGCTGGCCAGCTTTGTGCGCTTCAATACATAGAAAAATGTTAACAGTGTGACACAGAAATATCCCTACAAGAGAGGATCTAAACTTTACATAACTCTCAATATATCAGTGTCATATGAATTAGACAAAAGGGAGGAGACCAGTGATTCAGATCATTGGCACCCCCCAAAGTCGTGAACCTGATATGGTCTCAGAATGTGTTTTTGACGTTTGTACTTTTCTATACTATGCATTATATACAGAAACAAACGGAGTTTCATTCATAAAACTGAGCATTGTAGAAGGGAAAAAAATAAATCAAAGAATTGCAACTTTTATGCCAAATAGAATTGGAGATTTATTTAATTCTGGTATTCTGGCCTGAAATTACGTATTACATGCATTTTTTTGTATTATATATATTTTTTAACACATTATGTTAACACCTTATTACCTCATTACATTCTGCCCCCCCCCCCCCTCCATTTACATATTTAAATAAATCCCTATGAAGTTTTGTGTTCAATAAAAAAGCAAATGACTGATGGTTTTTAAGCACAAACCTCTCGATGACTTCGATGTCGAAACAGAATCGTTTGTCTATTGAGTCTGTTTTCCGCCGTATACAAGTTTTTAACTTAAACATCTCTGGTGAATTGGAGACCAGCCCATTCTGTATATAAAGAGACGGTCGTTAATATCATCATTCTTTGTTTCAAACTGGTGAAATGTACAGCGATTTAGGTTTAAGTTCCATAAGTCTATAATTAATATATTTTATCCAGAGGCAGTCCTATTGGGATTTTAACTTTTTTTACGCCGGAGAGAACCTTGCAAAGTATCAAAAGTGTTAATTTTAGAGTTGTATACAACGGGCCAGATTTATCAAAGAGAAAATGTAGAAAGTGACTCATTCATATTTATCATATTTATTCTATTTATTTAAAAAGAAAAATGAGGTATGCTTTAATAGCCATTTTCCTTTGATAATTATGGATGAAATGTTTTTCAAGGAATGATTGTTTGCTGTTGTTATTTATGGCATAATATACATATGGGATAAATATGTAGTACATTCTGCCAAAGTATACACATGCATTATCTTCCGAACAAGTTTTTTTAATGCAAATTGGCGCATATTGCTATTATTTTATCTTGACGTGGTATTTCAAAGCAAATTAATTTAGAAGAGTGAATGGAAAATTTACTGGGATGGTGGAAGAGAGGGATAGAGAATTAACTAGTTAGAAGAGTAAGGTGGTGGAAGAGAGGGATAGAGAATTAACTAGTTAGAAGAGTAAGGTGGTGGAAGAGAGGGATAGAGAATTAACTAGGTCGAAGAGTAAGGTGGTGGAAGAGAGGGATAGAGGATTAACTAGTTAGAAGAGTAAGGTGGTGGAAGAGAGGGATAGAGAATTAACTAGGTCGAAGAGTAAGGTGGTGGAAGAGAGGGATAGAGGATTAACTAGTTAGAAGAGTAAGGTGGTGGAAGAGAGGGATAGAGAATTAACTAGGTCGAAGAGTAAGGTGGTGGAAGAGAGGGATAGAGGATTAACTAGTTAGAAGAGTAAGGTGGTGGAAGAGAGGGATAGAGAATTAACTAGGTCGAAGAGTAAGGTGGTGGAAGAGAGGGATAGAGAATTAACTAGGTAGAAGAGTAAGGAAGGATTTTGGGAAAAAGGCAGTAAAGGAACTAGCGCTGAAGAAGTGAGACAGTAGATGGGGACAAATAGGAAAAAGACATGAAGTTGGTAGAGTAGGACAGATATGCTGCATTTTAACATTCGCAATCACAATACGATTTCTGCAATTCTGGCTAATACATGGATAGCGGAGTCGTCATTTTTATTTGAGATTGAATATTTTCTTTTCCCTGTAGTAACACGGACCAGTAGTAATTAGGTGATACTGCTCTCGAATATAAAACCAGCTGTCACACGTACACCACTGCTAAACGGATTCTTTGGAATTATATAGTGCCTAATCGAAGAGAACAGCTGTTCGGCTGAGTTCCGTGTTTATAAAGAACACAACGATGTAGTTATGAATAGTTTTTATCACTGGGGAATGCATTTCCTCTAATGTGATACATGTTATAGAAGATGGATCAATACATTCTGAGGTGCGCTGCACTCCCTTCTGGCTCTCAGACATATATCAAGGATTAATAGTAGCATTGAACATGTAGATCAATTAAATAAAAAATTATCTATAGATCACTGATAGCTAACATAGCTCAAAGTCGCGGCACTACAACTCTGTGAGGACAAGTCAGCTACAGCCATGCTGATTCCCATTTCGGATAATTGGAGACCGTGAGGGATTAGTTCCACAACAACTGGGGATCTCCCTGCTGATGTGTCAGATCTACGGGAAAATAAAGGGCCAAGCCATGTGGGTGGTAGAGGCTGTTTCAGGCAGATGTTTAGCTTAAAGGGACTCTATAAGCATCCAGACCACTTCAGCTAATTGAAGTGGTCTGGGTGCAGTGTCCCTATTGCACTTAGTGCTATAATGTAAAACATAGCAGTTCCAGAGAAACTGTAATGTTTAGATTACAGCACTAAGTCTGCCTCCAGTGGCTATCTAACTGACAGCCACTAGAGGGCTTCCTGAATCGAAACAGATCTTTGGTCCGGTATCTGATGCTGGATATCGTCACACTACGCATGAGGACATCCAGCATCAGATTTTTGAATCAATGCTTTCCTATGGGAAGGTCTAATGTGTGCGTGGCATTTGCCGCTCATGTGCATTAGCGTCTGCTCGTTGTGGGACGTTGGAGGGGTGGAGTGTCGACCTAGCACCAAGGGCCTCGGTGCTGGGATGAGATAAGTAAATAAAAGGTTTTTAACCCTTTATTGACCACTGCAAGGGTGAAGGCAAAGGGGAGGGTGGGGGTCAAGGCAAGCTATAGTGCCAGGAATACAGCTTTGTATACCTGGCACTATAGTTTCCCTTTAATCTATACATTGTGCTGATAAAATCATCGGCAAATCATCGCCACCATGAGTAATGAGTACAAGAATATGCATGATGAGCATCCAACAGCCACCAGATGGCACTAAACAACATTCACTGCATACCACAATGCATGAGATCACTTCACTTGTAGGCAGATGGCACTGTGCCAAGGAGCTTGGCAGATTGGCACTGTAAATATATTGGTATATACTCAGCATTAATTAGCAGTTTATCTATATGTTTGTTTGCTGCCTGGCTTGCAATGTATAGTAACAAAATGGTGCACAGATGTCTGCAAACACTTGCTTCCCCCAGCAGTAAAAGCAGCAAAGTATTTTAAATGTATTTTATTTTAGCAAAGCTCGTTTAATGTATACATCATTTACTGTCTATGTTTTAATTTCTCGCTTACCACTTTCGCACTTGATTTTGTTTCAGATAAACTCATTGTAAAAGTTTTGCTTCCTTTGTCATATGTACAGTAATGTCTTGTCCACGCAAATCCAAGGGGTCCTACAGGTTAAGAAAATAAATAAAATAGTCAAGTCATTATTAATTTTTTTGAGGCCTACTTTGCCTCATTTATAAATCTAGTAGAATAGCGTGTGTGACCCTTGTAAAGAAGACCTCAATCCTCACATTGACAGCGTACCACTCACACATTCTTCTAACCTGTTGTGACAATGGAAGGGTTATTCAATAAACTCTGCATTTTTAGTGAACTGAAATCTGAACTGCTAAATATAGACTGATATAGCGGTTTTAAAGAAGTTCTCCGACTTAGCATTTCAAATTAATATAATAAATATAAGCAATTAAGAGAAAATAATTTAAAAATATTTTGTTTAGAAAGTGTTTCTGAAAACACCATTATCACTTAAATGCTTTAAAGTGGTCATGGTACCTGGTGTTTACATGTGCAGTGTTTCACTACGAATCGCTGCACATGCAGAGTTCGACCCCTTTGCTGCCAGAGGTTTTACTCCACCTCCAGCAGTGTCATTGGGATGTTGTTAGCCAGATCAAAGCAAGAGTTCCAGACTTGCTAAAGTCAGTTCATATTGCACAGCATGACCTCCCCTCAGGATGCCCTCCCTCTACAAGGAGAGAGAAATCATCAAAGGACAATTTGGAAAACGGCATTGGCGCTGGAATGGAGGAAAGTTTTAGAATCAAAATATATATATATTTTTGCAGTAGCCCTTTAAGCGTACCTTTTAAAGACAAAGCAGTTAAAAATGAAGTGGATCCCTCAGCAAGCTGGTGTTATCATTTTGCTTGATACCCAATTTGCATAATAAGGAAATACAATACAAATGCATGGCATCATCCTGTAACTAGCATTGTCACACGCTCTTCTACACAGCTCTGATTTGAATTCTCAAAGGCCACTTAATGTAAGGAATACAAATCTGGATTCCTAAAGTTATAGTGTAGCTGTCTCTAGTATTACAAGTTGTCCCCCCCGCCCCCAAGTGGCTGGTCTTGCCTACGAAGCAAAATAGTCTTGCACCAGTCCTGATAACCACTGCAGTGTGTTAAAGTGCTTATGGTACCAGGAGTACTTTAATGCAGGCCCACAGTGGAAGTAGGCGCAACCTTCAATAATGGTTTTACAAATTACCTGGGAAGTGTTCTGCAATGAGCAGTGCAGGACATAGCTCATTGGTTGAAAGCAATCAGCTGACACTTTGAGCCAATGAGCTGGCCTGGCACTGCAGGGTTTTAGCTCAGGAGAACTTACGCGATCTCTTCCTTCTGACTCTCAATGAAGGAAGTGACTGGCCCCATATAAGTTGCCAAAACATTTGTGACTGCTTACATAGTGAGGTATCAGGGCACTACTGACATAATAACCACTACAGGTGCACTGTAGTGGTTATGGTGCTTGAAGTACTGCTTTAATCATGCACTAACACTGCACTATCTATCCCTCAAGAAAAACATTGAGTCACACAGAGCTACCATGTGACTTTACAGCTTTGTCTCTATAAATGTGTCACTTTGTATGTGATGAAATAAAGTTAAAGAATTAGACCTGCCGTCTCTTTAAGTACAACAACACTTCAGCCGTTGTTTACACTTCACGCAGTCTGGCACCAACTTTGAAATTCCTAAATCGTATAATGCTTGATGTACTAAAATAGATGAGACATGTTTCATTGGGCAGCCTGAGGCCATCACATCCCACTCCAAACAGCGAGTCTTACATTAGCCGAATATTAAATGTTTGCTAAATGTATCTCAAAGCTTATTGCACTGAGAAACTGGAACACGTCAAACCTGAATAACTGGAACACAAGTGATTGGTGATACTCCCTTTATTCTCAATGTTTCTCTTATTTTATGATATGGTCCACAAACCTTTAATAGTTTTCAGATTCCGATTTTAATTGAAAAATGTCTACAGCTGTTTCTCGCCCAGGTTTATACAAGCTGTAATGCATGGGATCACAGACATCATGTAAGCAATTAACTCAAGCACAGAATACAGAAACATGATTTCTTGTAGAATACAAATAAGACGTGCCAAGATCACTCTGAATATACCAGGTCACAAATGCCATTTGTTGAAAGTGTTCAATGCCGCATTTGTCACATTGTTCTTGAATACATCAGGCATTTTTCTTTTTTATCAAATAAACATGACATCTTATTATTTGCCTTAATGGGCATTGGTAAGAGATAAATACTGATTGAAGTTGAATCATTGGGATGGTGGGACCGAAACTCAACATTGTGACTGTCCATCCAAAGCTAGTCTCAAACAATATAAACAAAGTGATTCTTTGTATTTTCATTCACAGATATATGTTAAATGAATGCAACACACGTATTAGTTGTAATGTATGTAGGTTATGTCATAGTTGGCTTCTTTCTCTTAAAGCAAGACTCTAAGCACTGAAACCGCTTCTTCTTAAAGAAGAGGTTTTGGTGCACTGAATTTGTCATTTTTGTCTAGCTTTGATTAAAGGAACACTACATTTGTTAGGGATATAACCCGGTATCTGTAATACTATAGTGATTGCCTCTGTATTTAGAACCCCCCCACACACACACCCAAAAAAATCTGAAAAGAAAAAAAAAATTTTTTTTCCAGTGCCGAACTCGAGTCCCTGCTGTTGCTTCATCTGACTCCCAAGTATCTACTAAATGCCAGTGTTTATCATTGCAGGGTTAAAAACATAAAGTCCTCTGCATCCAGACCACTTCTGAAGTGACTTTGGGGCCTCTAGTGGTCTTTTAAAGCATGCTTTAGTGGCTGTCTGACTGAAAGACAACAGAGGCGATTTATCATTGAAGAACTTTCATTTTCAAAGGTCTTCACGATCAATGTATTAGCCAAACGTGAAGACCTTTGAAAAACAAATGCTGTTAACGTTAACGATGCATTGTATCAGTGAAGTTCAAAGGAATCTCCATGATAAGTATTGGATTGACTGAGATCATCACAACTGATGATCTCAGAATAGAGCAACTGCCAAGAGGAAATTGTCCTAGCTCTGGATTGCAGGTAATTTTAATTGTTTTTTTCCATTCCTTAACCTTACAATGTTCCTTTAGTGTGCATTTAATTTTTTATTTTAATGATAGTTTTATTTTATAAATTGATCGATCACTCCAATCAGAATGTGGTTCCCTTTCTGCTACCATAAATCCTCTTTACAGAATGCAAAAAGTGCAGGACAAATATGACCAATTACACTGGGGAAATAATGCGCCGAAAGTGATGAATTATATATGATTTATGACTACCAACACATTAGTTATTCTGTAACTAGTATATCAACCTCTGGATAAAGCAATGGAGTTTTTCTAATAAACATGGAGTTAATAGAAATGAAGAGACAAACTGCATAGTCTATCCCAAAGCAGCAAAACTGTGAAAATAGCTAGGAGTAAAATAAAATTCTTGTTTGAATGACCTATTAACTTGAGAAACCCTCTCGACAAGGTGAAGACAAGTTCTGGCATGAACATCTTTTATCACCTACAGCAGGTCATCGGCTATCCCTTATTTAGGTTGTTGGTTACTACAGAAACAAAATGAGAATTTCACAGCGAGATGTTGATAAGTTATTTGTAAGGTAGTTAGACAGGGCAAGGTGAGCTTATACCAGATTTCAGTGTTATAAATGTTTAGTAAATCACATATTCCTGCCTTCTCTTGCTACATAGCATTCTTAAAGGACCACTATAGTGCCAGGAAAACATACTTGTTTTCCTGGCACTATAGTGCACTGAGGGTGCCCCCACCCTCAGGGACCCCCTCCAGCCGGGCTCTGGGGACAGGATGGGGTTAAACTTACCTCTTTCTCCAGCGCCGGGCGAGGAGCTCTCCTCCTCCTCTTCGGCTGAATGCGCATGCGCGGCAGGAGCCGCGCGCGCATTCAGCCAGTCCATAGGAAAGCATTCACAATGCTTTCCTATGGACGCTGGCGTCTTCTCACTGTGATTTTTTCTAGCGTCTCATTAAGCTAAAGTGGTCTGGGTGCCTATAGTGGTCCTTTAAGCGACTGAGTCTATAGGTAATACAAGGATTTTTACATCTATGGCATAATAAGTTTAAACATAATTGCCACAATATAAAATCCAAGTACAAAAATAGTGAAAACCAGGTTTTCTATAATCTACTGCTAATCTGTATGCAAAAAAAGAAAGAAAGTTGTAGATTAATATATATATATATATATATATATATATATATACGTATGTTTTTTTTCAATAGCATAGGGTTGGTACAAAAGGCATATAATAGCAGACATATATAATCAACCTTAATATCACTTTTTTGTATGTTATTATATTTATTATTTGGAGGGAAGATTATATTTGTCCATTCTTGCATTTTACTTTCATCTTCCATAATAACAAATATTCTGCATAATACTTAGAAATGGAAAACTCCAAAGTTAAACATTTAGATGTGTTAGTCAAGAAAATGATAGACTTCTTAGAAATTGTTATCATTAAGGTCAGACATGCTACAAGCAAGTGGCTTGGCCTTCACTTAGACAAATGTTATAAGGCTGAGCAGGCAACACTTTAAAGGGACAATGTAGGCACCCAGACCACTTCAGCTAATTGAAGTGGTCTGGGTGCTGTGACCCTTTTGCACTTAGTGCTGCAATGTGAATGTATGTTTACATTGCAGCTCTAAGTCTGCCCTCAGTTAATGTTGTTGGTGTGTAATCATTTGCTGATAAACTAAAGTGAGTCTATAATTTATTTTACATAAATTAAAGACATATTTTATAAACTAGGTTGACCAAAAATGATCCCCTCTAGAACACCCCAATACCAATTAGGCTGCAAAAGATAAGGATAACTTGGTGGGTGGAAGGGGTGTACATTTGGCAATCTCTACTCTGAAGCATGTTTTTTTTTTTAACAATCCGTGATTATATTAAACTGAGGTGTCTCTATTCAGAGGCTGGTAAAGTAAAATATGAGAGATAGTCTATTCTTGTCAAATGTCCAGGGTTTTTTTAGGACAGTCCTGGATTTTGGTTCCCTGTCTTGTTATATAATTGTACAAGGTCTCTGTCCAACGTTATAAAAATGCCATTAAAAAGTCTGATTTTGCATGCGTAAAGTGACCTTAAATGGCTGGTGACACGGCAATTATAGACAGTTTGCTTAAGTTGTAGGTGTAAGTGGGGTTAAACATGGTGTTTTTGCCAAATGCTGGTGCTATTCTGTAAAGGTAACCTTTCTATTCCAGGGATGTGCTTGGTGTGCTATCTATTATAATCTGCATTATAGGCAATTGGTAGGTGTAAATGATATTATTATATTGATAAGGCTATAAATTAGGTGACCGATGCCATATGGCAGAAATATGGCATGTGGTCCCTGGACATTTTATTCGAATACTGGCAACTAAAGGGTAGTCCAATAATGGAAAGAGAACTAAAGGCTTTTTCAAATAAATTATTACCCACGATACACAGACAAGACTGTAATCTCAAACTAGTGGGACATTTATTGGCAGAAATTTCACACAGACACTAGTACACTAGAATTTTAGCACAAGTAAATAGGTAAGATGTGTGCTTATTGTTATAACTAAAAATTTCCATCCACAATGTACACAGCCAGAACATCAAATATAAATATGCAAGGTCTGAGCATATAATGCAAATGACATTGACCACACGGTGCTCTTCCTACGGGAGCTGGGAGGATGCATTCGTACGTTGGAAATAATACCATAAGGTACTTGTTAAGCAAATGCTTGAGCATGTAAAAGCGTTTTCCGAGTATTGAAGTAGCGTGGAGCTTGAACAATTGTGTTTGTTTACACAAGGTCACCCATTTAGACTGAAATAAAAGAGATTTCGTCTAAGGCAAAGGAAAGGGTTAGTTAAATAATGAACAATAAGGATGTGGAATTCTCTGCCTGTAGAGGGGGTTTTATAGGAGTCTGTACAGATATTTAAACAGCAACTGGATGAATACTTGCAAAAACATAATATTCATGGATATCATTTTTAATATGTGGGGTAACAGCTGCTTGATCCATGGAGATAACTGACTGCCATTCTGGGGATGAGAAGGAATTTTTTCAGAGTTTTCTTTTTTTATTTATATTCTTTCGGATCAACAGCAAAAACAGATGTGAAAAAGGATGGACTTGGTGGACACATGTCTTTTTTCAGCCTATATAGCTACGTAGCTATGTAAGATTGAACTCCCCGCCCCATCAAATATTTCAATAGCACTTCTTGGAGCAAGGGAATGAGTAACTGTCATAGAAATTTGACAATTCACTTTTAAAGAGAAGTACAATGCAAAAAGGAATGAAAAAAAAAACAGGCCAATCATGGTGCATGACAAATTAATCCCAGTAGGTGGTGTATCTGCCCTGACAGACTGATACAGGACAAGAAAAAAAAAGCCCCTATTTTTTGTTAGGTCTCCAAACTGTACATCACAGGTGGCTGTATATCCTGAAGCTGTATTGAAAGTGTTTAAACAGAAGTAATTCAAAAGGCGGTATTGATTGTCTATTTAGCAGTTTTACTAAAGCTTCCCAGTCTGCATACAAAGCACATGATACTTTAATACCTAATTTATTTGTGGGACACCAAACAAGTATTGCTGGTCCTTCTTTAAAGGACCACTCTAGGCACCCAGACCACTTCAGCTTAATGAAGTGGTCTGGGTGCCTGGTCCAGCTATGGTTAACCCATTTTTTTATAAACATAGCAGTTTCAGAGAAACTGCTATGTTTATGAATGGGTTAAGCCTTCCCCTATTTCCTCTAGCGGCTGTCTCATTGACAGCCGCTAGAGCTGCGTCTTCTCTGATTTTTCACAGGGAGCATCAGCGTCATAAGGCATTGATAATGCTTTCCTATGTGACCGACTGAATCTGGCGCAGCTAACGCTGCGTGCGCATTCAGGGAGGAAGGAGGAGGATCGGAGGAGGAGAGCTCCCCGCCCAGCGCTGGAAAAAGGTAAGTTTTTACCCCTTTCCTCTCCCCAGAGCCGGGCGGGAGGGGGACCCTGAGGGTGGGGGCACCCTCAGGGCACTATAGTGCCAGGAAAACGAGTATGTTTTCCTGGCACTATAGTGGTCCTTAAATTACTGACTTCACAAGTATTATTATTATTATTATTATTATTTATTACGCCCCAACAAATGCTTTTACATTGTATCCAGCTCAATACCTGTTAAAACTGTTAAGAAAATCTCCTGGCTATCCAGAGAGAAATGCACAATGAAAATGCAGCCATCAAAAAAATAAAAGATTTATTAAAAGTGTTCAGTGGCTTCTTTAATCTTTGTCTTCCATTTATTAAACATGTATCATAAAACAAGAAATGCAATAAAAGACATTTGAAGATCACCCTATAGTTGTAGATTGTGTTGTATCACATATTATATCATATAAACTGCATAACCAATTAATTTTTGGTGCCCTCACACTCAAGGTTCCTCTCCAGTGATGCTGAATGGGGAGGAAGGGGTTAATCCCTTACCTCTTTTCCAGCGCCGAGGACTCTCCTCCCTCTTCTTCCGTCATCGGCAAGAGCCGCGTGCGCATTCAGCCAGTCCATAAGAAAGCATTCTCAATGTTTTCCTATGGACGCAGGCGTCTTCTCACTGTGAAAATCACAGTGAGAAGCGTGGAAGCGCCTCTAGCGGCTGTCAATGAGACAGCCACTAGAGGCTGGATTAACCCTAGTGTAAACATAGCAGTTTCTCTGAAACTGCTATGTTTACAGCAGGCAGGGTTAAACCTAGATGGACCTGGTACCCAGACCATTTCATTGAGCTGAAGTGGTCTGGGTGCCTATAGTGGTCCTTTAAGGCAGGTAACAGGTTAGATGGATTTTAAAACCTCTCCCCATTCTTCTGCTGCTTACTTTTCTCTTGTACGTATAGGTATCCTTCCATTGTCCAATGACTTGGCGGTCGGTAGTCTTGGTCTGCAGATTTCATTCTCTGCATTAGACGCTCCATTTCTTGCCGTGTGCTTTCAAAGTTATTCCGCGTCTAGTAAGGAAAAAGAGATTGAACTTTTAATGGCATCATTCTTTGTTTATTCTTATGGAACGTATAGAAAAAAAAACATCAAAAAATGTATATGTGGTGGCGGCGGCATTATGGTAAATGTGTTTATGCTTGGAAGAATTTAGCAAAATCATAAATACCAAAAATTAAACATGTATTTTAATCAGTAACAAGAGTATGTTAAGAAGTGTCTTACTTGTATGCAAGCAGGGCCAGAGCAAGGAATTCTGCCGCCCTAGGCAAAAATCAATTTCGCCGCCCCTCATGAAATCGAGTTTGTTTGTGTCACGTTTATTCACTATACTCCATAAGGAAACAGTCCGCTGTTTTTTTTTTTTTTTAACAAAGAAAATATGCCTTTATTTTTATTTATTTTTTCTTAAGTCCTCAGTCTGTGCCAGGCTTTACACTGGAAAGCTATGATCCAGTATACATGTGCACACTTGCTGGAGCCGCTGTTATGCGCATGAACACTTGAGCTCTAGTACAGGCCATTGAGAAGGTGGGGAAGTAGCCCACTAGTTCAGCATATCTGACTCCTCTGTTAGTTCTGTGGAGCTAAAGGAAGTGGATGAAAACCTTCCCGGCTGTGTGACACACAGGGAGGTGTTTTGCCCACAATTATAAAAAGTTTGACAGACTCCAGACATATAAAGCACTTCAGCAAGCTGATATACCTTGTGTGTAGAGTATTTCCCTTACTTAGCAAACTGGTGTCTATACACTCATTCCCTCATCAACTTTTCCCCTATTTTTTCCTGCACTTGTACTCTCCATCTTTGCTGACTTTTTTTTAATGAATCTTTTTTTTGTCACTTTTTACCGTTTTCACAGTATTCCCTATGTGTTTTTTTCCTGAATGGGTCTATTCATTAAATAGTAAGTTGAAAAATTAGGCTAAAGTAGAAAAGTTGGAAAAAAGTCTCTTATTTTGACCCAATTTTTAAGCTTTTAGAGACTTATCAAATCAAAGTTTAGTGAATGCACCTTCAAGTGTATGCTTGCTTGATCTTTTTTTTTGTGAGACTGGTGCACAGTAAATGTGCCCAGTAAGTTAGTGTGCCCAGTTATTCTGTGTACCCAGTCAGTCAGTGTGTCAGTTAGTCAGAGTGCCCAGTCAGTCAGTCTGTCAGTGTGCCCCGTTAGTCTGTCAGTGTGCCCCGTCAGTGTGCCCAGTACATCAGTGTGCCCAGTTAGACAGTCAGTGTGCCCAGTACATCAGTGTGCCCAGTATGTCAGTGTGCCCAGTCAGTCTGTGTGCCCAGTTAGTCAGTGTGCCCATTCAGTCAGTGTGACCAGTCAGTCAGTGTGCTAGGTCAGTCAGTCAGTGTGCCCAGTCAGTCAGTGTGCCCAGTCAGTTAATGTGCCCAGTCGGTCAATCAGTGTGCCCAGTCAGTTAGTGTGCCCAGCCAGTCAGAGTGCCAGTTAATCAGTCAATCTGCTCAGTCAGTCAGTGTGTTACCTCTTCTGCTTCCATACTTTCAGTCTGTCTTTGGTCACTCCCCACATGCAGTCCAGGAAGAGGACATGGAAGCTCTGCCCTCCTCTTCTATGGACTTCTATGGTGTCTGGAAGTAAGGGGAAGAGGCAGGCAGGCTGGGGGCAGAGTTAAAGTATCAGGGGTTAGTCGTGTGACTGGCGGGCTAGTGCTTTGTGGGCAGGCAGAGGCTGGGTTACATTCGGAAGACAGAGGCTCTCTTGAATGACCAGGAGAAAGGGGGAGCAGTGAGGGGCGGATGCGACCGGCAACTCTATCACTGGGGGAGGTGGCACAAGGTAGCCTATACTCCTTGGAGATCCATAGAGAAGCATTACAGCCTGTGCGTAGTTGGCCTAATGGAAGCACTGACCCTAATGCAAGTTATACAATATTTGGGATATATTGTAATAAGCTTTTTCAAACCTCAATGCTTACAAATGGAAAGGGTTGGACAGGGATGGAATGGGTGCAAGTGAATATATTAATGGTCAGAAAGGGTCTCTACAGAGAGCTACTCTGGCCAGTCAACTCCAGACACCCATAAACCCTTGCACAGGCAAAACAAGAAAGCAAGGAATAAACAAATCAGGGTTGTCCCACCGCGCTTGTTAAAGTTGTGATGTAGGCAATTATGTAATCAGTTTTAACCTTTTGAAAGTGAGAGGAGATGTTTACTGAGATATGGTGATGAATTAGAAATTCACTTGGAATTCTCACTTTAGTGAATATCCATGTCTGTTTGTTTTCTGTATTCATTATTGAGGATTGTGGAGAAGATATGTCTGCTTTGGAAGCATTTATTAGGAGACTGGCTGCCTAAACGGACCCATACGCTGCGAAGAGCTAGCTTAGCAGCTCCACCATTGTGAGGTCTCTAATACTTTGGATTGAGAGTTATATATTTATAGTTGCACTATGAATTTTGTTTTTGTTTATATATTTTTGAAGAAAAAGACATGCATATTTGTGCTAAGTATTCATAAGCACTATAGTTTTCTTGATCACAATTGTTTTCTTAATAGTGCTTCACTTCACAATGTGTTTTGTAAGTAGGATATTGTGGTGTGTTTCGAGAAGTGGCACACAAAGTGTAGTAGTTCCTAATTTTGTAAAAATCTTCAAGCACAGTGGTATCATAAGAGTACACATATCGGCTTACATTAATAGTGCTGAAGCACAACTATAAATTTTTGGTTTCACTGCCACACATGAAATGCAGCAACGGGACTCTGGCCCCATAAGCACTACATCGGACTTTCTTTCCCAACAAATATCAGTTATGACCATGCCACGTTCTATATGTTTCAATAAGTGTCTGCAGTGCTTATTGTATTGTTTACTTGCTAAACACAGAACTGTAGTGAAAATCAAATCAGCACTTTCTAACTACGTTTTCTAATGACCTTTTCCTTTAACTACAATTTAGAATTAGATTACTTTTATCGGTACGTACTCTTGGCACCATAACCACTAAAGTGGTTATGGTGCTTAGAATGTGCTTTTAATGTGACAATCAGATTATCTATGATAAACCGCAAACCCTTCCTAATGCACACATTTGTTATGTTCCAATATGTGGGCCAACTTTATTGCCTACGAGGGTATAAGCAGAAGGTTTTGTGTGTATTTCAACTTTTTTCTTTCTTCAGTTCAATGTCTATTTTAAAATGATACACTTTAGTTTCTTAAGGCAATTTTTCTACAATTCAATTATTCATGATGCTACTGTAATACAGAGAATAAAATTGGCTTACATTTTGTAAATTAAACTGCAGTTGTTCTTTGTACGGCGTGAATTCTCGTGCCAGTTCATATCCTTCATGGTAAAAGGTAAAGAGACCTTGGAGAAAAGCCAAAAGCTGAAAGGAAAAATGAAGAAAAAAAATGGAAATAGCAAATATCACAATCAGAATGACCACTAATAAGTAACTAGCACAATTAATACCATGACATTCTTTTCAAAAATATAACGCTTTAAGGTTCAATTACATACAACTGCAACAAGAGACTCCACGGGCAATTTATCCCGTAAGGAAAACTGTCTTTAATCCTTAAATCCAATTGCAAAGAAAAACAACAATGATTACAATTCAACATTTCCATTCGGTAGAAAACATGGAATACATTATTGGACAAGTTCAGCTGTGGAATTACAGAATTATGTTAAGCTCGTAATTGTAAATAATAAATATTATATAGCAACAGCAAGATCCCCTATCAGGCAGGGAGTATGTTATCCAGAATTATATGGTACTGTAGCTAAAAAGCAAAATGAAATCACTTCCAAATAGATGAAAAAAGGAGAAAAGGCTACATTTCGAACTATTTTTGTTTATAGTGGGTGTTTTAAAAGGGAGCTGTCAAATCCCAGGGTTTTTAAGATTATGTTTACTTATCCCTATATTTAAGAAATATGTTGAAATATGTACAAATATGTAAGAAAAATTGAAGAAATCCACACTGCTTAATTCTGCAACTGGGCGCCTCCATCTTAGCTCCCTGTCAGCCATTGTTATAAGTTCTCTCTTTTACACCTGGCAGTTAGCATAGAGAGAGCATGCAGGAAGAGGAGAAATGAAAAATTTTTCTATTACTCCTTTTCATGTTGACTGTTTGTCCTAGTTGGGACTGGACTGAACTCGATTATACTTTTCAAAAAACTTACTATAAACTTAAAAAAACAGAACATCGTATGAATAAAATGTAGGTGACTTTCAATGTTTTATGCAATGGTTTACAAAATATCTATTTAATGCTCAGTGTAAAACTCTTCAACATTAAATACTTCAAGAGCTAGTATGGGCTGCATATCTACTACATGTAGACCTTCTGATTCGTGGTTAAACAGTTTTGCAAAGCTTTGACCAAAACTACAAGACTCCAGAAGTAAATGAGTCTTGATCCCTGCTCACCATGCATGCTAACGTTGAAGTTCCACTTTACCAATACCAATTTCATGTATATTTGGATGGCATTGATTTGGTGCCCTTCAACCGATGTGTTCAGCCAATCAACTCCATCCAAATATGGCCTGAACCAATCTTTTCAACCTTTTGCGTGCCAAGGGTGTGTACTGAAAAACCTAGTAAAGCAAGAGTTTATTAATACACAATAAATACAAAATTTAAATATATAGGCCAATATACAGAGATATTTTATTGTTTTTGTATTTTGTTGTACCCTAATGTAACAATGCAATGATTTGTGGACCCAGGACATACTTGAACAGAGAGAAATCTCAATGTATCTTTCCTGGTAAAATATTTTATAAATAAATAAATATATGAGGGAGGAAGTTACATCATAACCTAAATGCAAAAGCATTCCTAAAAAAGTTCAACAATATTCTTATTCCATTTATAAAGTAAAATAAATATTTCTAGGCTTCTAAAAACCACTAGATGGCAGCAGACTCAAGAAGAAAAAACATTATTTTTTTTCGACAGCTAACGTACGTCTTGGTCTTCTGAGACAGTGTGAATGCACAAAAATCCATCAAATAAAACAAATGCTATTATACCATGCAATTTCCCAAAAGGAAAGATTATGGGGGAGTTTGTTTAACCTCTTACTAGTGCGCACAGCCTAGTTTATTAAAAGAATTGGCAACTGGGACAGACAATCTCCTACGGCAAATCTCTGTTTATCTTTGTTGCTAGACTTACACACTGAGCGTTTAGCGGGCTTGTCAAACCAGTGTTAGCTGACAGTGGAAAAATAATGGAAATGAGAATCTAAGAATTCACTGTACTCCAGGGTGAAGTAATTTTGTACATGCATATGATACATCAGGTCCTCGGAGTGCTTATTATGCAAAGAGGTGAAGAAGTTCAGTAACACCGAATGTATCGCGAAAGAACTAAATAAACACTGACTTAGCATTCAGCAAGACTTATAACAGGAATATATTAATATGTATGGAATCGCAAAATATTGGTCAAAACAGCTGTGCTAAAATGGCTGAATTGGAGAATTACTAACAGTGAGAGTAAAATGAACGTTACATTTATGGCTAAAGGACCCGAAGAGGAAGCATAGGTGACTTTTGCAAATTGTTCCACTGTGGTTATTTTGACTTTTGATTTGAAATTCATTTTAAATTCTAACTTTAGTGAATTTGGTATGCATACCAATTATTCACATTTTATTAAAGAGACACTCCACTGCCCAAATACATTTTTTTAATTCACTGTTTAGTAGATATACCCCAAATAAAAATGTGCATGTATCTAATTATAAATATTTTTCATTGGGTATATATCTAAAAACACCTTGCAAAATCTGCAGATTTCTTGTCTGCAGCCTTTGCAAGCTCTCCTGTTATAACCCCGCCCAGACTTTCTGTTTCTGTCCAATCACAGACTTCCCAATACAGCTCAGTGAGAAGTCTTTGTAAGTCAAGTGCTCTGAGAAGCTGCACTTAATTGGTAAATCATACAGATGGAGATGGCACAGTACAAAATTACTATGAATTATTTATTATTAGTCGTGTGTTCAACACAAACATTTGCAAAATTTATTTACAGAGAAATTGCTTCCTAATTGCCTTGAAGTCGATAATCTTTAGTCCACCTAAACGTTTTAATAAAGAGGGTTTGAAGGTTCTAAATAAATCTACCTGGATTATATACTGAAAAGTTGGCAATACTTGTGGGGACATATGCAACTGCCCAGTGTGCCCATGTGTTAAGACGGCTCTGTCTAGAGTCCCCTTTACACCCACGTTATGTTCCACCAACGCCATAACACCATACCCCAACATTGGCGAGTTAAAGCGGGCGGGCCAGTGAAGTGAATTATTTGGGCAGAACCTTCCATAAAGGAATAATAGGCAGGTCAGCCAGCTGTGAATGCATGTCAAGCTGACTGGCTATCAAGCCTGCCCACTGAGTGCAGACCATGCAGAGAGCACTGTTTCAACACTCTCTACAGGGTCTTGGTGCCCTTAGTGTAGTGAGAGCTAATGAGTTAGGGTTTGTAGGAACTGTTCACTGAAATAGGGATTGTTCTGTTGAAATATGGACTGTTGGGAGGCCTATAATATGGTGTAAATATGAGCATAAAGTAAAATGAGAATAACCGTGAGGTTAATCCAAGTTTGTGTTGGGCCTATGATGGAGAAGTCATTATTATTGAATGGTTTACTAATGTCCGGGCAGTTAAACGACGTGCAGTAAATTTCAGGCTATTTCATGCGTTAGCCTTGCTGTATGTGTGAGAAGCTGCATATTGGCTGTGGCTTAAAGTTTGTATTCATTTGCTGAGAAGTTACATATTTGTATATCCATGAGATAAACTATTTGAAAATGCAAAACCACATATGCAGTAAAACTCATGTGTATATATATATAACAAAAATTCAGTAAGTCTGGCACTCTGCCTCAAAAGTCACAATATCAAAAAATAGCAAGGTGCTGCACATTGCTGAAATTATATTCCAATGCAGAAAATGAACGCACTCACTGGATTCCCAAATATGAAATCATGTTTATAGGTGATCTTGATAAAGACCGTTAGGTCAAAACGTTGATCTTTTTTTGCAACCTAAACAAGAAGAAGAGACAAAAAAACAGGAGAATAAGGAATTATGGTAGAGTGTCCTGAAGAGTGTAAGTCCCTTAAAAGGGAGGAAGGGAGGGGGATAGTCAGTGGTACAAATAGTGTGTACCACTTTAAATATAAAATGTAACTTTTAAAGGGACACTATAGTCACCTGAACAACTTTAGCTTAATGAAGCAGTTTTGGTGTATAGAACATGCCCCTGCAGCCTCACTGCTCAATCCTCTGCCATTTAGGAGTTAAATCCCTTTGTTTATGAACCCTAGTCACACCTCCCTGCATGTGACGTGCACAGCCTTGCATAAACACTTCCTTTAAAGAGAGCCCTATTTAGGCTTTCTTTATTACAAGTTCTGTTTAATTAAGATTTTCTTATCCCCTGCTATGTTAATAGCTTGCTAGACCCTGCAAGAGCCTCCTGTATGTGATTAAAGTTCAATTTAGATATTGAGATACAATTATTTAAGGTAAATTACATCTGTTTGAAAGTGAAACCAGTTATTTTTTTCATGCAGGCTCTGTCAATCATAGCCAGGGGAGGTGTGGCCAGGGCTGCATAAACAGAAACAACGTGATTTAACTCCTAAATGACAGTGAATTGAGCAGTGAAATTGCAGGGGAATGATCTATACACTAAAACTGCTTTATTTAGCTAAAGTAATTTAGGTGACTATAGTGTTCTTTTAATACTAAAAAAGTAAAACCACAAGAGCACACATTAAGAACACTAATTAGTATAACTTGTCCTAGCTCATCTCCGTTAATACAGAGATAGTGTAATTGCAGGGATTGTTTCAATCCGATAAGTGAACCCGCTGCAGGTGAAGTGGTACAATAATAATAATAGTTGTTGGTGCAAATATTCTTGCACTAGGGGTTAACCCCCATTCAGGAGATTATCTACTTTGGTACCCCCTTACCCTTCGATTTTCTTCTTTTTTGCAACCTATAAACACGATTTGATATTTGCGAATCCAGTGAGTGCGTTCATTTTCTGCCTTGGTATTTATATGCTATGGGCTTTGCATAACAATTAGCAGAAAACAATAAGACCGGGTATAATTGGCAACTGTGGCAAATAAGCAGATTCACAGCAAAATATAAAGTCCAGGTGTGAGTTTTACATTTTTTTTAATTTTTACATATTGTTAGTATTATTTAGAATAGTTTTCCTTGCATGAGTTACTGCAGTATTGCAATAAAAGCAGGTCAATAGCAACCAGCACTGTCGCTTTAATTGTACAATAATCCTTTTTTTCAGATCTGTGTTTTCTGGTGAATAATGATCCACATGATTTGAGAATGTAACCTTTTCTCCTCCTGTGATGATATATTAATCACAGTAAAAACCACACTTCATTGCTTAAGTAAGGACCGTGGGAAATGGATGTCAAGTATGGAAGCTCAGGATTAAGGGCTGAACATCTGCGATACTTCTCTCCTGGAGAAACTCACTGAACCTGTGATTTACATGACAATTTCTAACATAATATTAATACTGAAATTATTATTATGGCGTTTTGATATATCAGGTTTACAGTCTAATTTTATTTTTATATGAGCATACACTTATAGAGATTAACCGAATGCACAAAGGTCTTAAAGGGAAAAAATTTAAGGACCTCCATAGCCATTCAAAATATGTGTATGCTGTGAGAGCGCAAGCATAGTTCCATGCAATTATAAGCTGAAAAAAACATTAAAAAAAGCTTCACAACTAGAGCCACCTCATTTAAAGCCCGCCTGTACTATATCCACTACATTAAGTTGTAGAGGTCATTTTTGTTTGGAGTGTCCCTTTAAGTAAATTGGTACCTCACACTGCTATTTAATTAACACTTCAGTCCCACATCTGGACATCTTAAGGTTAGTCCTGATGTAGAACATAAACGTCAACATGCTGTGCTGTGACTAGAATAGCACAGCTACTGGTTGTTTAGCTCAGTGGAAATTGCACAGAGCACCTGCCACCTGCCTTGCAAAGATTTCTCAATGAGCTGCTTTGGGAAGTCAGTGATAAGACCAGTGGTTCCCAAACTAATCCTCAAGGCACTTTCTACAAACCATTGCAGTTATATGACGTGACTTTCATTGATTTAAGAAATCATATTTCAGCCGACATTGGTTGGTTAAAATTCTTAAGCTTCCAAGTACAATTTAAAGGAAAAATTCAATAAATCGGAAATAATAATTGATAAGGTGTAAATAAAACACAGCATCTCTTACTGAATACTTAAGTGGAGGGACATCAACATTAACCCCTTAAAACCCCTTTTTGAATAAAGCACCATAGAAATAGGGCTGCAACTAGCAATTATTTTCATAATAGATTAATAAGAATTGGGACAGTTGGGGGGGCTGGTACCTGGTCTACCTTGAAAAATGAATATGGCGCAGGGAGGCATATATGGAAAATAAATACATTGTTCTATAAACAGTACTTTTGTCACATGGAGGGAGAAACTGGGGTGTGAAACTTAAGGCAGAAAGAGTTAACATTAGACCTTGAGATTTGTTTCGGGATGAACTGCAATTCGGCCAAATTCATGAACTCCGAAATCCACCAGAATCAAACATCAACTGATCCGCGCAATGCCGAACAGGTTTGGTTCACGGTCATGATTCACCCAGTGGTGTACAAAAAAAAAAAAAGATGATTAATTGGAAAAGAGATGACTGATGACTAGGAGACTGTAAGCTCATTTGAGCAGGGTCCTCTTCAACCTATCGTTCCTGTAAGTTTTTTGTGATTGTCCTATTTATAGTTAAATCCCTCCTTTTACAAGATTGTAAAGTGCTACGGAATCTGTTGGAATATAATATGAATGCTAATAATAATAATAGGAGACAGTCACTAAATCATGATTTTATTCACAGTTTAAGAAGTGAGCTATAGAGGGGAAAAATGAGGATCAGCAAATAAAAAAATTAATAATTCTATATTTATTCAATAAATATATAAAACGTATATAGATTTGTTTTTACTGCTCGTCTTTTTTCCTTTATTGGTAACTTTCTCTCACTTAATTTGCGAAACAAATGATGAGTAAATGTTTCTATCAGTGTACAGCAAGCATGTCAAACCCAAAGGCTAACACGGGCTAAATAAACAAGCTTTAAGTTTATGTGGGCCGCGAAAAAAACAGAAAACTTCTGTTTTCATAGAAACGTAGGTTTATTTAGAAAAGTACAGTGTAAAAAAAGTTGCCTAGCTGAGACTGGATGTCCTCCCACTTGTAGGGCTTCAAAGTAAACAAAAGAGCAAATTTATTTTAAGAATAAACCATTATAACCATTCAGTCCAACTACCTTGACATATTAAGAACATTTTGGTAATGGGACTGAAATGGTGAATGTGAAAAAAAAGACCTTATCTTGTTGATTTTAGTCCTACGAGTGTGTTCTTCACTTTGGCTGAGATCAAACTTGATGACCTCAGCCAATCCAATGCTTTCCCATACGTGGCTAAAAGCTGCGCAGCCAATAAGCATCTCCATTGGGAGTGTTCAGTATCTCAATGCAGACCCAATCTAATACACTGCCCCCTCCCCTATTCTAATACACTGCCCACAAATCCAATACATTGCCCCCAAATCCTATACACTGCCCCTTTCCCTCCACCCAATATAATACACTGCCCCTTAATCTAATACACTGCCCCTCCTACCTCCAATCTAATTGAGTACATTGCCCCTCCTCCCAGCACTCCCCTCCCCCAAATTAATACACTGTTCCCCTCTCTCAAATTAATACACTGATCCCCCTCCCTAATTTAATACACCGGTCCCCTCCCTCCCCCAAAATTAATACAGTGCCCCACCCATAAAATTAATACACTGCCCACTCTCTCCCCGAATTTAATACACTGCCCTCTCCCTCAAATAAATACACTGCCCCCTTCCCAATTTAACACACTACACAGGAAGGTCACCCATGCCGCTCTTCTCCTACCTTAAGATGAGCCGCCTGTCCTCCAGTTCCAGCCCTGTTTTTCTCTGCTCAAAAAGGCCACACGCACCTCTGGCACTGCAAGCAGGAGGGAAGGGGGAGTGGCTGGCCTTCTTGTGGCCATGGGTGGGAAGACAAGAATCAGACAGGTAGGCCGCAAATATATCCATTGTGGGCCGCATGCGGCCCATGGTCCGCAATTTTGACATGCCTGGTGTACACTGTAAAATATATACATACTGTTATATTTTGTATATATTTAGCAGCACACTGATTGGCCCATTTTCACACCCTTTTTCAGTTCACAAATCAGTTCCGGAATCTCAGGTGTCCTGAAAATATTTCTATTTTTGAGACACATGGTTCAGTTGAGTAAATGATTATTTTTAAATGATATAGAAGTCATGCTTTATACAAAATAGTCCCTAAAGTCTCATGCATAATCTTCACAGAGGCATCTAAAATAATAATGAATATATCTTTATAAATGTGTAAAGATATGCTTATGTAAGTGTATATGAATCATACTCATTGGTCTCCTGCAAACTCACGGCATGTAGTATGTTTATGGTAGTAAAAGGTATTTAGTCATGTATTCGCAAATATGAAACAGCACTAGGAGATTAGCAGAACCGAAAGCTGCGTATTACACCGATATTTCAGTCTAGTCTGCTTAGTTTGGTTTAACCTCATGACTGTTAATGCATCATAATTTATAGAAAACATTTCTTGTATCATCTCTGTCATGGGCTGATATGACCTTCTGTGTGAACTCCTGAGCCTTAATAAAATTATTTGAGAAAAATATGAAACAGCTAAAATATGCCAACTGTAACACTGTCGGCACAATAACCACTGAAACAGGTCAGTTATTATGGTGCGTAGAGACCACATGCACCAGGCTTCACGTCACTTCTAAACAGTTTACTTACCTTTTCACATAAGTGCTCTGCCACCGGCAGCCTGCAGCCCAGCCCCCAATATCAATATACTCCAGCTCACGCCAAAACAGGTGTAGCAGGCAGTAATAGGTTGAGAGTGCCGGCTGATAAGCTGATCTTCTCAACCTATCTATGAGTGCTAATTGAGATGGGCACCCGTTGATAGGCATTGAGAGAGCATAAGTGTATCAACATCTGCCAAACTAGACCTTCCTCATACTGCAATGCAGAGAGAAATTGAAACCAGGAGGCAGATGCAAGGTGCTTGAGCCCAAACATTGAAGTTAAGCCATTTCCAAGAAAGTGACCGGACACTCCTCACTTAAAAACTTTAAAACTTAAATTAATTTACATTGTTATGGGGGTGGTAATGTTCCTTTAAGGTGCTTAATAAAGCTAAAAATAGGACTAAAGAGATTGGAACTTCATAAAATAATCTGGAGAACAAAAAATAGAGAAAATGGCCTAGATACATGCATTTATTATGTGACATGGATGAAGTTTAGAATTTAAGCTGTATAATATCCTTTGTATGCCATAGATATAATGAAGATGGCACACATGGAGATAAACAGATTATCATAGAAAACATCATAAACTTTTATCGGCACACCTCATGCACAGGCATTACAGATCTTTACAGCTCTCGGGGCGTATATTTTATACTACAAAAGTAGCAGAGTGCTTGCACGGATTCTACAGGGGCAGAGAAAACTCACTCAAGTGTCTAGTGTTAAGTTGCCGAATGGAAGGTCTACTCCATTTCAAGAGGTCTTTGCTAGGGAATTCTGTACGTTTTACTCCTCCCTATACAACATACCCAAAAGCCAGATTTAAACACCAGCACTTGACCAAATTCAGCAAATAGACCAATACCTGATCAAGTTTGTACCCAAATCCATATCGCATAAGAATAGGGGAATTTTTGGATATACATTATTTCCATGTCCGAATATAGTGTATATGTGCACTTATTATACATTGGGTTCTGGGCATTCCTTAGAATGGGGAATTTGTTGATGTTAATAGCTATCAAAGCCCTAACGGCACTATCTGAGTTCCATCCTGTGAATTGGAAATGTTACATTTAAAATATATATATATATATAAGTTATTCCTGGTATCTCTTCAAAAGTTTAACTTCTTCCTCAAAAAACCCAGAAGGTTTCTCCCTGGGATACTATAAAAAGTTTAGCTCAATATCCATACCCAAATATGAGCAAGCACTAAATTTACTGACGTAGTCGGGGAGGTTTCATCCTGACACCTTGTCTGCAACTATTACTATCTAACCCAAGGTTGGCAAAAACCCAGAAGAATGTACAAGCTACCGCCCAACCTCACTCCTTAATAATGACATCAAATTGTTTTCTAAAGTGTTGGTGAAAAGAAGGCAAACCTTACTATTGAGCCTTGTCCACCCGAATCAATCTGGCAGGTATTCCACATGTGGCAATGAAATACCAGCTCCTAGTATGATTTTCTCTGTCAGCCATAAGAGAGTGCACTGCCCACAAACAACAGGTTGACTGCTATATAATCAGTAAACTAATGGAAGAATCCTTAGTAATAAGAGGAGAGTGCCCAAATAAAGCCCAGACAGGAAAAAAAAACCTGCTAAAATCTACGAGTGTCGTCTCTGATAGGAGGGACAGGTTGCATCACTCAGGGCCTGCTCCCACCTGTTATGATTCCATACCTCCCAATGTTGGGAGGTATGATGAAAAAAAATGATACAAGAACTTGGAATTTAATGAATTTATATACTACAATGACACTTCACAACATAAAATAGAAAATACATCAAAGTGTATGGCCCTACTAAGTTTATTTACCTAGTTTAGGTCTTGATGATGATGTGGTTCTCGACCTCTGGGTTGTATGTCGAAACTGGGTCCCCATGTTCCCATATTCAGTGGCTCCCCTTTCTTTAGAACAGTAACTTCTTATTTGTCAGAACAAAAATAGCTGCTGTTTTCCAAATTGAGTGACACAACCCTACCTTAAAGAGCCAGTTGGCGTAAAATAAATTGGTAATACGACAACATCCAGAATTTATTTTCACTTTTCATTACTTTTGGTCACCTGACTTCTCGTTCCTGCCACAAAAAAAAACTCTATAATGAGATGGAATCAGTGAGAACAGAATATCCCAGAGAAGTTATATTGTATCTGACATACTGAAAGTTCTGGGATCCCATAAGTGAGATGAAATACTGAAAACCTCAATATCTGTTTTTTACCTTAATGAGCTATATCTTTTAGAAAGCTAATATATTATCCTAATACAAAAAGAAAAGTCCTGCGCTCACTCCCATCACTCCTGGGCAGCAGCAATGACCACAGTAGACATCAGCTAATACATCCAGTAAAAACCAAAGAAAAAAAGTTACCTGCGCTCTCTCCTTAATCCCTATGTATATTTAAACAAATGGAAGTCATTTAGTTACTCCAATGGCCACTGGAGGGAATGCCCACCTGCCAACATCAAGGCAGCCCCCCTAGATGGGTCCTACTCTGACCTTTCAGCTTACTTCCTTGAGCTTCTGGCAAAAATATCTCTAATTTTTTATATACACCCCTATATGCTTATTAACCCTTAATAGGGAACACATGGGATGGTCGGCAGCATTGTATCCTAGATGTGTCATACAAAAGGTGAATACAAATACAAAAAGAAAAGTCCTCGGCTCACTCCCATCACTCTTGGGCGGCAGCAACGACCACAGTACACATCAGCCAAAATACATATAGTAAAAACTAAAGAAAAAAAAGTTACCTGCGCTCTCTCCATAATCCCTATGTATGTTTAAACAAATGGAGATAATATATTATCCTAGCTTCTTCATTTCAATTAAAGATAAATGATTATGGGTGTTTTAGAGCATATTATATGTCTGATAATTGACACGTGAATATACTTCATTTAGTACTCATACAATATGATTCTGACTATATTTTTTATATTTATATATGTTTTCATTTTGCAAAGAGTGAGGCTTCAAATTATAGTAACCTTAAAATTGGATCATTAGCACAAACATAATGATCAAATATATGGTCATTATGTTCAATTAATTATCTTTATTTTGGAAGAATTTGTGTGATCACAGTTCAAATTGACTTTCGAGAATATTTTCATAGTTTGTGTAATATTACTTAATAGCCACTAGAAGGCACTAGAGCTCTAATGTAGAACTAAATTCAAAATCCATTATTCATTAGTATAGCATTTTAGAAACAAGCAAAAAAAAAACAGAAAAAGAAGTGTGATAAAAATGGTCATTTTCACAAATGTCAGGGATACAATTAGGAGTTTGAGGAAGAAGTTAAACTTTTGAAGAGATACCAGGAATAACTTATATATATATATATATTTTAAATGTAACATTTCCAATTCACAGGATGGAACTCAGAGAGTGCCGTTAGGGCTTTGATAGCTATTAACACCAACAAATTCCCCATTCTAAGGAATGCCCAGAACCCAATGTATAATAAGTGCACATATACACTATATTCAGACATAGAAATAATGTATATCCAAAAATATTTACAAAAACTAAGAAAATAAAAATGTGTCTTTTGACATTGAGAGGTATAGTAATGCAAAGCGAGGCTTTAATAGAGTCGTAAGCAAATTAGCATCTTCCTTTATCACATGCTCACATTCATTTAAAGTGCTGCAGACTTTGGCTATTTAAACTGTAAATTTGTAATTCCTGCCAATTCTCACTTTGGTGAAAAACCTTGATGGTGTAGAGATATATACAGCAAATGTGTGCATGCACTAACTTTCATACTGGGTGCTCCTTCTGGGCAGGGCCAACCCTCGGAGGGGAGGAGGTGAGAGGGAGGAGATGTGCGGACCTTACAAGTGCTCTGTAGATAGGCGGAGTGTTCTGTGCGAGGCCTCGCCCCGTCCTGAAGATCCTGCCTCCTCTCGATATGCCCTGCCCCACTGACCGGTGTCGCTTGTTTTAAAACTACAGCTTCCATGATGCCTTGTCTTTCTAAAGGTATGCAATGTATCATGGGAGTTGTCATTTTACTAGGTCTCGGGTACTACCTTTTGGGAATCCCTGATCTAAAATGTAAGCTCGTTTGAGCAGGGCCCTTAATACCCTCTATTCCTGTGCGTCCAGCTTGTCTTGTTTAAATACATGCCTGTTAGTCCACCTATTGTACAGCACTACATAATTTGTTGGCGCTTTATAAATAATAAAAAGATTAACAACCAATATATAATTTAGAACAACAACATAGCGATTTCTAAACACATTTATTGTTGTTTAAAAACATGTTACTGTATATTGTTACTGTGGAGGATTGTTATACACTCGGACACACCGACAATATGAAGCTCCTAGTAAAGAGGAACATTAGGATAGAAAAGAGGGACAGAGGGATTTGGGCCCACAATACGGACTATCCTTCCTAAATAGGGACACTTATGAGGTATAGTACCATCCAGGTAGTAAAAGAACATTAGATCCAGAGCTGTTCTAGGTTTAATACAAACTTTAAAAAACAAACAAAAAAAACACTATGGTTTGAGATTGTCAAACCGAATTTGTGTGTCTGTCTCTCTGTGTAAATATAAACAAACATGGGGACAAAAACAAAAACAATTGCTATAGTAAATATGCAGCCACATATTATTCTCAGAATGATCTAGTTCAAAAAAATGAGGTCAGTGTTAGGTGGCAAAGTGGTCTCGTTAGAATTAACACATTCTTCGGGTAGAGCTGTCAGTGCAGGGAACAAAACAGTTGGAAACAACACAGACATTTCAAGTATTCCTGCTATACAAGGTTCCTATGAATATAAAATGTCCATATACTAAAATAATATACAACTGTGATATAAAAAGTGTTCGGTAAGAAATGTTCATTATGTAATGTAATCACATCTGTGTCCAGACAGTCAAACAGGGCAGTACATGCCAAAAGCACAGTCTTGGAAGATTCCTCAGGCATATGGAATGTGAGGGACCCTACCCCCTCCCAGCCCCCCAAAACAGGGCATCCTCCCCCAACACTTATATGTACATGTGCAGAGAACATGATTTGGCGTTGATATTAACCTTGACTTGTATTGTAACTTAAAGGGTGCCTGCCATGGCAAACACAATAAATGCTTTTTCATTGTGCTAGCAATGGGGGGAAAGGGGAGAGGGAGGGGGCAGGGCTATTTTAAGTGTTAAACTATTTGAAATGTAACAAATAAAGTTAAGGATGTGCTGGTGGACTTGCACATTATAACCACCTCACAGACGCTAGGTGGTTTTGCTGCCTGTAGTGGGCTTTTAAATACATAAATAATAGCTTGGTGCATGAGAACAGCCAGAAATTAAAAGTGTTTAAAGTATTTCAATGCATCCTCTTTACTTGCTATGTGGGGAAAATCTTCATTCTGAAGCAGAAGGTGTGCAGTAAAGAGATACAAAAGGTCTACCGGAGCAGAAGCCAAATAAGAAAAATGATTGCAAGTTGAAATTTTCCATGCATATTAAGAGAAAAATTGATTGGTAGGGAAAATAGGTGACAGAGCTTTTTTAAATAAATCTATATTTGACTCAGAAGGAACACAAAATCTACAAAGAAAAATGTAGCCATCTAATTGCATATTTTCACATTTGCGCACAATGGGATATGTTTGTCCTATTACTATTATTTTGGTTTACTTTTTTCAAGTCACTTGATTTTAAGGAAAATTACAGTAATTCACTAAACTCCGAATGGCCCCGTACCGAATAGGGCAAAACCATCCAGCGCTGTACTGGCCTATTCGAATTGCAAAATCCGGACACTGTTCACGTTATTTAATAATGTCTGGGTTTTGCAGAGAAGGTTCCAAATAAGTTTGAATATGGTCCGGCTCTTAGCTCGACCGACTGCTCTTGGATTCTTCAAATCTAGGCTCAGATTTAGAAAATCCAAACTATATGCCCACTGGCTGCTAGTGTTCCCTTGAAAAAGCAAGTTAGCTAAGTATGGGGTTGTGTGGTCCCAGACTGGTGAGAGTGCCCAAATGACCCTTGTCCACCACCAAAAGCGCCATCAATGGGGAAGTGAGTGTCACAATTGTAGGTAATAGGAGTAGGTGATGTGTAGAGTCCCACAAGAGGAAACCAAAATCAGGAGAGCTCCACTGTATAAGAAATGAGGAAGGGAGGCCCTACCTTTAATCAATCTAAGGATAAAAAGGGATATGCAAACAAAGAGTATAACTTGAAAAAAAGGGAGATCTACTAAACAGTGCCCAGGGGATCAATTGTCTGGAGTACTAGCTAGCATCTAAGTTCCAGTTCCCCTAGTGTCTGACTGACAGGAAGGTAGTGGCTCCTGAGGAAGGTAGTGGCTTCTGACGACGGCGTTTTGAACACGCTGAAACGCGCGTCGAGCGTTTTCTTTTTCTTTAATCTCTGCACTTGGTATCACTATGGTTATTGATTTTTAGGTGTTTATTTATAACTTTAGTAGGGAGAGTTGGTTCAGGTAGACAATAGTGGTTAGACCACGGTGTCGATGTAACTTTTAGGGTGAATTGAGAGATTTATTTAATTATTTTCAGTACAGAAAGAGGGATGGCTTGCACATGGGCGTCCACAGGAATTTTTCCAGGGGGGCATAATTGTAATGACATCCATGCCTGGTCCCTTTTTGACAGTGGCATAGTCATTATCACATAAAGCCAGGGTGAACAGCGTTTTCACAACTATGGTGTCAGGAATACATGTTTGTATTCCTGACACTATAGTGTTCCTTTAAGCAAAATAGAGGAACATTCTGGTCACCATAACAACTTCATCTAAATGAAAATGCTATGATGCCAGGAAGCCCCTGAGTGCTTTCTTTCCTTTATGGAGTTAAACCTCTCTCAAATGGTTTAACCCCAAAGGCTTCGTCCAGCTCCAGATCTCCAGGTCGCTCAGTGGTATTCGGCTTCTGAAACGGAGTGTCAGTAAGTGCAGATTGACGTCAGGCATGGGTGCTGCAGATTGGCTAGAGTTGACGCTCTAAGCCAATCGCTAGTTCCCGGTTCATAAAAATGTTTTGCTTTTTTATGAATGGGGAGCTACTGATTGGCTTAGAGTGCCAGCTGACCACTCTAGCCAATCAGCGACACCTCTACCCAGCGGCACTCAGTAAATAAAAGTGAACACATTAACACTGATATATTTTTTTTTTTTTTTACCTGGGGAGATGAGAAGGTCCAAAGTTTCCCTTATGATGTGGTGTCCAGAATAAAGTGGAGAATTCACTTCACTTGTCCTTCCTGCTCCAATCTCCTTTTCTTCTCCTTCATTTGACCCAGTCTTCTTTTTGTTCTGACACTGTCTTCTCTCCTCCTTGGCTCCTTCTGCTCCTTTACCTTTCTGCTCCTTTCTGCTTATTTTGCTCCCCTGTCTGTTTCTTGCAGACCCTTTCTGCTCCTTCTCCTACTTTACCTTTGTGCTCCTTACTGTCCATTTGTGCTCCTTGCGACCCATTTCTGCTCCTTCTCCAACTTTACCTTTGTCTTTACCTGATCTATAGGCTGCCCCCTATGCCTCACTTCCCTGATCTATAGGCTGCCCCCCTATGCCTCACTTCCCTGATCTATAGATTGCCCCTCCTATGCCTCACTTCCCTGATCTATAGGCTGCCCCCTATGCCTCACTTCCCTGATCTATAGGCTCCCCCTATGCCTCCCTTCCCTGATCTATAGGCTGTCCCCCTATGCCTCACTTCCCTGATCCATAGGCTGCCCCGCTATGCCTCACTTCCCTGATCTATAAGCTGCCCCCATGCCTTACTTACCTGATCTATAGGATGTCTCCCTATGCATCACTTCCCTGATCTATAGGCTGCCCCCCATGCTTCACTTCCCTGATCTATAGGCTGCCGGCCATATGCCTCACTTCCCTGATTTATAGGCTTCCCCCATGCCTCACTTCCCTGATCTATAGGCTGCCCCCATCCTTCACTTTCCTGATCTATAGGCTGCCTCCCAATGCCTCACTTCCCTGATCTAAAGGCTGCCCCCCATGCCTCACTTCCCTGATCTATAGGCTGCCCCCCTATGCCTCACTTCCCTGGTCCATAGGCTGCCCCCCTATGTCTCACTTCCCTGATCTTCTTTCTGCTCCTTTCTGCTTATTTTAGTCCCCTTTCTGTTTCTTGCAGACCCTTTCTGCTCCTTCTCCCAATTTACCTTTGTACTCCTTACTGTCCCTTTGTGCTCCTTGCTACCCATTTCTGCTACTTCTCCAACTTTACCTTTGTCTTTACCTGATCTATAGGCTGCCCCCCATGCCTCACTTCCCTGATCTATAGGCTGCCCCCCTATGCCTCACTTCCCTGATCTATAGATTGCCCCTCCTATGCCTCACTTCCCTGATCTATAAGCTGCCCCCATGCCTCACTTCCCTGATCTATTGGCTACACCCTATGCCTCACTTCCCTGATCTATAGGCTCCCCCCTATGCCTCCCTTCCCTGATCTATATGCTGTCCCCCTATGCCTCACTTCCCTGATCCATAGGCTCCCCCTATGCCTCACTTCCCTGATCTATAAGCTGCCCCCATGCCTCACTTCCCTGATCTATTGGCTACACCCTATGCCTCACTTCCCTGATCTATAGGCTCCCCCCTATGCCTCCCTTCCCTGATCTATATGCTGTCCCCCTATGCCTCACTTCCCTGATCCATAGGCTCCCCCTATGCCTCACTTCCCTGAGTTATAGGCTTCCCCCATGCTTCACTTCCCTGATCTATAGGCTGCCCCCATCCGTCACTTTCCTGATCTATAGGCTTCCCCCCATGCCTCACTTCCCTGATCTAAAGGCTGCCCCATATGCCTCACTTCCCTGATATATATGCTGCCCCCCATGCCTCACTTCCCTGATCTATAGGCTGCCCCACAATGTCTCACTTCCCTGATCTAAAGGCTGCCTCTCTATGCCTCAGTTCCCTGATATATAGGCTGCCCACTATCCCTCACTTCCCTGATCCATAGGCTGCCCCTATGCCTCACTTCCCTGATCCATAGGCTGCCCCTATGCCTCACTTCCCTGATCCATAGGCTACCCCTATGCCTCACTTTCCTGATCTATAGGTTGCCCCCCTATGCCTCACTTCCCTGATCCATAGGCTGCCCCCTATGCCTCACTTCCCTTATCCATAGGCTGCCCCCCACCCTATGCCTCACTTACCTGATCTGTAGGCTGCCCTCCCTATCCCTTACTTCCCTGATCCATAGGTTGTCCTCCCTATGCCTCACTTCCCTGATCTATAGGCTGCCCCCCACCATGCCTCACTTACCTGATCTGTAGTCTGTCTCTGCAGTTGCTGGCTGCACTCTGTGCTGCTCCCCTGTGGTTTCAGTCAGGAGAGAGAAGCAGGGATAAGCTGTAGCATCCTATCCCTGTCTCTCTCCATACACAGCTGGCCGGTGCCGGTATTGCACTGTATTTTCAATCTCACACAGAAAATAGCAGTACAAGCTGAAAGATCCGGGGGGGGGGGGCAAGTTCCCCCCTTTGCCCCCCCCCCCCTGCGGACGCCCATGGGCTTGCACTAAATGGGCAGGTTACGTTTCCCAAAATGTGGGATTGCATAGATGGCGTTTGTGCATTGCCATTCAGTCTGGTAAGAAGGTTGATTAATACCACTATATAAATAAAATCATGGCCACCCTTTGACCAGTCCTAGGTTATAATTAGTAGGGGTTCCAATTTTTATGGCCCCTTAAAAAGCAACAGACCACATCTGGTAATGTGAGTTAATATGTGCATCAAGACTGTGTTTGAAGCACCTTTAGAACTCCATTATATTAAAAAAAACATAAAAAAACTTTTCTTTTTTTTATTCAAGCTAGAGAGTTTGACATCACCTATTTATATATTGTGCCATTAACTAAGTTGAGGTATAAAGAAAATTGGTTTTGGTGCCAATATTTGCACATAGATTGAGAAGTGGTTAAATGATAGGCCATAAATAGCAGACCTGGAAATTTAACTAGAATTGGAAGCAGGGAGCTTCAAGATTTAATACAGGAGCCAGTGCTTCTTAACGTGTTTATTATTGACCTTGAGGTAGACACGAAGTGCAAAGACTTTATTTTTGCTGATGACACTAAATTATGCAAGGTTATAAAATCAGCACAGGCTGTAATTTCTCTTGCAGAAGAACCTGGATAAACTGGAGGTTTTGGGAGGGTACGTTAAGGAAAGGTTTTACGGATTATGAATTTTAAGTAAAATCCAATGTCTGTTGCACAGGAAAACAAGATAAAGATAAAACACAAAAATCAAGATTATTGATATTAAATCAGTTCCACAGACGTTATTGTGGATGTACTAGTTTGCTTTTTCAATTCTAGTTTTATATATTTACATCATGTTCTGTTGTTACGTGAAATGTGTAAGGTGAACCATATGAATAACTAAGAGGAAAAAAAGCAGAGACCCCAGGAAGGAGGTTTTAATTATAATTGGAGAAATGTCACATCTGTCACAAGGTGTGTGAATGGATATGAAAATAAATACTAGCCAGTACTCTGGGGTTTACAATTTCTCTTTAGATTGGGTTTTGTAATCCAGTTAGGATTCTATTGATTCTGCAGGATATCCAATGCGTGTTCCTTGTTCTCTTGTAGATACACTTCAATGGTACAAGGGGTTTCTTTGAAACATCATGGCCCTAGTTTGCAGAATCCCACTTTAGGTTCTCTCTGTTAACATGGAATTAAGCAGCAGGGTAAATACATTGGGGGTAAAAATAAGGCTAGTGCAGAGGCGTAACTAGAAATCACTGGGAAACAGTGCGAAAATTGTCCTGCCCCCACATGTGTCTAATCCCCTTCCAGCCCTGCCAGGCGTCTCATTCCCTTCCCCCTAGCCTCGCCATGCTTCTCAATGTTCCATAGCCCCTCAATGTGTCTCATTCCTCCAGAGCCTCTTCATGTTTCTTACCCCCCCAGTCCCTCCAAGTGTCTCTTTCCCCCTTAGCCCCTCCATGTTTCATCCACCCCCCACCCCTCCATGTGTGTCATTCCCTCCCCCAGGGCCTTAATGTGTGTCATTTCCTACCTCACCCACTCCATGTGTGTCATTTCCTCCCCCACCCCTCCATGTGTCTCATTCTCTCCCCTTTACTTACTAAAAGGGTAATCCAGACATGGACTCATGTTCACTATGCCAAGAGGGATATTATATACCTCGGACATACCTCGTCAATAATAGCTCAAGGAAGGCTGAAATGATCGTCCGTGCTTGTTCTATCTCTTGTGCAGAGCAAATTTGCATTTTAGATCTGGACAGCCCTTATGGCTGAGATCAATCCGATATGGCAAATAATATATGTTCTCTCTGCAACAGCAGAATGAGCAAAAGCTGTGACTAATCGAAGGGCAAGCTACTGAGGTTTCTCTGAACTTCATATTCTGCTAAATGGTTCCTACCCCAGTTGTATTAACCATGACAATCCATTTCTGTAGACTATTGTCCTTTAGTTACATTACAGAGCACACCACACATAGATGAAGCCATTTGAAAATGGCATGGAAATGAACAATGAATTTTGATAAAAAAGGACCGATACTTAAAGCACATTAACAGGTTAAATGATGAAATACATTCAAAAGGCATTTAGTTCCACAGCCTGCTTATGTTTTAACGTTTCTCGGACATCTCTCCCTTTCTCTGCCACTCAAAACACATCAAGCACCTTCTGTTTCCATTTTTAAAGCCATCCTAAAATATACCCCCCCCCGCCAGAAGCATATCTTTGTATTTTATATTAGATTTGAAATACCTATTCAACAGGCTCCAGATGTGTTTCCCAATCAGATGTTTTACTCTGCTCTTATTGCGTCTTTGAGAACCACGTCATGAGTATAGAGAAATAGTGCAAAAATGTTTCTTTTTACAAAGAGGCAAGGTATGGCATGCTAACAGTATAACACAGATCCCTGAAGCTGAGACAAGGGACAAAGAGGTTTGGGGACGATATAAGATATAGAAACATACATGTGACCAATATTTACTAGTCACCTGGTAAACATCTCTCCAAGGCACCAAAAGACCTCTCTGAACCCATGTTACCTGTTATTAGGTGGCTACAAAGCTTGGTCTCTGTTAGTATTTACTGCACATTAAAAGAGTCCCTACCACCCCACTCGCCCTCCCAAAAAAACAAAAAAAAAAACAAATGTGCATTTCATAAAACTAAAATCTTTATGAAAAGTGCATGAAGACTGTGTTTGGAATTTCATTGAAATTCACACCCAATCAAGAGATATTATAAGGCAAATTATTGACTACTTTATCTTATGTATTTTTCCTATGCTTGAGAAAACTTGATAAAGGGCATAGCTACCACTGTCAAGCTTTGTCAAGCCCTCAGTCATCACGAGTAGAAAAAAGCATAGACATTAGTGTTGTTCTCTCAGCACTAACGTTGGCTCCTGGCAGATAATGCACCAGGAGCTAACGAAGAAAGCAGAATGATGAGGGGCGATGGACACAATGGAGAGTAAAACTCACATTTCCTAGAACCTTGTGGCCAGCTTACTGCATGCAGCATAGTCACATGCTGGGGTCTTTTCATAATATGCTCCAGTGTGAATACTATTTAGTATTCCCTAGTGTGCTGCACAACATTTTAGATTTTGTAACATTTGGTCCCTTGGTAACTTCACTCCACTTAATATAAAACCACTTAGAAAAAGTTGGATGTATGCTAAGGGTCTTCCCATCATAGGAATTGCCTCCATTTTGGCCACATTCATAATGCGAAATTAATATTTAACCCAGGGATTTATATTTCTATTAGTCATATTGGATGAAATTGACACTAATAATGCAGAAGTGTTAATGCTACATTAGATAGGAGAAGACCCTTAGTGAAGGGAAGACCCTCGGTTTATATTAAACTGTCCATAACCTGATGGATAGCGTCAAGAGACTACTTTTACATTCCATGATTACTCAATAATGATTAACACAAACATATGGGTTACTGATTCACAAATCAGTTAAAGTCCAAGCTAAAGGCTAAAATCCAAGCTAAATTTCTGCTAACTGGTTTAGAGGGACACTATAAGCACCAAGACCACCTCAGCTCATTGTAGGCGGCTACAGACAGCCACAAGAGGGACTTCTGGGCTGTTAGGTGACTTTTGGTCGCCTAACTGATGCTGGACGTCCCTGCGCTATGCTCAAGTCAGTAGCTCAATTTTGAAATGTCTTGTTTCCTGAGTTGTACTGATTCAACAGAGGTGTACAGAGTTATTTACTAAAGTTAGAATTTAAAGGGAATTCAAAGTGAATTTCAAACTCGAGTTAAAAATAGCCCAACTGGTAAGATTAAACAATGCTTCCTGATCAGATACTTTGCCCTTCCATTTGAAATTCACTTTGAATTCTCTTGTTAGTGAATAGCCCTGAGTCCTTTCTTTCCCTCTACGATGGTAAAAGTTGACTGATGAATTTATATAACAGCTATAGCAAATTCCATTTCTCAATAATTAGCATCTCGTATATTCTTAGGAGAAAATACCTTGCTCCTCCATCCACTACGTGTACAGACATTTTGATGTCTACATAGTACCCAATCCTAACATATGTATTATCTGTTCATAGCAACATAGAAATAATATTTCAGTAAAATGGAGCTTAGAAAACTAGGAGATTGGATTTTTGCACCTTGTTTAAATAGCAGAAACTAATAATGCAGACTGGAGGACAACCTGGACTGCTGGCTAAAATGGCTATATCTGGCCTCTGGTGACTGGCATGCTATCACGGACCATTTCCACCTCTAATTCCTAAGTGCAAGATAATGCATCTTGGACGTAAAAACCCAAGGGCAGAGTACAGAATATTTGATAGAGTTCTAACCTCAACATCTGAGGAAAGGGATTTAGGGGTGATTATTTCTGATGACTTAAAGGTAGGCAGACAATGTAATAGAGCAGCAGGAAATGCTAGCAGAATACTTGGTTGTATAGGGAGAGGTATTAGCAGTAGAAAGAGGGAAGTGCTCATGCCATTGTACAGAACACTGGTGAGACCTCACTTGGAGTATTGTACACAGTACTGGAGACCGTATCTTCAGAAGGATATTGATACCTTAGAGAGGGTTCAGAGAAGGGCTACTAAACTGGTTCATGGATTGCGGGATAAAACTTACCAGGAAAGGTTAAAGGATCTTAACATGTATAGCTTGGAGGAAAGACGAGACAGGGGGGATATGATAGAAACATTTAAATATATAAAGGGAATCAACACAGTAAAGGAGGAGACTATATTTAAAAGAAGAAAAACTACCACAACAAGAGGACATAGTCTTAAATTAGAGGGGCAAAGGTTTAAAAATAATATCAGGAAGTATTACTTTACTGAGAGGGTAGTGGATGCATGGAATAGCCTTCCAGCTGAAGTGGTAGAGGTTAACACAGTAAAGAGTTTAAGCATGCGTGGGATAGGCATAAGGCTATCCTAACTATAAGATAAGGCCAGGGACTAATGAAAGTATTTAGAAAATTGGGCAGACAAGATGGGCCGAATGGTTCTTATCTGAGTCACATTCTATGTTTCTATGTCTATGTTTCTATGTGCCGTGCTTGCTTTTTTATAACTACTTGCATGAGTAATTTACTGCTTGCACTGCACCGTAGAATATGCTTGTAATTTATAAACAACAATTACAATAATGGTAATGATTATATTAATTTAATGAAAAAATCCAAAACAGAAAAAGGAACTGAATTTGTATGACAACTGTTCGTGTTACTATACACTAGTCAAATCACATAATTTTTACACCTGTCGCATCAACGAGCAATATTTATAGCGTTGGTGCATTTGTTGCGTTTTGCACAAATTGTAGCTTTGCACGTGTTAAATTCTCCATCATAAACTGTCGTGTTTTTTTTTTTCACTGCTTTGATCGAACGCACCTAAAGCTATGTTAACTGTTCAATCCAGAAGCTTGGTGTCAGCTTTCCAAACTATGGTTAGCACCTAGTCTGCATATACGGTACTGCAGGCATAATTCATTGCTCCGGTGACAATTCAGCAGCTGTATTTCGCAAACACGTATCAAACAACAATGAGAGTAGGATTAATAAACGTTTTTAGAAAAACACGTCTTTTAAAGTATTTTCTTTTATTCAACATCTCTAGCAGGCAATTTTTTTTTGTGAAGAATATTATTTTAAAAAAAAACACAAGTTCAAAGAAAAAAACTTGGTATAGTTTTAGAGCTACACGACTTCTGAATCCAAATGTTATTTTCAAGTTGTTCGGTATTCTCTGCGTTTCCTTCTATATAAAATGCCTAAGTGAATGTTCTATGAAGCATGGGGATGGGTAATAACTCATATTTATTTGCATGTAGATCAATTCACTTTGCACAAATGACCTGGCACACGCATACCTCTCCTTCATTGACAAATGCGTAGCATCTCCATTTTAACACTGGGAGCACTAAAACTTTTCAGTCCATCTGCGCGCACCTTTACTATAAACCAATCACTCATGTAAAATAACCATGATGTAAGCGCTGAAGATACATAAAAACTCTATAGTTATTCCATTTGCTGATTCTCTGAATTCATGGTCCTCTAATCCCCTCCAAACACCAACAATGAAATCCCTACTGTTGTGATTACCGTGAATGAAAAGGCAGTGCACAGAGGCACAGCAGAAAATCAATATTTCATGCCTCGTGATACACTCCAGATCTTGGCAACGTCACTTTTTTTTGTACAATACCAAGTTGAAGTATGTGAAAAAATATAGGTCGAGTTATATTAACCGTTCCTCACTTGTCCTTTGCTTTCGGGAATACATTTACTCCACGACCATAAGTTCTTTTTAAACTGCCCATTCAGGCATGCAAAAAGCCTCTTTCTTTCATTTCTTTCATTTTCAGATCATAGAGTCTGTCTGGCACAGATTATATTACAAGTTCTGTTTAAAACCCCTTAAGGACACATGACATGTGTGACATGTCATGATTCCCTTTTATTCCAGAAGTTTGGTCCTTAAGGGGTTAAAAAGGTCCACATATATATTTATTTTAATTTTTTTTTAATATTAATTCATAGATATTAACATTCCTAAATCTGCATACAATTACACAAAGACATCACAATAAAATATTATACATAATAAAATGAAACATATTTCAGTATAGATATGACAAGCATCGAGTAACCATCACTATGTTATATAGTTTCATTTTTTTTTTTTAAATGTTCAACATGTATAGGAATGTAGTTCTTTTTTTTGTGTCCATGATATTAAGACGCCGGTGGTGTTTATTTCTATATTTATTAATATGTTAACACTTTTGGTGATTTGTATTAATTAATCTAGGGGATATAGTGGTTTTATCCTCCCCTCCCTTGTATGTGTTGTTGAGTCTTAACAACTTAGCGGGTAGTATCGTAAGTGACTCTGGGATACCCCAATCGTGGATTGGATTTTTTGGATAGTTTATGTTTAATTTCTTGATTTATTTAGTTTATTGTGTCTGGTGTAACAAACCACCTCTTTTACAGGTAGGATTGTCACCGATCTTGCAGTAACCACAGCCTTCTAGGGTATACAAAGTCCAGGACACCTTCAGCTCAGTTTTCCTTTTTATTCAGTAAGAAAGCAGGTACTTTAAATAATAACAAAAACAAACAAAATCCCTTGCTCTTACTTGAGCTCTTACTAGACAGTAATTGCTATCTGCAATTGGGTGGCTTTCCCACTTACCAATTTTCCAAACAAAAGCAATGTCTTTGCAATAAACACAATCTCTCCTAGCTGTCTTTTTCTCCCTCACTCTGCAGCAGGCTGCTCTCTTCTTTTAAAGGCCTGTCTACTAATTGAGTAGCTACAGGTGAGTGCCAATTAGTTAACTCTTAAAATCAGATCCAAGCTGTGGTCTGTTATACAGCAACTAGTGCTGTTGGAGCATTGGCCCACCCTGCTCTCCAAATACTCCGCCCCAGGGACCCATACCATGTTTTGCAGAGCATCAGCTATGCATATTGCAAACTTTAACATCTCTCCCTGGGGCATTTAACTGAAAAATCCTCTGGTTGCTGTTTAGCAAATCAGGTCTGATGTATCTCCCATCAACCACTATTCCACCTTTACGCTCACATATCCTCCCCCCCAGCTCATACCCATGGGTTTGAGCGACCATGGAAATCAGGGAGTGAACCCTCGAAAGCCCATCAGCATTACCTTGTTGCAGACCAGCCCTGTGTTCCACAGTGAAATTAAAAGATTGCAAACTCAAAAACCATCTGGTTACTCTGGAGTTACTTTCCCTGTTCTGATACATCCACGTCAGAGGAGCATGGTCCGTTATCAATCGGAACTTTCTGCCTAGTAGGTAGTATTTAAGAGAGTCTAATGCCCACTTAATAGCAAGACACTCTTTTTCAACAATAGAGTAGTTCTTCTCATGTGGGTTTAACTTTCTGCTCAAAAAGAAAACAGGGTGTTCTTCACCCTGGTATTCCTGTGAAAGAACAGCCCCCAAGCCCACATCAGAAGCATCTGTCTGAACTATAAAATCCCTGGAAAAATCTGGGGTCACCAAGACAGGATGGCTACAGATAGCTTCCTTCAGACTCTTAAAAGCCTTTTCTGCCTCAGGGCACCATTTAACTATGACTGGGGATTTTGCTTTAATAAGGTCTGTTAGGGGTGCAGCAATGGTAGCAAAATCTGGAATGAACCGCCTATAATATCCAATTAAACCCCAAAATGCCTTTACTTGTTTCTTTGTAAGGGGCTGTGGCCATTTTTGTATGGCTTCTACTTTGGCTTCCTGTGGTTTAACCAAACCCCTCCCAATAGAATAACCTAAGTACTTAGCTTCCTCTAAACCAATCGTACACTTGGAAGGATTGGCAGTTAAGCCTGCTGAGCGGATAGCATCAAGTACCGCTTGAACTTTAGGGAGGTGGGATTCCCAGTCTGCACTGTGGATGACGACATCATCCAAGTATGCTGCAGCATAACGAACATGAGGTTTAAGAATTCTGTCCATCATTCGTTGGAATGTGGCAGGTGCCCCATGTAACCCAAATGGCAATACAGTGTACTGAAACAGGCCACTGGGTGTTGAAAAGGCTGTCTTTTCTTTGGCTCTTTCAGTGAGCGGGACCTGCCAGTAACCCTTTGTTAAATCCAAGGTTGTTAGATAACGAGCTTTGCCCAGTCTTTCTATTAACTCATCAACTCTTGGCATTGGGTAAGCATCAAATTTTGAGATGGCGTTTAACTTGCGGTAGTCATTGCAGAACCTCCATGTGCCATCAGGTTTTGGCACCAATACAATAGGACTACTCCAGTTACTCTGGGATTCTTCAATGACTCCAAGTTTTAACATGCTCTCAACCTCTAAGTTTATAACCTCCCTCCGGGCCTCAGGAATTCTATAGGGTTTGAGGTTAACTCTTTTCCCTGGTTCGGTTATTATGTCATGTTTAATCACTTTAGTCTTTCCTGGAACTACCGAGAAAACATCCCTATTTCTTCTGATGAAATCTCTGACCTCTTGCTTTTGATGTACAGACAGAGTCTCAGATACGTTCACCTCTGGCTCTACTATAGGAGGTTCTGAAGGTTTTAAAGCAACCAGGACCTCCCTGTCCTTCCATGGCTTTAACAGATTTATATGATACAACTGTTCAGGCTTTCTTCTTCCTGGTTGTCTGACTTTATAATTGACATCGCTCACTTTCTCTATTATTTCATAGGGTCCATGCCAAGTCGCAAGGAACTTATTCTCCACAGTAGGGACCAGAACCAATACCCTGTCTCCAGGTTGGAACACTCTGACTCTAGCATTACGGTTATAACTGTTTTTCTGAGCCTGCTGGGCTTCCAGCATGTGTTCCCTGACAATAGGCATGATGGTGGCCATTCTATCCTGCATTTGAGCTATATGCTCAATTACACTCCTGTGAGGAGTAGTCTCCTGTTCCCAGGTCTCCTTAGCAATATCCAATATTCCCCTGGGATGTCTTCCATATAATAATTCAAAAGGAGAGAAGCCCGTGGAGGCCTGTGGAACTTCCCTAATGGAAAACAGTAGATATGGCAATAAAAAATCCCAATTTCTTCCATCTGCATCAATTACCTTGCGTAGCATACTCTTAAGGGTTTTGTTGAACCTCTCTACTAAACCATCAGTCTGTGGGTGATATACTGAGGTCTTAAGATGTTTAACCTGCAAGAGCCTGCACAACTCTTTTGTGACTCTGGACATGAACGGGGTCCCCTGGTCTGTCAGTATTTCTTTAGGGATACCCACCCTACTGAACATCAACATAAGTTCCTTAGCTATTAACTTTGCAGAGGTATTACGCAAGGGAATGGCCTCAGGGTAGCGAGTTGCATAGTCCAAGATGACTAATATATATTGGTGTCCCCTAGCGGACTTTACCAGTGGCCCCACTAAGTCCATAGCGATCCTTTCAAAAGGCACATCAATTATGGGTAAGGGTACAAGTGGACTACGAAAAGTCTTGAAAGGAGCCCTGTACTGGCACTCAGGACATGAGGAGCAATAGTTTGTAATAGCAGCAAACACTCCAGGCCAGTAAAACCTTCTAAGGACTCTCTCTCTAGTTTTTTCGACTCCCAAGTGTCCCCCTAATATGTGGCTGTGAGCCAACTTTAGCACTATATTCTGGTAAGTCTGAGGAACCAACAGCTGCTTAATGATGTCTGAATCCTTTTTTTCTACACGGTAAATTAGGTCATTTTGTGCTTCAAAATAGGGGAACGGCAGTGCTTCTCCTGGCTGATTAGCAACCCCGTTTACAACTTTAATATCATTTCTAGCTGTCACTAAAGTGGGATCTTCCCACTGAGCGCTTTTAAAGTTACCTGGACTAATTCCAATATCAATTAAGTCCTTATCCTTGTCTGCAGTATTAGTAGGCTCCTCACTAGTTTGAGCTGGGTTATCTCCTATTAATACTGGTTTAGGGCAGTATTTTTTCTTTTTTCTTATTTTTCCGTCACAGTGGTCAAAACCCAAGTCAATATCGGAAAAAGGGAACACATTATCCTCGACAGACTGACTCATTTCTGATAAATTTTGGTCTGTCTTTTGTAAAGCTGCCCATAATTTTAGAAAATGAGGAAAGTCTCTACCGATCACTACCTCATGGGCTAATCTAGGTACTACACCCACTCGGTACTTTAAATCCCCATACTGGGTTCCAATATTTACTTCCGCAGTGGGGTATTCCTTTTTATCACCATGAACACAGATAATGCCTATTTTCTGTACATGATCAGGTTTTACACAAGGTATTATAGACTCTGCTACCAACGTAACCATACTACCTGAATCAAGTAATGCTTTAGACATTTTTCCATTCACAGTTACACAGCATTTATGAGCGTTATTATCATAGTCATTGTTAACAGTACCATAACAATTGAGCAAAAATGAACGTGTTCCCTCATCTTTGCCCATATTGCATTCCATAGGTTCATCCTTAAATGGACAGTCTTTGGCCATATGACCATCCTCTTTGCACTTGAAACATTTGACAGTACAATCTGACCACCAATTAGTTCCTTTCCCAGGCCTATTAGACCTGGATGCCCCCCTGGTGTTTTGTGTATAGAGCTGCAGTTCTTCAGCTCCCCTTAAACCTTGAACAGTCTTACCAGGTCTTGCAGAATCTTGGGGCTTAGGATTGCGAGGGTTTGCCTGTGAAGTAGGACATAGCAGTTCTCCTGCAGCCACATATCTTTCCACCAAGGCAATCAGTTGGTCAGCTGTATGGGGGTCACTTTGGCTGACCCAGCGACGCAGGGAAGCTGGTAAACCACGCAAAAACCGGTCCATTACTAAGGTTTCCACAATGTGGCTAGCTGAATGGATTTCAGGTTGTAACCATTTCCGTGCAAGGTGTATGAGGTCAAACATTTGGGAACGTGCGGCTTTGTCTGAAGAATATGACCATGAGTGGAACCTTTGGGCACGTACTGCAGAGGTTACACCCAGTCGTGCCAAGATTTCAGCTTTCAATTTGCTGTAGATACTTGCATCGGCTGGTTCTAGGTCATAATATGCCTTCTGCGGCTCTCCACTTAGGAACGGTGCCAGTATGCTTGCCCACTCACCAGCCGGCCATCCCTCCCTCTCAGCAGTGCGCTCAAATGCCAGAAGGTACGCCTCAACATCATCTGATGCGGTCATTTTCTGAAGATAGTGGCTCGCCCGAATCACCTTTGGCCCCTGGTATCTTCCATCAGGGTCTCCATTCAGTTTTTCAGAGATAGCTTGGATTTCCTGTTGTAGTCCCTGGGTGACTTTTTGCTGCTCCTCACGGGCTACTTTAAACATCTCCGCTTGTGTCACAACAAGCTGTTTCACCAAGGACTCAGTGCACTCCATTTGTGTTTTGGCCAGGACTTTAGCACACTCTGCCTGGGCCAGCACCAGTTGCTGCAGGGCTGCACTGTTTTCTGCAGCTCTCCTGTTAGTCTCCTGTTGCACAGAGGTGGATTGGATCAGAGCCTTGATAACATCCTCCATGTTGAGCTTTAAATGACTTCTACCCTCAGGCTTACGTGGCTGCCCGCATTCTCCACCATATGTAACAAACCACCTCTTTTACAGGTAGGATTGTCACCGATCTTGCAGTAACCACAGCCTTCTAGGGTATACAAAGTCCAGGACACCTTCAGCTCAGTTTTCCTTTTTATTCAGTAAGAAAGCAGGTACTTTAAATAATAACAAAACAAACAAAATCCCTTGCTCTTACTTGAGCTCTTACTAGACAGTAATTGCTATCTGCAATTGGGTGGCTTTCCCACTTACCAATTTTCCAAACAAAAGCAATGTCTTTGCAATAAACACAATCTCTCCTAGCTGTCTTTTTCTCCCTCACTCTGCAGCAGGCTGCTCTCTTCTTTTAAAGGCCTGTCTACTAATTGAGTAGCTACAGGTGAGTGCCAATTAGTTAACTCTTAAAATCAGATCCAAGCTGTGGTCTGTTATACAGCAACTAGTGCTGTTGGAGCATTGGCCCACCCTGCTCTCCAAATACTCCGCCCCAGGGACCCATACCATGTTTTGCAGAGCATCAGCTATGCATATTGCAAACTTTAACATCTCTCCCTGGGGCATTTAACTGAAAAATCCTCTGGTTGCTGTTTAGCAAATCAGGTCTGATGTATCTCCCATCAACCACTATTCCACCTTTACGCTCACACTGGACTGAGCTAGATTGTGATGTAATTTGCTAAATCTGTAATATATATATTTAAGAGAAAACAGAGGATCGCATGACATAATGATTAACACAGGGTAATAGTCAGTTTTATTGAATTTTGTAATTTCCAGAGAAGTGACAGTCTCCCTTAAAATAAAAAATACTAAATGAGTGAAATACTACTTCTTTAAGGAGCACATGATACATTGAACAATGCTTGTTTCAGGCCTGTTGAGGGAAACTATAATTTTGTCAACACACAGACATTCCAAAAGCAGAAATGAGTGTGGAGAATTATTGGAATTCCCTGGTTGTGATTGTGGTTAAAATCCATTTTAATCATGAATAATTAAGCAAGCGTAAGATGTTCGAATACGTGTGCTCTAGTGTATAATATCCACTGGGATAACACTATAGCATGCAATAGGCAAAAACAAATATCTAAAAAGTCTAATATTGAACAATGGTCTTAAATCTGTCTACTTGAAATTCAAAGTGAATTTCACAGCACACATGGGAAATTTCAAATAGAATTAGAAATTTCTTTACAGGCAAAAATGAAAAATTATTATTTTAAGAACCTCTTAGACGTGCCATGCTTAAAGGGTTACTACAATACTCTTTCTCAATCATTATATTTTAAAATCCCCTATTGGGCACTTACAGAGTGTCCAGCCCCCCATAATTATTAAAAATACTTTGTAAAATTAAGGGGAACCAACGCCGGGTGAGGTACTTCTACTGTCGGTGCTGGATTCTACTTCATCATGCCGCATAATTCCTCCCCTGTCAGTCATCCAATTAAATGCTTATCATAAAGAAAAAAATTTAGTTGGTCCTATCCACAGGTTTAGAGCACAGAAAGGGGGAAAGCAGTAGTGGGTGGATATGGGAGGAAGTTATTTTTTTTTTTAAAGTATCATTGTCAGTGGGGGGAGGAAGGGAAGGATCACATTAAAGGACCACTATAGTGCCAGGACAACATACTCGTTTTCCTGGCACTATAGTTCCCTGAGGGTGCCCCCACCCTCAGGGTCCCCCTCCCACCAGGCTCTAGGGTGAGGAAGGGGTTAAACTTACCTCTTTCTCCAGTGCCGGACGGGGAGCTCTCCTCCTTCTCTCCGCCTCCTCTCCTCCTCTTTGGCTGAATGCGCATGCATGGCAGGAGCTGCGCGCGCATTCAGCCAGTCCATAGGAAAGCATTCTCAATACTTTCCTATGGACGTTGGCGTCTTCTCACTGTGAAAATCACAGTGAGAAGCGCGGAAGCCCTCTAGTGGCTGTCAATAAGACAGCCACTAGAGGCTGGATTAACCCATTTATAAACATAGCAGTTTCTCTGAAACTGCTATGTTTATAGAAAAAAGGGTTAAACCTAGCTGGACCAGGCACCCAGACCACCTCATTAAGCTGAAGTGGTCTGGGTGCCTATAGTGGTCCTTTAAGGGAGGGATGGGGGACATGCTCCTAGCACTGCCTGCAAAGGTAGAAGCTTGTTATTATTTTTACTATTTTATTATTTATATAGCGCCATCAGATTCCGTAGCGCTGTACATAGCAGCAGTTGCCAGCACACAGATAACAGACATCATTTTTGCACAGAATTGGCATTCAGAGTTCTGGGCTGCCCAAGTCACGTATGCTGGAGGTTCAACTAACCCCTGGCACAAAAGTGCAAATATCTCCGTAAGTGCAGTGTTTTAAGATGATATTCTGCACATAGGGATTCTTACCACCATGCCATATCCTAACAACAGAAATGGAGGTTAGAGTAATGAAAGGCTAGTTCCTGCCCCCACCCCATGTATAGAGATAATATACAGCCACCTACAGATCTTAGCTCATACCTCTAAGCCAGTGTTACAAACCCAAAATGCCAATTGGCTAAGCACAATGCATCATGACATACTGCACCAGGCATCGAGGGAATTAACCAATGCACACAAAACATACAGTAGTTACGTAAAACTGACGTTCATGAAACTATTGTACTTAATCTAATTTACTTGCAGCCACAATATACATTACAAGATGTATAACATCTCTAACCTTAGCTGCAGCCAGTCTCGCCATCCAAGCATTTGTGGATATCAAGTCCACTTGACAACTAAGGAATTAGCAATTGGCTTTTGTATATAAAAAGGAAGATGTTACAAATGTATGCCTGTCTGGTATAATAAAACATAAGAGCACACACAGACACAGAACACCTTATGTAAACGATAAAAATGTCAGCACCATTTCAAATCATTTCTAGAGATGTCAATTTGGAACAATAACAAAGTAACAGCCTTTACATCCACCAATCGGATTACACAAAGTAATGATTTGCTCAGACAATACCCCAATCATTATGCCTGCAACTGTAAGTGTAATAGGACAAGACATATTTTGTGTTCTATGATGGAATCACCAGATGAGTGTCAATTTATGAATTATTTTAAATATTTTGTTAGAGATTTTGACAAGCACGCAACGGAGCTTTGATTTTAACTGCTTAAAGACCAATTGCATTCTCTGCAGTATCCAGTAACCCAATTCACAGTCTGTAATATCCCATATATTAAACCTTAACATGGGTTCCTGCAATTGGACCCTTTTAAAATGATCAGTAAAAAACAAATGAATGCATTTAATATAATAGGATATATTTAATGAGGTGATATATGTATATAATGGGTGACACCTATGATATTCCTATGCTGGTGATTACTGTTGTTTAAAATATTAATAAAATGAAAGAAGAGGAGGGTTCGGCAATAAGTTGATGCACTGTATTACCAATCATGTTCCATATGGAAAGATTACAGGGTATTGTAGTACACAACAACTAGATTGGCAGAAGTTACGTATCTCTTCAAAGGAGATTTCAACCAGCCAGTAAAAGGATTTGGGAACGGGCTGTTTTGTATATGATAACTTGACTAATGTAGTCTCATACTTCCAGAAGGGGTTAGCAAGTCACGCAATTTGCTGGTGATGTGTATGTTCAGAATGTGTCGGTAAAACCAGCCTCCCAGAACCATGAATGTGTTCAATGCTGCACATACTGTGCATTTTATGTTGAGTTTTTGGTACTGTCCTAGAAGTAGGACACCAGAGAAAAAAAAAATCAGGAATATCAGACCATGTTCAGGTCAGTTGGAAGACAGTTGGAGGTACATTAAATTTGTCTTGTAAATCTCTTGTCAACGCACCCCTAACAATTTCTACATAACTCCTTTAGGGATTATCGTAGACCAGGAACTGCAAATTATGGGCTAGAACAGCCAAAGTTCAAAAATAGTTGGACAATGATTTCAATTGTTGGTTCAATTGGTGAGACATCACTTTTGTTGTACGCAGTACTAGATATCGATACTTTGGAGAGAGTTCAGAGACGGGCTGCTAAACTAGTTCATCGATTGGAACATTTAAATATATAAAGGGAATCAACACAGTAAAAGAGGAGACTATATGTTTAATGAAGAACAACTACCACGACAAGAGGACATAGTCTTAAATTAGAGGTGCAAAGGTTTAAAAATAATTTCAGGAAGTATTACTGTATTGAGAGGGAAGGGGGTGCATGGAATAGCATCCCAGTTGTAGTGATAGAGGTTAACACAGTGAGGGAGTGTAAGCATGTGTGGGATAGGCATAAGGCTATCCTAACTATAAGATAAGGCCCGGGGCTATGGTTATTATCTGCTGTCACATTCTGTTTCTATCTATGTTTCTATGTTTCAATTCAGATATTTTTAACCTGAAATTAGCATTTTCTTTGTCAGTTCTTTGCAATTTCTGCTTTTGGGAATATAGCAATGTTATATTTAGCAACACACAAACCTATGCTTTCCATTTATATTAAGGCATCCCAAACCATTCTGTATTTTTTTTTTGTCGTACCTTAGAATATTCATAACATTTTATTCAAATGTATTTTGCCAAGATACGCGATTACAAACTTCAAATGAATGTTTGGTAGGAGAATCTAATTGAAGTGGCCATGTGAACTGGAACATAATATTTACTTACGGGTTCTACAAATTCAAATTTCTTCTTTTCCTGGACCTCTTGCACTTTAAATATATACTCCAGAGAGGCATCGGAGAAGTTCTGATGTTCTCTGTCGATCAATGTATCAGCCTGTAATGAAGCAAACGCAGTTAACAGGAAGCTGCACTTTGTGCTCTTGTACAAAATGATTATTGTCCCCCTGGTGCTTAGGTCAGAGAAGGGTGATCTGTGTTAAAACAATCAGTTCTTGTTTCTTATTACTCAGGTTCTTACTTTTCTGCTGACATTAGAGAAAGAACATGGTTATTATGGGTAAGTATTGACTTGGTAGATTCGGGGAATGATTTAACTGTTCAATCAATCCAGTAAATTCAGACTAAGCAAAGCAAAAATAAAACCAGAAGACGTGAAAAAAATCTATTGACTTCTACCGTTTACGTACGGGGTTATTTGCTTAAAGGGACACTGTAGTCACTATAACCACTTTGTCTCTTTGAATTGGTTATAGTGCCTGGAGTACCCTGGCACTGTCCCTCCATTCAGTGTTGCACCATGTTTGTGCAATATGCCACAAAATAAGAGTCCCTGGCCACCCACAGTCCGTCCCCTTCTGTATGTGTAGCTAAGGCAGAGATTACACACTTCCTTGTTGTCATACCCATTCATACCCATTCATTTGGTTTGTCTGAAACCAAATGCACAACCCAACACACATACCCCAATAGTGCTGCCATAAATTGGGATTTTAACTCAGAATTACCAACTGACTCGTCCATTGGCCGTTTTCTATTTGTTGCATGATGCATGCATATTGCTATATCTCAATTCATCTGAAACCGAATGTACAAATAGCGAGTGAACTTTATTCCATCATCAAATAGAGGCGACTTGGTTACTTTCAATATGTATAGTTTCTGCTTCATGCAGATTGGGATAGGCATTATAAGTGCCGAAATGTTGCATGATGCACTCTGTTGGGTTTTGGAATAAATTACACTCCCCCCCCCCTCACCTCCCACAAAATAGCTCAGAATAGCAAATCTCCATGGTTTGTTACATCTACTGGTACATTATTCTGGTTTAGGAAATGGTTGGGATCACTCTTCTTTAACCAGCAGGTTTACTTCATCATTGCATTTTTAACTTGAATAAAAAATATTTCAACAACTTTTGCTACATTAAAGAAGTAAGAGTGTGGAGAAGAAGGAGGTATAGAGGTCTTTGTACACATGTACTTAGCATACATATATTCATTGCAAGCTGCAATAGCAGTCTGTAAAGACACTAACACTCCAGGTGCTTAATATACATGTGTATCTATTGTACCCACAAAATACATGATTTTCCATTCTGAAGTGGTATTATTTGGACGCTGCATCCTTACAGAGACGCGTATTTAGGAAACACTTTGTTTCTGTTAATGCAGCCCTAGCAACACCTCACCTGCCTGTGACAAAACCTGCATGCAAAATGGATTCACTTCCATCAGATGTTAACTTGCTTTAGATGTTTTTATCTACTGCTCTTTAAATTTAATTTTAAATCATGCACAGGATGCTCCAACAGGGCCTAAAAGGATCTTAATAGAGCAGGAGATACAAATTTCTAAACAGATTGTGCAATAAAGGAAGTATAAACATTAGATAGCTCTTTACAGGAAGTGTTTAGGAAGACTGTGCAAGTCACATGTAGGGGGGTGTGATTTGGGTTGTATAAACAATGTGACTGAAATGGCAGAGAATTGAGCAGTGAGACTGCAGAGGCATGACATATACACCTAAACTGCTCCATTAAGCTAAAGTTGTTTTGGTGCCTATGATGTCCCTTTAAGTATGAAGGTCTTGTGAATAGATATTTGATATAAGGGTAGTATATAAGACTTTAGGAAAATTTCCTAATTTGGAAATTAATTTGGACACAGAAACTACACAGGGGCCTGTTCAGAGCTATAATAAGAAATCCTGAAAGTAATTTATTTTAATAAAGTATTAAATACTGCTTTGTTATGACAATTAGAAGATTATGTTGGATTAAATACATAAACTATACCCAGGTTACAGAACTGGCTAATATGTATTCATAGATTCTGTAACATTATACTGGTATATTTATAATTAAAAAGTAAAAGAAACATATCACCAATATTTGCACGTCTGTTAATGATAAATGCAAACTATGAATATATTTAAACCAATTAAAAAGGACCTGTCCCATCCACCAGAACTTCGTACGTATTTTAAACTAAACATAAATATATTTTATTAATAACATTATGCATCAAATATTGTTTCTACATTTTTTCCAAAGGCTTCTTATGCAAATTAACCCTGTCAATTTCTTGGCTAAGGCAGTCAAAAATGCTTTACACAGTAGAAGGTTAATTTGCATTAGGAACTTTTTAAAAACAAACAGAAATAGCAATCTCTGAGATCTAATAATTTAAAATCCAGTAAAACATAGTTTTTCTAGTACTTCTATCACAACATATACATTTTATTAATCTATAAATTTAGGTAAAAAAAAAAACAAGAAGAAATCATATGCACTGTAAAAAAAAAAAAGAAAATTATATAAAAACATTTATTTTATGTTAACAGTAAGTGTACAGGACTAAACATCTCATCCAGCTAATATGCTTCTTATTCTGCACCAGCTTTCACAACATGACATGGTATCACTTGATTTTGTTAGTCAATATCATGAGTACAGATAGTACTCACTTTACAACTTACCTGCTTCCCGATTGCTCAGACATACGGTCAGCTACCTAGCACGGGGAATCTCCAGAATCTTAGTCTTGGGAATTCCCCCAAACATAGATTTGAGGAATTCCCTGCACTAGTGAGTTGGTCTATGGTTGAGGGAATTCTCCCAAACATAAACTTGAGGGATTTTCCCCAAACATAGATATGAGGAATTCCCTGCACTAGAGAGCTGGTCTATGTTCGAGGGAATTATCCTGAACATAGACTCAATGTATTCCCTGAAATTCTATCCAGGTGGATTTGAAGCAACTCTTTCCCTGGGAGACCATCATCACTGCGGCTATTTGTCGTTTTGGGATTACTCACCTGCCTTTTTAGTAGAGAGCCGACTTATATGGCTCTCCAAATTGTGAGTTTTTCCTGTTATACATATATCTAAAATTTTTCTCATATATGTTGCCCTATGAAGGTTCTGTTATATTTATTTCAGATTATTGAAAAAAAAATATCCATTGTGTGCGCCAACTTCTCTCTGTTTCTCCATATTTGATGTAAGTGTTTGGGATGATACAACACTTGTGTAATTTGAGATGCACTGGGATATACGTTATTATTTGATTTATAGCACCATTTATACACCTTTTCTTTGTTTGTTATCAATGTATTCCCTGCACTAGTGAGCTGGTCTATGTGCGAGGGAATTTTTCCCAAACATATACTCAAGGTATTCCCCGCGCTAGTGAACTGGTCTATGTTCAAGGGATTTTCTCCCGAACATAGACTTGAGGTATACCCCTTGCTAGAGAGTTGGTCTATGTTCGAGGGAATTCTCCCGAACACAGACTTGAGGTATTCCCTGTGCTAGTGAGCTGGTCTATGTTCGAGGGAATTCGCATGTGAGACTTGATTCTCGTGCCGGTCTGAGGCAACCTTGTTTACCGACCAATTTGCTTAATGACCTACTCGTAGGAATGGAACTCGGTCGGTAAGTGAGGAGTGCCTGCAATGTGTTATCTATTCATTAGACTTGTGCATGGCAGAATCAATTGGACCTACCCCACAAAATTTGGTTCTTTGGACCGAATATCATCCATGTGGCCTTTCGGTTAGTCTGACACTAAAAATGCCATGAAAATGTGCCTAATAGTGTATTGCAAATATAAAAATAAAAAAAACACAAAAAATTCAGTTTCTTCTCCATTCCCCTAACCCTTTTTATGGCACCACATATGGAACTCTGAATCATATAACAAAACAAACAAAACGCCTGGCCCATTGCCAGGTTTGTTTGCTTCATCCATATGACAATTCGGTGTTGCGAGATTCGGATTAATCTCCAATTGCACAAAATTCTGAAAATAATTCTTCAGTTCAAACAGGATGTACAAGACTACTATTTATTATAGCATTGGTGGTTAATATTTATAGGGTTATTACCTAAACATGAGTTGTGGAGACCTGACAATTCTCACCAAAATGGAAATACTGTCAAAGAGGTGGACTGTTCTGGACTCTAATTTGATTTTCTCTTGTCAATTCCCAACATGTTCCTGTTTAGTGAATAACTTATTGTGACTTTACATTTAAATTAGTTTTTTTTCCTTGTCCCCTCTGTTATCATCACAGTGGTGCAAGTTTAAAAAAAAGTCTTTGTTTTAAAGTTTTTGTTTCAAAGTTTTTTCTTCTCTTTCGTTTTCCTCTTCTTTCCTCATAAACCCCTTGGTATTGTATTTGATTGCTGACGGGCTTTAAATGTATTATGGCTGCACTATTAACTGTAAAAATGTATTATCTTGCTTGTAACCATTTTGATCAGCCTTGAATAAAGTATTGAAAAAAAGAGTCTGTTGACAAAACTGAGATTGTTGGTGGGTTTATAGAAGTATTGCTGCTTGCTGCCATTAAAGGATCACTATAGGGTCAGGAACACAAACATGTATTCTTGACCTTATAGTGTTAAAACCACTATCTAGCCCTCCTGCCCACCCTTGCCTCCCTAAATATAGTAAAATCTTACTTGTATTCAAGTCTGCAGCTACTGCCTCTGCCCCTGAACTGCCTTTGCCTGCTGACATCATCAGAAGTAGTGGTCTGGGCCAATCACAATGCTTCCCCATAGGATTGGCTGATACTGTTAAGGAGGCAGATCAGGGGCAGAGCCAGCACAAGTCAAACAAAGCCCTGGCCAATCAGCATCTCCTCATAGAGATTAATTGAATCAATGCATCTCTATGATGAACATTCAGTGTCTGCAAGCAGAGGGTGGAGACACTGAATGGCAGCGCTGCTCACACTGCAGCACTTCTCCAGGAACCACCTCTAGCAGTCATCTGAGAAGTGGTCAGTGGAGTTATCACTAGGCTGTAATGTAAACACTGCATTTTCTCTGAAAAGACAGGGTTAACAGCAAAAAGCCTGAAGGTAATGATTCTACTTACCTGAACAAATGCATTAAGCTGTAGTTGTTCTGTTGACTATAGTTTCCTTTTAAGGACAGAAGTCCATCACCACCATAAGGCAAATAAGACATTGATCCATGCTCAAAGGTGGCACACTGTATAATGTGGCTCAGTCAGGGGAACAAAAAATTATTCCATGACTATCCTAATTCCTTTTTGTTGAATGGAGTCTGTGGTTTGTACCTTTGGCAGTTGTAAATCACTGTTCAAGCACACTCGCATTATGTTCTTAATTTATGTACGGAATTTTTTGATGCTTTATAAATAGTAATAATAATGTAGGCACACTGGCCTAGAGAGAGACTGGAAGTGATCAATGCATGTCAAAGCCTATTACAGTCAACCATTGTTCTTATGGTATAGCTAAGTAATCTTTGCCTTATCAATTCCTCCTGCCAAGGCTAGAATTCAGGCAGGGACTCTCATTCAGCTTAAAGGGATTACTACACTGAGCAAATACAAAACAAATATAAAATCACTTTATAGTGGATATACCCAAATGAAAAATAATTTAGTTGGAGTATATATGAAAACAGCTTGCAAAAACTGCACATCTCTTATCTGATGCCTTTGCAAACCCTTACATTATAACCCCAACCAGACTTTCTGTGGCTGTCCAATCACATGCAGATCAATGAGACATCTTTGCAAGGAAGGAGATCTGAGTAATTGTTGAGTCTAGCTCTACTGTGTTATCCAAACCAGGAAGTAACAGGACATGTTGTATGTTTTACAGCCAGGAGGGTGTAACTAGGTTAATTATTAAAAGTGTCAAATTCCATTGAAATCTGAACTTTTTGCAAAGTGAAAAATAAAAAGAGGACACACGTTTAACACATAAAGGTTTTCAGCAAACTAAAGTGTTTTAGGGGTCTGGAGTGTCCCTTTAAGCTATTTGAAACTGTTTAACATTGAATGTATGTATGGCACCAGGAGACTCCAGACACCATAACAATTTAAATGAGATGAAATGGTTATAGTGGCTAAAGTGCCTCTTTAAGTGTAAATATATAATAAATGAAATAATACATGACACAAAACGATGAACTGTGAAATCTGAAGTCCAGTAATTTGAAATCAGAAAAGGAAATACAGTACCTCTTGCAAATGTGATTCTTTCTTTTTTGAAGACAAATTCAAGTGTTTTTCTAAAATTGAGTAATATTTCTCACTTTCTTTGTCAAACTTCTTTTTTCCATCCTAGGGGGGAAAAAAAGAATATTGAAATTTAATAGGGCTGTTATTCTGTAATGAAGTACAAAAAGAATCTGATCATTTGTATTGATCATATTTTCAACATAACTCTTTTATTGAATTGTTTTAAATTTAAGGAAAAAAAAAATCAAGCAAAAAAAGCTCCCACACATTATGTAATGTGGCACTGTCAAGGGACATCTGGGAAACATATTGAACTGTCTGCAATAGTGTCTGCCTCCTGCAATATAGAATATGAAGTCAATTACTCTAACTCTGAGTTTCTTATTAGGGAAATATGTCATTGTGCTACACATTCCTAAAATCTTTTCCTGTCTGCCTTTGGAAAGTATAATTATTCCATATTGCGCAGCTTCTCTTCTTAAAGAAATATTACAGCTAATATTTGTACTTAAGTTTGCAACTGCAGACAGGGGTCTCATAAATGTCTGCATCAACCAAACTAATCAATCTTGTAGGGTGTAATTTATTGGCGATATATAAATTCATTATACTGATAAAAGTATAAAAGCATTCTTACTCACTTTTGCATGACTTTGTAGATTTAAAAAAAAATTTTTAACCCGTTAAGGACACATGACATGTGTGACATGTCATGATTCCCTTTTATTCCAGAAGTTTGGTCCTTAAGGGGTTAAATGGTGTTATGGTTATGGTGGGTACAGCCAGTTAGGGTCAAGGATGAACATTTTGTAAAACATGGAGCACTGTGGCTAGCAGTCCAGCTGGGGAGACATACATTTCCCCCCTCCTTAACCCATTAAGGACCAAACTTCTGGAATAAAAGGGAATCATGACATGACACACATGTCGTGTGTCCTTAAGGGGTTAAAGGGACATTGTAGTCACCAAAACAACTTAAGCCTATTGAAGCAGTTATTGTGAATAGATCATGTCCCTGCAGTCTCACTGCTAAATTTTCTGCTATTTATGAGTTAAATCCTTTTTGTTTCTGTTTATGCAGTCCTACTCACACCTACGCTGACTGTGACTAACACAGCCTGCATGAAAAAAAATAGTTTCACTTTCAATCCAATGTTAACAGACTCCAGATGTTTGTATCTCCTGCTCTGTAAATTGAACTTTAATCACACACAGGAGGCTCCTTCAAAGTATAGCAATCTATTAACAAAGCAGGAGATAAATTCTAAATGAAACAGAAGTTATACTAGAGGAAATATAAACATTAGATGATTCTTTTCAGGAAGTGTTTAGGAAGGCTGTGTAAGTAACATGTAAGGAGGTGTGTCTGGGGCTGCATTATCAAAGTGATTTAACTCCTTAATGGCAGAGAAATAAGCAGGGAGATCATGGGGCACAATCTATACACTAAAACAGCTTAATTAAGCTTAAGTTGTTTTGGTGACTTTAGTGTCCCTTTAACTGACTTCACTGACTGCTACATTTACATTAGACATGTGCAATTCGTTTCGGGCCGAATATGAATTCGGACGAATTTCGGGCAATTCGGACATTCAGGTATTTAGGGCCCCCACCGGCCCTAAATACTAATTGGGGGGGACCTAATGTCCTCCCCCCTGGCCCCCACTCCTGAGCGGTGGGTGGGGGCCCTAAATTAGAATGAGTGGGAAGGACCTAATGTCCTCCCCCCTGACCCCACCCATGAGAGGTGGGTGGGGGCCCTAAAATACTAATTAGGGGGGGACCTAATGTCCTCCCCCCTGACCCCCACCGCTGAGCGGTGGGTGGGGGCCCTAAATACTAATTGGGGGGGGACTAATGTCCTCCCCCTGAACCCCACCCCTGAGAGGTGGGTGGGGGCCCTAAATAAAAAAAATAATCCCCCCATCCCCCGGGTGACTAGGGGTCCCCAAACCCCTAGTCACCCTCCTCCTCCAAAAAATTTACCCCTACCTACCCCCCTCACCCTAAAAATAATGAGGGGGGACCATTTAACTAAGTACCTGAAAAAATAAAAATAAAACTTACCATTTGATGTTTTTTTTCTTCTAAAATCTTATTTTTTCAGCCCCAAAAAAGGACAAATAAAAAGCCATAATAACCGACGCACTTAAAAAAAAAAAAAAAAAAACGAGGGCAAAAAAATAATAATCCATCTTCACCCATGGAGGGCTCTGTGCAGACTGAGCTCTGCAGGGCGGGAGAAGGCTTATAAAGCCTTGCCCCGCCCTGCAATTAGGCTCAGAGCACTGTGATTGGTGGGTTTAAGCCATCCAATCAGAGTGCTCTGACAGGAAAATGAAGAGACTGACAGGTAAGTCTCTACATTTACCTGTCACAGCACTCTGATTGGTTAGCTTGAAATCCACCAATCAAAGTGCTCTGTGTCATTTTACACAGCGTGGGATAGTTCCTTGGAATTTTCACACGCTGTGTAATTTGATTCATAACTCTCTGATTGGTTACTTAATCCACCAATCAGAGTGTTGTTATGAGTCAAATTACGTGAATTCTCACGTTTGTAAATAACCCAAAAATTGGAGTGCAAATAATCCATGATTTCACTATGCAATTAACTGCGTGTCCGCCTATCTCCATGTCTATGTCTGCGCTCCTGTTACATGAAATTTCTGGTTCTAAAGCCCACTAACAGTGGTGTTGGACACAAAGATACCTCCGACGTTGAGTTTGTGGATACTGTAATGAAACTGCAAAACCTTCCCATACTTACACCATCTCCATCCATTCTTCTATATTCCCTTTCCTCTGCTAACCAATTACCATTTTACCACAATTAACCTATGTATCATCTTTGAGTTTTCCTTATTGACATTACCCAACTTGATGATTCCACCTAGTTAGCATATAAATCACCAGTAATCATCTCTCTTAAGAAAAACTTGCCAGAATTATTTCATTTTTACAGGATTTAACTTCTGCAATCTCCCCCTTTATTGTAATTCCCCAAAAAGCCACATTTCCACTTTAAATCATACCCTTCCCAGCATCCATTATTGTGTCCATAATACGCTCTGCAAAACTCCAACTGCTTCCAATTTGCTAATGATCCATTTAAAACCCCCTGCTTTATTTTGATATTGTTAAATATACTATACCAAAGCTTTTTTCAAGAAAACAAGAGTACTGACTACGAAAAGACAATGATACAAAATGGTATCATCGTGAACACGTTAAACTGACAGCAAAATGCATTAGATTCCAAACCACTTTAAAAAAAATGCAATGTGTTTTTAAAGATTTAGGCACCTGCTGTTTCAATTTCACCCATAAAACCTGTTTACTAAGAGAAAAAGGCACGCTATGGACTTTAGCACATTCCCGTAACTAAAGTATTGGATGGCACTATTGCCACACACGCATTTCTGTCATTTTACTTATGATGAAATTGAGATTATTTCTTTTTTTCTATAAAGTTGAAATTCAGTCTTTGCTGAAACATTTGGGACTTTGGATGTAAGAAATTAATGATCAAAATGGAGCATGCAGAGGATAATTTAATCTATTGTTTACATTTCAGTTAAAATGCAAACTATACTTCATTTCTTGAAAGTCTTTGATATATATTTCTATATCACAGCTTTGTAAACCATGAAAGTTCTACAGATGAAAAACTAAGTATATTTCAAGAACAATAATTCAGACAAATTACAATACAGTCACAAACATACAAACATAATAACTAACGAGCACCTGATTTTTTTTTTTTGGTCAACATTTATGTTCTCTCCCTGCCCACCACATTTTTTCATAGGTAATATCCTTGCTTATGGGGGAATTGTGACAAAATTTTTTTTTTAAAGGAATGTGTAATTCTCAAACTGTTTTGTGAAGGAGAAGCTACTGATAGGCTGAGAGCGTCTATTGACGCACTGAATCTATCAGCGGCACCCATGTCTAAAGCTTCCTGGTTGGATCTTCAGACTGAGGCAGATGGTTGTGAGCAGAGCGATAGGGTCTTATTGCACCATATTAACTTAATTCCAAATAAGTTGTTATGGTGCCTGAAGTTTCCTTTAAATTAGGGATTACACGTGGCTGTATCTAGCTCTGTCATGGAATTGAGCACCTCCATCTTGGCTCGATATCCTTGTTATAACACCCAATATTTCTGTTTATCCTCCTCCTATGCAATGTGTGCTCTGGCTGTCCCTAGACAGACCTGGTTTGTAAAATCAATTGATAAATCTTCAACATACATGTAACATACAATTGAGCATCAGATTTAAGTTCTAAAGTTAATATAATGGATGATTTTCAATGATTTAGATGCCTGTGTAGCCAAAAATCCTTGCACCGGCTGTGGACGAAGGTGTAATTTCCTCACAAAAAGATGGTTCTCCTTTAAGAGAAAAAGGTTGAGTAATATAAGCTCACCAGGGGCTTCGAAACTGAGGTAAAAAAATAAATAAACATATAGGGACCAAGTGAACTGAGGATGAGGGTGCAGTTCCAATTTCCCTTTTCTTACTGTATAATGCAGAAATCAGTCATACATTATGGACTATTTACTCAATCCACCCTTTCAGTCCCATGGGTTTCATTTGGCAGATGGGTGCGTATGACATCTCATGTACGTACACCCTGAATACCGCAACTGCAATGCACAGTGACCACTCAGCCAAGAATGTAATATATCAAAATACATTTGTAGCTAACAAACACATGCCTGAATGGATGCTTGTAACACCCTTGGTTCAGTTGATGAAAATGCAAATATTTATACATCCCAACATTTGAAACAATTACTTCTAGTAATTTATCAAACTAAAATGTAACTTAGAACAAGAACAATGTATCTTATTTACACAGCCTGATTTCTAAACACATTTATTGAAGTTTAAAGACACATTACTGGGATTATTGCTGTGGAGACACACCAACAATATGCAGCTCCTAGAACCGAGGGACATTAAGATGGAAAAGAGGCATATGGGTCCAAAATAGGGACTGTCACTCCTAAATAGGGACACTTGGGAGATATGGGTATTTAGAGCCGCTTGGTTTAGCCATTCTGTATTAGCTGCTATGTCAGAGGAAGCCACGTTATGTTGCCTGGTCTTCAAGCAGGAGGCGTTCGCATACAGACTGCAGACAGGAAGCACATGATCTCTTCCTAATTCGCACTGGTAACTTGCTCCGGTGATGTCTATTTCTACTGTTTCTTAATCGCTCTATGTATTTCTTTCAGCATAAAGAAGGAGACCACTTTTTAGTGGAGAAAAAATAAAATACATATTTTTTTATTCTTTTCAGCATTTCTCTAGCACTACATTATATTTTAAACATCATTAGTGTAGGATGCTTTGTCAGTCATATTTCTAAAAAAATAAAGCATTATTTTTACCTGGAATCTGTGAAGTATTATATAACCATAAGATAACTTGCTGTGTTGACTTGCTTCTGTAGAGTGTGTATGGCACGTTTTATTCTACATTCACTATAAAAACAGACATCCATGTGGTGTGGTTTTTATTGTATGCTTTATTTTTATAGCAAGGATGGCTATAAAATGACTTAACTTATAAAATGTTCACACTATATCCCATACTTTTATTCACTAAACTATGAATAGCACTTGATACTATGAGGAACAGATTAGCTGGGTTTATTTGAACTGGGAATTGTTGGGGGATTGATAAAGGAAATGCACATTTTCACCAAGAATAGCTGAGTTTGGAGAATGTTTTCAAATTATTATTATTTTTATTATTTCATTATTTATATAGCGCCATCAGATTCCGTAGCGCTGTACAAATCTGCTATTCTAGCCTAAAAGTTGCATTCGGCTTTTTAATTGTCCACCATACCAAGTTTAATGTCTAGACCTTAGTTGAAATGACTTTTCACAGCATGACAAATTCAGCCTGTATTTGGAATTCTGATTGTTAACTGATTGCAATTCAATGTTTAGTGAATGAGCCTCTGATATTTGAAGGTCCCAGTAGGGAACTTTATATTCAGCAACACTGCTTTCATTTACTTTTTATTTGTTCTGAACCCTTCTATCTCTCAACACCAGAGTACATATTACGATGTACACTTTATGTGCAGAATGAAAATCAATGTACCATGGCTTTGAAGCAGAACTCAGCCTGTCTCCAATGCAGCGAGCATTTTACGCATGCTGCCACGTGTTAACAGATATGATCACTTATGCAGAGATTTTTTGCAACTTTGAACACTAGGAAGAATGAAATACGACTATTATATGACAACTTCAGATGCGGAGTTACTGCAAAGTTTGACTCCTGTACGCTCTGTACGTTCTGTACAGGAGTCAAACTTTGCAGTACCTCCACGTCTGAAGTTGTCGTTTAATAGTCGTATTTCATTCTTCCTAGTGTTCAAAGTTGAAAAAAATCTGTGTGTGTTACATATGATAACGCGGTGTAATGATGACAGAGAATTCGGAGTGAAGCTTTTAAAAAAAATGATGGCTTGCCTATAATTCCACAAAAAAAGAAGTGGCAGTCGAGCACCATGATATATCATGATATGATCATATATATATGACTATACAATAGACACTTACAGGTATATGAAGTAAATGCATCTTTCCCAGAGATTATAAGCTCGTTTGGAAAGGGCCTTTTTTACCTACAGTTCTTGTATGTCAAACATGTTTTGTTATAATTAAATAAGCCGTAAGACAAGCTATGGTTGCGCATACGGACTGGGTAGATGTTTAACACCTTCACTACCGAGCACTTTTTATTGAAAAAAAATATTAGCATGACATGTATTTGAAGCAAAGGATACATAGCTAGTATATGAACATACCATAACACAGCAAGTTTTTCAGTCAAACTTAAAAATGAAAAATTTATAAATTTACAAAAAAACTATTTTTTTTTTTACGTATTTGTTCATCCTTTATAAAAAAATATTTGGGAAATTAAAAGCTTCAGACAGCATACAGTGCCCTATATCTTGCAATATTTCTTCAATATTTCTTGCAAAAACGCTATTTTTCTCATATACAGTAATTGAGACAATATATATAAATAAAAATGGTCAAATGGTAAGAAATGGTCTTGTAGGTATTTGTAAGGATCATGAAGGAATTACTAGAACAGAATGTAAAAAGAATGTCTACATTTGAGCATAATGTCCACATACTGTAAATACATATAAATCATTTTAAAACTGATATTGCAAACTTTACCAATCCCTTCACTGCCAATGTAATGCTAGCAGTAAAATAGCCGAAGCCATTCACTCCTCATCTTCCCACCCCAAGCATGTCAAACTTGCGGCCCAGCAAAGATATTCATTGCTAACAGGGGGCGAGGGCAGGGCCGATACTGGGCCAGGAGGTGGGGGCCCCCGGAGCAGTGCTTACTGTTAAGACAGAGTAGGCTTTCCCCACATTGCAGGTGCCTACTCTGCTGACTTTTACCAGGCTGGGAGGAGAGGAAGCAGGAAGTCTGTTCTTCCTGCTCCTCACTGCTCGCGGGTGCACTCTGTGGTAATGTCGGGCGCCGGAATATGACATAATTCCGGCCTGGAATCACTAAACTGTGCTCATAAGGAGCAGGGAGACCTCCAGAGAGAAGATCCCCCTGGACCTCACAGAGAGGCCCCATACCAGCTCCCAAAGGTAGGGAGCAATCAACAAAAAAAATTATTTGTGAGTGTGTTCAAGAATGTATATGTGTGTGTGTGTGCGTGTATGCCTGTGTGTGTCTATGTCAGTGTGTGTGCCTGTCACTCAGTGTGTGTCTG